CCAATTTAGATTCCATACATCTCATTCCGCTATCTAGTAATGTCATAGTGTGGTATACATAGTCTCGTCTGCATTGGAATGTGGAATGTACTACAAGGGAGTCATTCTCAACGTTAAACAGGCGTTTGATTGAGTCTAGCACCCGGGACTGTTGTACAAATTCATTATCCGTTTCTATCTTACTGATACTTCAAAGTGAATCACTATCCTATCCCTATCCCTTTTTTGCCAGCCTATTGGTGTTCCTCCAGGTAGTATCCTAGGTCCTATCCTTTACAGCTGACATCCTGACACTGTCATCACCAGCTATACCAATGACACATATCTTCCATTAGTTAATAACGACCCATCAATTGCATCCCAAACTCTTCAATCATACATCAAAAATCTTGAAGAATGGTGTCAAAGCTGGCGAATCAAAATAAATCCCACCAAATTACCTTCACCCTTTGGCGTATACCTACGATCTCCTATCTTACAGTATCCTTTAATAATACTCCACTTATCCCTGTTGAACAAATCTGATACCTAGGACTGCACCTGGACAAATGTCTAACTTGAAATCCTCATACCAGACTAAAAGTACAAGAAACTGCTCGAGGTTTTCGACTACTTTAGCACTTACTAGACAAATGCTCTAAACTTCCAACTGACTACAAAAGAATCATATACATGACTATAATAAGGCCTATTTGGACATTTAGAATTGAGCTTTGGGGCTCCACTAAGCCATCAAATTCATCTCGTATCCAATCTTTACAATCCAAAATCCTTTGTAAAATCCTCAATACTTTATCACAAATAAAATCATCCATAACGATCTTAATATTCCATATCTTTCCGATCTTAGGTATTTACCCAGCTTAATCTTCTGATTCATATGTTATAACTATTGATCTACAGCAGCAAATGTATATCCCACAAGTAACTCACTCTGAGATGTACTATTCTCAACAAGTTGCATGCTGTAACTTTGTTATCCACGACAGTGTTACTGGAACTTGTTGCATGTGTATTTGGTCTGGAAACTTTGGTGAAAGTGGCCCACAAGAAATTTCATCATGTGTTTATAAATATTTGACGATGGCTAATCTAAGGAGGAAAAAGAATCTGCTGGTCAGTTAACTATGTGCAGGCCAGAACAAAAACCAGTTTATGTTGGCAATGAACTTAGTTCTCATAGCAAATAATTTTTTTTATCTGAAATTGTCCACAAATTTCCAGTAAAAGGGCATACTTTTCTCAGCTGCAACAGAGCTTTTGCATTGATTGAGAAGAGGTAAAAAGTTGGCCAGATTCACACTCTGAAGGATATTGCCGTAGTAATTACAAGTGCAGCCCATAAGAATCAATTTACGTGTATGATTGAAGAAGAGTTTTACGATTTCAAGACAACAGCCCAGGCCTTTCTGAATACAAAGAAACTCGGAATTCCATCTTTAACCGAGCTTCGACTAACAGCTGCAGAATTCGGTAAAGTACAAGTGGCAAAAAACTGGGGCAAAAGTATAAGCATCCTAAACGAAGGTATGAAATAGAAATAGAAAATAACTTTATTTTGGGGCAAAGTCCCTTTAGAATAGCAAAATAGTACATCATTAAAAGACTACATCTGGCCAAAATAAAACAATAATAAAAAAATAGAAAGTAAAGAAAATATTAGTTAAAAAAAAACCGAAAAAAAATGTACAAAAAAAAAAAAGATATACAAAACACTTAAAACTATGATAAGACATTTAAAACTATGTATAGTCGGAAAAATTATAATTATACACTTTTGAAAAATAAAATAATAAAAATTACATTGAGTTTTTCTTTAAAATGACCTGTGTTTCTGCTAACAAAGAAAAGACAAATCTGACAATATAAAATGTCAGAGTATTTAATTAATGAATAATATCTAAACACATCATTATCTTATTGTGACTATAGGTACAAATTTATTTGTATAAGAATAAAAAAACAAACAATAGATGCATTCAGAGGTGTTGAGAATAGGAAGATATTCTAAAATCCCTAGTAAAGTTTACAGTATGGAATAGTACTGTCATTTGATGATGAATGATATAATAAAAATGTATAATATCAAAATTTTAGCAAGCATCTGACTGTTTTTGGGATAGGAATTGGAATGGGAGAGTTTTGAATGTGGATATGGAGGAGGAATGCTGAATTTTGATAGGTAGGGAATTCCAGAAATTGACAGCACGAGCAATAAAGGAGTTTTGAAATGAGGCAGATCTGTGAGGAGGAATGTAGAGCTCAGAAGGTCGAGATCTTGTGGAAAAGGAATGGACTGAGGACTTGAATTGGAGAAGGTTGTAGGCGTAAGAAGGATGATGGTTGTAGATGATTTGATAAAGGAACGCACCTAGAAAATATTGTCTTTAAAAGGAGGGAAATAACCACCTTAACTCAGTGTAGTGGTGAGAGACATATGATTGTAAAATTTTTCGAAATGTGAATTTGCCTCTTAACAGAACAGAAAAGAAAAAAGCGGACACCAGAAAAATGATGCCTTACCTACAGAATGAAATAAGAGAATACTTTCAAGAAATGTTACAGGAAACTTCAAACTTTGGTGCCTGCAAGGTGACAAAGGAATATGAACTTTTCCTAATGCTTACATGCAGTGACTTCCATAGCGTTTGCAACGTTTTGTAGTTGTATTTAAGAAATAACATTTTTTTAATGTAAAGTGATGAGAAATTTGATTTTGATAAATAACAGATAAAATTCCTTCTTCAAAAATAATTTAATGTGTTATTCACCGACTTAATAATACATTTTTTCTTTGCAAGATATGTTTTTCTTCTTCCTGCAAAATTTTACTTTTGGCACTTATGCTTTGGAAATGCACGATTCAAATGTATTTACTTACAAATATTTTTACAACAATTAATTAATGTTCAAAAATTTATTTTTTTACTGTTTTCTTGTGAAATAATATGAAATTTTCATTTGCTTGGAACTTGAAATAATCATTTTCAAGCCACCTGACCACATCTTTTAACAAGAAGATTAGCGTAAACTACCATTGTATTAACAATACAATTTTGTACTGAAGATTAATTTAATGCAAGGTTAATTATATCTGCTGATAAAGAAATTGAGAAAATAAATACACTTCCAAATTTTAATACGTACATAGCTTGAATTTTATTTTAAATAAAACGAGTTGGTATTTTTAACTAGATTATTTAAGCCTCAGCACGTAAGGTGTTGATAATATGGTTTTATTGAATGTGTGTATATATACTACATACATCAAATCAAATCTTTGATTTTAAAGTAGAGGTTTGGAATAACAAGAGTTCACTTTATATAAAAAAATGTATAAATCTTAAAATGTACATTTTTATTTATTTCATATATATCCTACTCACTCTTGCATATCCATATTTTTCCAAAACAGGATTGTTTCAGATCATATTAATCCAGATATATCTGTATTTAAATTCCCTTTAAGGCAAAAATCTGACCTGTATAAGAAATATACAATGTAATGAACTTCATGTATTTTTGAGGATTCTGCACATTTCCCTGTGGAGCACTGATCACATTTCTTTAGTTTCATTAATAACTCAAAACCTATACAAATTGGAATATTGTATTTTCTCATTTAAAAGATCAATTGTTAAAAAAAATTAATAAAATCAAAATAATTAACCGATATTATCAAAAATACAACAAATAATTTTTGTATTAGACTTGGAATGCACCAAAAGCGGTAAAGAAAGTTTTATGAGAGGATACACCAGAAATATTTGTATTTAATGTTATCCGAAAACACAAGAATCTAACCTTTTAAATCAGTCTCTTCTTTCAATGAACTTAGCCACAATCCAAGTTCTTGAAGATTTAATTGGCATTGTTTCAATTCTTCATTCCAGTCATACAATCTATGAATCATATAAGAAAGATTGAACCCAAATATCAAGATTAATAATATGTATCATACAAAATAACAGTATACCTAGTACATATACACGTTTTATTTTTTGAGCATAACATTCCAAAGTTGCAATTATCATCTTCATAACAAGGTATATGTATGCTTGGTAATCTGTAAACTAAAGAAACTATGTCTCAATATTGTATATGAATAGAACAAAACTATTATAATAACCTCTAATGTTTGTTTTGTTTCGATTAAAATACTTTTTTTTCTACCTGAGATGCAACATGATAACATTATTTTCAAACATATCATGTATGTAAGAAGTATTTCATACATTCTAAACAAAATTAAAGCCACTCAATAAGAAAATAAGGTTCAAACAATCATTCCACATTTAGACTAACATCTAAAAATAGTATACTTGTTTCAGGGAAATTGCAAAACAATTTCAATTAAAAATTAAAAGGAAGAATAATGAAATAATAATTATGCAATTTTGAATTAAAAAATACATTAATGAATCTTATGGTATAATTTAAGCACTCAAAAATAATATAACCTAATTCAGGAAAAAAATAAACAAATATTTTTATTTATAACAGAGTTATATTTAACTTTTTTCAATATGATCATTTAAACAAAATAATTTACATAAACTAAATAATTAAATTCATCAAGCACATTGTTGCAATAGCCTTTCTTTTATTCTGACTGCCAAAAATCAATAATAAACAGATCATTTTGAATTTTTTTTTCAATTCAATTATTCCTAACTATAATAAATATCACAGTTAAAAGCATTTATTTATTATGAATTTTCTAAAATTAAAATACATAAATTTTCTTCATTAAATGAATTATATAATAAAGGTACAATAAAAGTTATTAGAAAATATATTTTTTTATTTAGTTTTCAATTATTTTAAATACACAAAATAACATGTAATATATAACAATAAGGATAAAATATTTACATCAATAACTGTAGGTTAATTTAAAATATTAAAATCCATCGTATAATATCTGACTAATCTCAGTAGCAATTAATTCCATTTTTAATACTTCTTCTCTTGTTTGAGTAATCAATTTAAAAAGTACTTCAAAATGAGTCTTGAATACCACACACTCTATTTGCTGGTACTGCAACATCTTTAACAGAAGAAAAAAAAAATCATAAAAAGTACACTCATATAAATTAAATAATCAATGATATTAAATATTGATTGGCGAGATAGAAGCATGTGTAGCTTTGTGCTGACGATGTGAGGCAACCCTTAGAAGGAACGCCTATAAAGTATCGTATAAATTTCTTTTCTGAATGCACTTTGGCTAACTGACTTCTATTATTTTATTAATTATATGTTGTCATGGTTATTTTTGTTGTTTCAATTAGTTTAGCTAAATATATCATAAAATGATTCATAAACAGTTCTATAAGAATTATAGATCAGTAGAACTAAAAAAAGAACCAACAACTCTCTAAGAAGAGGGAATCGCCCATTTGATGAAGTGATACCTTTAATGCAGGTTACAATAGCGATACAAATTTCTCTACCAGTTTCTTGTATGAATTCACATTGATTGAGAAACTTATCCATGTGAAGAACCAAATTTATCTCACAAGTTGGAAATTTTTTTACTTAACTATATCAGTGCTCATTATGTTTAGGAAACGTCCTATTTTTCAAAATATGTTGTGTATCCAGTCATTTTTATTTTCACTTACCTATATATGTAATATATAGTAAGGGTAAGTATTGCGGTCGTGAACATTTTTGAATCTGAGTTTACAACAGAAATACACATTTTGGGGTTCCCTGAGTCCAAATAACCAAGTCCTGAAAAATGATCTGTGTGTCTGTATGTGTATATGTTAACAATCTAGCTGAAAAACAAAAAATCGTACGAAACTGATATTATATATTTAAGATAGGTATATGCCTTAGATATGTCAGCAACTTATTCCTTAAAATCGGCTATCCGGAAGTGCCACTTTATATCAACTGTGAAACATGTTTTTACAATTTTCTCAAAAACAGCTCTAACAATTTTGATTAAATTCGGTGTATCATTGTATAACTAAGTGGTCTTTAATACCATTTAGGTCTTATCTCCATTCTTCTTCTAAAGTAACTTTAATATGGTTTATTTAAAAAATAATAACTCTTTTATTGACAGTAAGTATAAAAAATTGCTAAATATGAATTTTGAAAGAATATGATAATTTGAAACTGGAGAAAAAAAGAAAAATGCTTATCCAGGTTGAAAATGAATCTCCGGAAATAACAGTCAGAAGGTATACGTATAATATATCGTTGGAAAGTCTAACTCCAATTTCAACATTCTTTATTATTAATTTTAGTGATGTTTCTAGTGGAAAAATGTATACTTTTATTCACAGTTCTATATTTCAACACTGCAATCACCTACTCTGGAATAAACTTAGTCACTGTCTGTATAGATATAACTTTTCAGACTAGAAATATCACTAAAATGACATTGGAATTAGTCATTACTAAAATGTTACTATATGCTACATTACACACTAAAATGTTGAAATTGGAGTTAGTTATTATGTCAACTAAAAGGCTCAGAGATTGAAGTTGAGTGGTTTATAAAAGCAGAGGGAGTAACTATATTTTTATTGCCTACCGTAGATATAATAAATAGACTTTTTGTAATTTTAATGGTCTTAATGATTTGTTATCTTTAAGCTTTAAGCTATAGCTCCGTTAAAAGTGTACTTCAAAAATTTTGTAATAGCCCAACATTGCCAGAAAATAATTTCTATTCTAGAGCGGTAAGTACAAGTTGTGTGTTGCGCTCACCAGATTTTTCTATTTTGTTCTGAGGTTTTAGGTATCTAAAAGTCATAACCTGTCTAAAGCTTGTAGATTGTATCCACTTTACACGTGGACAATTATTAGAAATAAAGCTATTATTATCATTCTAAATGATTCTTACCAATCTTTTTAGGATAAGGGAGATTTAAATTTTTCATCAGTTGTACAAAGTCTTCTTTATTCTTTGTTAGGCGGGGATTAAACTTTTTTTCTTCATCCACTGTAGTGTAAGGTAAACCTGTAGAACAGACAAGATTAAAAAATAATGTATTTAAAAAATTAATCATTTTATTTAAACTATGTGATGTAGAGAATTTATCATCAAAACAATTACTATAATTATTAATATAATATTAATTAATAACATCTCTAGTTGGCCATAATAATAAATAATAATTTATTTTTAATTCGGATTCCACTTAAAACAATTTAAATCCTTAAAGGATCAAGAATACTATTTATATAATCATCGAAACAAACAATGATAAGCAGGCATTAATGATCTCACAAAAAACATCATTGTTCATTATCAAAGAATCAATAATTTTAATCTAATGATAACAATGTAAAACTCTTCAAATAACACAGATACAAAGTATTAAACAATCTTCATTTTTAAAACAAGTGCCTGTCCTCCATAAAAACATAAATAATTGTTTGTTATATAAGTGATAAGGTCATTCCAATTTTTTGAAAGTTGTTTAAAAAATCATTCTCAAAAATATAATTAACACAAAATATAAACTCTCGTCTCTTTAATATCAGAGGAATTATTAACTGATTCTTATAGCATTTATCTTACTATTTTAAATGGTGAAATCATTTTACACTTTTAAAAAAATTGTAAGTATGTTAAATTTAGCTTTAAATTTAACAGTTCGAATTGGAAACTCCCTCAAAGTTGGTCCGTTTGATACAGATGACCATGAAGAAGGTGGAGTGTGCTGTACAAATAGATTGAGGACTTTCTAAGGAATTTGAAATGTACAAGGGCCTTAGGCAGGGTGACAGCTTTGTCTGTTTATTGTTTAATATGGAACTGGAATGTGCTGTTAGAGGCACAGATTGGAGGCACCTTATTTAACAAATCGGCTCCAAATTCTCGCCTTCTCGGATGACTTCAACATAATGGGAAGAAGCTTGGCATCTATGAAGGAGTTTATGGGTCTATGAGCCTAAGGATCTAACAATAAATGAGTCAAAAACTAAATATATCTGAGCAGTATCATTAGCATTAGATTAGCAGGACATGAAAATCGGTGAATTCACACTTCAATGTGTGAACAAATTTATTTATTTAGGCTCTCAAGTGAACTCCGACAATAATATGCAGCAAGAAATTAATAGACAGTTAATGGCTGCAAACAGATGCTATTTCAGACTCCTGAAACATTTCAAAAATAGATTTCTCTTGAGAATCACCAAAGCGCAGCTATATAAGATCCTCATAAGACCTATTTTAACCTATGCTTCCGAACGTTGGACGATCTCTCGAGCTCAAGAACTAATACTCCTAAGATTCGAGAGGCAGATCCTTAAAAGAATACTTGGACCAGTGTTCAGCGATAACGTTTGGATACAAAGAACTAATTCTGAAATATAAAGAATGTACAATAATACAAATGTTGTCAGATTCATAAGGATTGGAAGGCTTCGTTGGGCAGGCTATGTTGCTGTAATGAAGTATGATGAGGTCCCAAAGAAACTTTTGGAAGAAAGGATATATGGCAAGAGGAGAGCTGGAAGGCTACGATTGCAGTGGGCCGATGGAGTGATGGAGGATGTACGGTTCATCTTAAGAATAAGAAACTAGAGGGCAGTGGCAACGAATAGAGAAAACTGGCAGTTGATATTGCAGGAGGCCTCGACTCACCACTGAGTTGTAGTCCCACAAGAAGAAGAAGTTCATTTCAAAAGTGGACGTTTATCAAACTGTCCATGGTATAGTCATATTCTGATCACATGATTCAAATTTAAGTATTGATTGCCTGTTATTTCCTGAATGAAAATAACACCAACAGAGAGATTGGTTAAATAAAAATGAAAAGTGGATCCCATAAATATTGATAAAAAATATTATAACAGGAGAAGCCCAACTCCAAACGTAGGCGAGTAATTTTTCAGAAAATCAATTGGGAAACATAGTTATCAAAGAACAGGCTTAAAACATTGATACTAGAGCAGATTTGCTCTCCTCTCCTTCACCCACAGATCTCATCTGATCAACCCTAAGAAAATAACCTCAAGTAAAAACTTCAAGACGTTGAAATGTTATTAGAAAATCAATTTGTGAAAAACCGGAAGAAGAATGCCACATTAGAATTGTACAAAAACATGGTTGAAACTCCTCAACTTTTAGAACCTGAGGATAGTAGTATTTTAGCAGATAATGTTTGAGAATGTGCCAATGTATATGAAGATTTTAATGGAGATCAGTGTTGTAGCCGATGCGATTATGTATATTTAGATTTGAAAAAGTTCAATTAAATAAAAATTTTACATTTAACATTTTAATTTTTTATTAGCAATTCTAAAAATACATATAAGTACATAAGTTAAGGCTGATTTTGGAGTTAAAAAGTTATGAAACGAACTATTAGAAGTCATTTACAAACGGACAATTGTGAATACTCATTTAAAAAATGGACAGCTATATTTTCAAAGATGAATTTGACTAATTTATCAACTCAAATTGATATCATATTATTCACAGAATTAATGAACAATGTTTAATTCGAATTATGAAAAAGAAAAAAAAAAACAAAAAAAAAACAGACAGTTAAAATTGAAGCATTACAATAAAAATTAGCTTTTTCACAAAATTGTAAAAATGACAGATGTAAACTTGCAAACTTTTGATGTGAGAACACTCAGTTGACAATATTAAAAATAAAATGCGAATGAATAATAAATTTTAAAAAATTAAGTAAGCATAATAGAAAAAAATGATTCTTCAATTACAGGCAAATTATGGTTTATGATATATGAGGTATGGAATACATTAATTTCCGCACATATTCAATCTGGCTGATATTTATCAGGAAAAGTTCAAATCAAAATAGAGGAAAAAAGTTTATCATTCTATTTGATCAGCTGTGGATCCTTATGAGACACACCTACCTTTTATAAAGTGGGTGATCTTAACTAAATAAATAAGAGGAAAAAAGCACGATATCGCTCAAATCAGCTACTTGCACAATCATTGACCCTGAAACGGTATTTCCTTATGAAGTAAGTATTGAACCCCAGACCTCCCATGGATTATAGTGATACAGGTTTATTAAAACTAATAAATACAATATAATTTTCATATAAGATCTTGGGATTTTCATAATACAAATATTTGTTTATTACGATTTTCATAATAAAAATATTTGTTTATTGATTTCAAATCAATTAAACACTAACCCTCAAATTAAACAATTAAAAACCAAAATAGCCTTCAGATGAAAAATAAAGCTCATTGCAAAACTTGTCATAACCTTACATAATTTAAAAAATTAAAGAATTTTTCCCTTTATGAAATCGGAAAGTTGTGTGCTTGTTGCAATTATATTTGATATAAAGAAGGAATTGTGTCATTTTAGTGCAGTTACGGTGTACTAGTACTGGAAAATATTCAAAACTAAAAAAAAAATATTTGAAAGAATATAAATCAAAATAAAACAACAATATATATTATTCAACTTTTAGGTATTTAATAAAAAAAACATTTTTCAGAATATATAAATTAAAAATTCATTAAATCATTTATATATTATAAGGTTATGTTTATCGTGCAAAAAACAAATCAAATGTTTATTGCAAAATATGTTCATTCATGTACTAAGCGGACTTTAAACATATTAAAAAATATTATTATGGTTGCCTCTCAAATTAAGAGAGTACAATACTATGATAAAGCCGATTCTAATATATGACTGTGAGACCTGGACAATAACGAGCACCTTAGAAAAAAGTATCGAAACAATTGAGAGAAAAATCCACAGCACAATAGCCGGAACGATCTGGGATCAGAAGCCAATCAATATCCCATGATATGAAGACACAGTGGTTAAGATTGGCGGGGCGTGTAGCTCGTAGCAATCCATCTTGAAACCAATATGTAACAATGAATGCTAAAGACCACGTGAAAGGCCAAAAAGCAGATGGATAGACAGAATCAACAAAGATGCAATAGAGCAGGGTGCAGATAAATGGAAATAGCCCAAGACAAGCAGAGATGGAACTGTTAAAGTGAAAACATAATTTATTATAAAATCGATTATTTTTGAACCTCTGTGTGTTAACTATTATAACCTCTGGGTGTGTTATAAGAGATTGAGTTTTAACCTTATGTGGATTGCTGTACAATGTGGAACTTATTGCCTTTGTTGATTATAATGTAATGTGTTTTGGTAATTAAAAGTATAAAAATTATCAGTGAGTGTTTTATTAGGAAATACCTAAACAGGAACAGCCTTGTAAAAGCAACAAAATATATACATGGCCTCTAATACCAACAGAAAAAATAAAATAAAAAATAAGGTTGTCTTCAGACAACTTAACACTCACACAAAAATCTAACTGTTTTTACACTACGCATAAATCTAAACACTAATAAATGTAAACATAAATTGTCCCGTTTGAAACTTGGCTTCCTTAACCCGCCAACATAAGAAAGTTGCATATATATATAAAATAGATAAAATAAAAATAAATATAATTTAAGAAGGAGATGGTCCGGGGTGGTATGGTGGCAGTCATAAATAACACTAAATTATTAAGGCAAAATTATTTTATTAAAAGCCACATTTCGACCCGACTTTGCAGGTCTTCTTCAGGGAGTTGTGTTCAGCAAGGAGTTTCACTTAGAACTGGCTAAACCAGAACTAGTTTGAACCAGTTCTAAGTGAAACTCCTTGCTGAACAGACCTCCCTGAAGAAGACCTGCAAAGTCGGGTCGAAATGTTGGCTTTTAATAAAATAGATTTGTCACTATTTAGTCTATTTATGACCGCCACCCCAGACCATCTCTTTCCTTATTAAATATAATTTATTTATTTTTATAATTTTTTTTTATTGAACACCCATACCAATGTTCTCTTCAATTATTTTTATGAATGACAAAATATTTACAATAGGAAACAGAGAAATTTTTTATTGCTGACCATTAAGTACTTAATATGTATTATAACAATACTTCAAAATCTGAAAGAGTACATCTGACCAGGATAGTCATTAGGTCAGAAACGTAAAAATTATTATTTTTAAATTTAATCAATAGAAAATTAAGGTTAAAAGACTCACAATATTTTTACTCACAAACACATTTCAATATTAAAAAATCTTTTTAACAACAAAAAATTATTTAATTTATAATAAATAGATGGTTTATAAGTTAATTTTATTTTATTTTCATTTTCAAAAGCTTTTTTATTTATGAGAACTTTCATTATATTTTATTACACCCACAGCTAACTCCTAATGATTATTTATTATTGAATAAATTTATAAATTAAATAAAGTCATTAATAACGGACAACCAAAAGAGAAATTATATCGGTTTTGATTCAAGTAAAACAAGGCTACTTTAATTATGTTTTGAAATTATATTGTTCCAACTAATGGAAGATACAACACTGACCAATCAGAATTAAATAAAAGCAAAAAAAAAAATCCAAGTTTTTCGATGTATTTTCTTAAAGAGCCTAACTCGCTAGATTCATTTCCTAAGAAGAAGTAAAAGTGTTGAGCAAGAACTGAAAAACATTTAAATAGGTTTACACTGTTATTTTTATATATTACAAGAAGTGAATACGGCAAGGAATACAACTGACCTAATCTAACATAAATATTTAAATAGAGGATCGGTTGCCTCCATATACTTTAAATCATACCCAGGTACTTTTAGGATTCCCCGTACAAAGTGATAAATGTGATCTTGAAATAAGCCAACATATATGAATAGCAATTTGGAACAAGTACTGATATGAAATAAGAAAATATAAAATTCATAAACTAAAAAACTCATTTTGTGATAACAATATATTAATTTTTTTTTTAAATCTTTAAATTTAATATAAGTTACATAATATATGATTGATTTCAGAAACATTTTAGCATACCTTTGTAATCATGAGCTGGAAATAATTTGTAATATCCAGGTAAAGAAAAGATTTCTTTGTAAACGGAATCATAAAGAGTATTAGAATCACCTTCCTGGAAATCAGTTCTTCCACAACCTCTTATTAGAAGAGTATCACCAGTAAAAGCCATGCTTTCTTTATCACAAACATATGTAACACAGCCTAAAAAAATAATTCATAGTGTGATACAAATAGTTTTTATGCTAAAAGCATTTTTTAAATTATAACAATCAAGATATTAAAAAAATATATTAATTATTAATTATAATTTCTAAAGAGCAACTAACCCAGAAATATCAAGCCAAAGTAATAGAAAAAATAGAAGATATGTGTTAGAGGAAAAACATTGGAAACTTCCATATTTTACTTAAGCTGTGTTTAGTACAGCTTGTTTCATTTTGGATATGCGACTTGTACATTATGATTAAATTCATACTTTAAGATTCCTAACCAACAGATACTTATAAGAAGAAACAAATATTATATAAATCAAAATATGCATAATTAACTTATTTTTAAAAAAGTACTGAATACATAACTTTGAAGCAAGATAAATATAAAAGTAGCAATAATAAAATGAATTTTTTCAAAACTATTACAAATATTTAATATTTAAAAAAATCTAGTATAATTTGATGACTTTGGTCAGACATAACAAAATTGATTGATTATTAAATACAAAATAATTGACTTTATTTATTATGTTAAATATTTATATTAATTATTATATTTAATCCCTCTGATTTTATATAAAATTACTTTTATTTTATTTAAAAATACTTAATCCTTGAAAAGCTAAGTGGAAGAACATTAAAAACCTCAAATTATTCAATTTTTAACCACATCTGATCTTTTTACTATAAAGATATTAAAAAATATTCTTTATATTTTATTTAGTAAAGAATAATTTATATTTCATTTAAGCTCAATTTAAAATAAGATGTTTAAATTTGTTATGATTAGTTAAGAATACATTTTATATATTTGCATATAAGGAAATTCCATTAAGGAAAATACATAGATTCTTCTATCAATTTATTATAAGATAACAATTGCAAGTCTGAAGTGTATATGAGCAATATACTTGTAATGCTCTCTTAAAATATGCAATAAATATAAAAACTATTTTGTTTTACTGTACTATTAACAATTGGAAAACAATTTTGCTAACCAATTCTAAATAAAATGTTAATTGTTTCAATTAGTATTTTTTAAAAACATAATACACATATTCAAATTATATAGAAATAGACTTTTGATGAATATATTTTTAAATTATTTTCGTAAATGTATGGCCAGGATTTTCAGTCAAGTTTATTTTATTTTTGTTGCCAATTATTCGGACCAAGAATGTCAAAAAACAATTAATAATTGTTAAGCTACTATTCATATTAGTTACTTGTTATTTAATCATAATATAATTCTATATATTCCTCTATATATTTATTTAGTCATATTCTTTTTAGTTACAAAATCTTACAATACAAAGTTGCTCTATTGTATTGCAATATGTTTATAAAATTCAAAAATTCACCCAATTTATTCTTGCCTCTAGTTGTTTTATGGATACTTCTTACTTAATTTGATACATTTGGACTATTTAAATAGACTCCATTTACTACATAATTACCATTTATTTTTTATTTTGGTGAACTAGTATTTTTAAGTAACTATTAATCTTTTAATCTTGGTTTATTTATATACTTCAGTCTATATCTTATATTTCTGATATAATTTTTTATTTTTAGCCCGGATGATACTTCAATATATCACTGATAATAATTCAGCCTATATTATTTATTTCTGATGTAATTTATAATTTTTAGCCCTGGCGATACACAACCTTGGGTAAAAATATCTGCTAATATTATAAAAAAAGTTACCTAAAACTCCTGACAATACATTTTCTAAATAATTTTAAAAAATAAATTATAATGGAATTATTTTGATAATTTCATTTTTTGTATTCTCTTATTTTGATAAATCTATTGTTAAGTTTATTTCAAATTCAGAAATTGAGAATTAAAAATTAAAGATTAAATTAAGAATTACTTGAAAAGTAAATAAATTATACTTAATGGAATAAAGACAAGTTTTATAAGCATGTATAAAATATATACACATACTTGGACCATATACTTGTGATAATTTTCAGAAATTATTACAAAATCATTAGTGAGTTTATAATTTGGTACTACTTAACAATCATTGCTGCATTTTGATGGATAGGCACAACATCTTATGATCACATTATATATGAAATCCTGGGAATAGAGACAAACTTTATACAGAGATGTTGAAGGGTTTTTCTGAAATAATGGGCAATATTCATGATAAAATTTTAATAATTTTGAAGGCATTTAAATACAATTTTCTAAATACCTACACCTTCTATTTCCGCTCAGCTTTATCTGAGCGAATGACCAAGATCAAAAGTGCTATGTGCTCAGTAATTAAAGTAAGTAAAGCTAATAATTTGGTTGCGGGAATGAAATGAGTTTTCAATTTGGTAATGAAAATTTCACGTGTTTTATTATTTTACAAACCCGCTGTGTAACTAGTATTATAATTTTAGTTTTTTTCCAACTGACTTGCTACAAACCCTAGTCAAACGTGAATTGTAATAAATGAAATAATTTGAACAGGTAGCGGGATAATATACGCGGTGGTAATGACAATAAAGGTACGTGCTCAATGTATAAAAAACGGATGGTAGTGCAAAGAAGATAAACAAAACTACCTACAGTACCTTTTCGATTGAGGCCTTGCCAGACAGTTTAGTCACTTTTTCTACTACCAGTCAAATCATTCACATAATTTCATTTATAATGTGCTCAAGAGATCTTGTGTCCGCCCATCAAAGTGGAGCAATATTGGTACAGTGCCTACAATTTTTTGCAAAATAAAATGTTTTCGCACTCAACTCTTTAGTCATGAAGAGAATTATATCTTGAATTGGATTGGTCTTACTTAAAAAGTTAATTATTATTTATATATATTAATGATTTAGAAATTATTAAAATAATCATAGTACCATTAGTGTGGCCAGGAGTAGATTTGACAGTGAGGCAAAAATCACCAAATTGAACTACATCATTATGGTTAACATGAACATCTGCTGCAGCTCCGCTGGTCTTGGAAATAAGTGACTTACAGCCTGGAAGAGTTTTCTTCAAAAGACCAGTCCCTGTGATGTGGTCGGCATGCATATGCGTGTTCACTGTACAGGTAATTTGATATCTTGTAAAACCATCATTAAAACTTTGTAATACATAGTTAACTGATGAAATAATTACTGGCATATTTCAACTTCAAACCGAGTTCATTTATAAGTTTTGTGTCTCTTTCGACCTGCTCCAATACAGGGTCGATTATAACACATTCTTTAGCAGAAACATCACCAAGAAGGTAGGTATAGGTGCAGCTTTCATGGTCAAACAGCTGTGGATTTTTAAATATTGGTGACAATATTATTAGAGAAAAAAAATAAGAAGAGTTGGTATTGTAATTACTTACCTGTCGAAAAATTAATCCAGCTCTGGACTGCATCTGAGGGCTTGACACAAAAGATCGAGAAGAGACTGGACATTGCTTGCAAACTTTATTAAAAACATTCAGTAGATAAGACATTATAAGGAAGAATGGTTGTGCGATGTAATCCACTAACACTTATAAACCTTGAAATGTCATTTAGTGGTTTCAACAATGCTAGATATACCACTTATAACGATGAGTAGATAAGACATTATAAGGAAGAAAATGGATTGTGTCGATTGTAATCACTAACACATAATAAGTTAGGGAAAGATGCCGATAGCTGATCGGCTTCAGTTGGAGGTCACATTACCTCCTCTCGCGTAATCTCATTCCTGGTAATCTCAATAAATCCCGCCATTACGTCTACTTAACTTCGGACATCGCGGATTCCATGTAAATCAAATAGATCGAGTTCCAAAATTCAGCGCTGAGTCCATCGATGGCATCTCATCTTTAAACCGGACGAAACAATGGCATCGATGAGCTAAGCGCTGAGTTAAGGAACTTTCACAAAGACTTATCTGTTGACAGCTGTTGTTGGTAACCCTATTTTACCTCCCAGCTACAGTCATGTGTGTTTATGTTGTTGGGTGTTATATGTTTGACATAAATAATTGTTATAAGTAATATTAAGTTATTACAATGGAGCCGAATACTACTTCTGATATGAAAATAGAAGACAATGCAGCTGCAGACAAAGAAAAAGTTTGTACAAATATTAGATAATTATAATTTTTACATTATTGTAAGACCATAACATTTATATGAACTCTTTTTTTTATATAGGTGGAATTATTTCAATATCTTGAAGACTTCAGTAAAAGATTGCAGCAAAAGCTTGAATTATATAACAAAAATCAGCAAGCATGTAAGAAAAGACCTGATGCTACTGCACTTTCTAAACTTGATTCAAGTTTAAAGAAAAACACAGCTTTTGTCAAAAGATTGGTTTGTATTTAACTAATTAATTTCAAAATTTTAACAATTAATCAACATTAAATATTGAGAGAATTTTTTTGAACATTAGTGTGTTTTGTTAAGAATTGAATTTTCATTTTTAAAAAACAATTTTTAAGGTTTCTATTTTGACACTGCACGAACTAAATTCAATCATTTACATCTATAATATATTAAAATATATATATTTTTTTATTTGCAACAAACAAGATTTTTGTTACTAGGTAAATGTATATGCATGTGATTTTAAACATATAATTAATTTAAAAATATATTCAAAACTATTATGTTAAAACTTTTTTTTAAATATTTTGATGTAATGCTTTTATTATTATTGCTCTGTATTCAGATGAAAACTATCAAATTACGCTCACTTATGGTTTAGAAATTCCCTTTTATTTTTGGTTACTCTACCATGAAATAATTTAACAAAAACATTTGTTATATGAACAAGATAATTATTTTACGTTTTCCCTACACATAATACTAGGATACTAGGTAAGATTAAGAATAATCTCTGAATGAGGATCACTTGAGATTCCAACAGGTGGAAAAAAATGATCTTTCTGAAGAGCATTTTACAAGAATGGAATAGGCAATGATGACTCTAAAAGAGACTCCTCTATAAGTGATGTGGGAAGTAAATGGAAAGTTCGAGAATGAGAACCACATGGGTCCTTTCATAGTACGGGTCTCACAGTTCCTCAGAGGGCATGGCAGTTTCTTGGCGAAGCTCATTAAATACGATTAATAGATTTGTCACCTATGCCAAAGTTGTAGAGTATCATAGACAGCAGTCTTAGTGAAGTATGTTGTACTTGTTTGTATCACCATAAGCTGTTGTGGAAGATAGGACCCTAAGTTCTGACAGAGATAATGACCAAGGATAACTACCCTTACTATATGGCCTTTATGTAAAGTTGGCCCAACCCACTTCTTGTGAGATAACAAGAATTCCATCAGGAATGCTACCAAGCAGTTAGGAGAGGACTTTGGCAAAATCAACAAGAGCAAGTTGTGTGCACAGCTGGAGAAAAAAATGCAATGTTTGTTTGTGTCTTTATTCTCAAATCGTTATTAATATTTGTTGTTAATATTACAGCAGATACTGTATATATATATATATATTGTATGAATTTTCGTTAATTAGTTTTGGGCCAGGTATGGTGTTTATAAGGGCTCTTTTCTACTTTAAACACACCAGTGACTCTATCTTTTTCTCTTTTAACATCTATAACATGGTGTCGTATTAAGACAAAATTTTGAATAAAAGCTCATTATAAAGACGGTGAAATGATAAATGGTTTCCTCGCTTACAGTATACATGTCCGATTTCTTGTTTCTGAGCTATTTTAATCTGTTTGTTCAAGCAAACTCGTTCAATTTTTGCCTCTCTAACATGGCATCACGTTAAGATACAATTTTGAGTAATAGCTCATTAAAAAGAAGATAAAATTCTGAATATTTCCATTGCTTACAGTATGCATGTCTGATTTTCAGTTTCTGAAATATTTTACACAAAATTTCTTGAAAAATTCACTGGTGTGCTTAAAGTAGAAAAAGCCTTTATTTATTTATACATACTTATTATAAGAGACTTTACCACAGAATAAATTTTATGTTCTACCTATCTATCTTTCTTTTAGCAGTAGGTTGTAATGCAAGCATACGTAGCTCATCACTGCTGCAAACACTAGTATTGTCTAACATGTAGGAAAGGGTTTTAAATAAATAAAAATGGTTTGTACATTTAAGCTTCAGGTGAAAGAATGCACTTTATTATATATTCTTGCCACTGAAAACACTTCCTGTGTTTTCCTGCCATCTTCATGTGATTTAGTTGTTTTAAGAGAAACTGTTCCTACTAAATTTAATTGTTAATTGTTTTTTTTTTAAATAGTTAAATTTCATTATATAACCTGATGGAGGTATAGTCACTCTCACTGTGCCCCTGATCTTAGAAAAATATTTGGAATTTTTAGCAAAATGGCCACTCTGATTCCTCTACTAAGACCCATTCACTTAGATCTAACTCTGTGCTTGTTATACACTGATCGATTTTGTTGATTGAAGTTATTGTAGAGCTGAGGTTTACTCTTCTATCAATAAGGGATTTATTTAATTTGTAATAAGTTAAGTGAAATTTCTTAATTCAGCCACGGATCGATCCTGGGGTTGAGAGAATCTTCTTAGGGCACACCCAACCCTCTTACTTGGTGTTCATAATTGGAGGAAAACCTGTTGGTTGAGCATAATCATGGCCAAATCATCTCCTTGCACAGCAGTTGGTCAGTATTTCCTTACAAAGGATTTCAAATTTGTATTTCATATCTTGATAAACTCTCAAATATGAATTTTCCATTCGATATTTCAAATAGAAATAAAAAAATTTTACCTCAAATTTTCATCTAGCCTGGAGCCTCTGATTTTATTTAAAAACTCACAAAAAGTATGATAACTTCGACCACCTATCCACAGGAATTTAGGGTCAGTTAAACTACAAGAAATGGCACAAATGGAATTCTGGTAAATTTAAAATAAAAACTGTGGGTTGATGGTTTACTGTAGTGTTCCTCATGAGGGCGTTAAATCTAAAAGTTATTGATATGGTTTTGAAGAGCAATAATCCAGCTTTCCGACGGTCATTGAACCATTGAATTTGGAGAAAATCCTGAGGAGTTATGAATTATTTAGTGAACAGCAGGGAAAGAAGATTGTAATAGAAAGTGAAATGGTTTCCATGGTAACCAGATTAGTATTCCATCATTTGTCTATTTTTCTATTATATAAAACAGTTTTAGTGACTTTCATATTTTATTTTATTTTAGTATTAGGAGGGTAGAAGAGCTCCACTTTTCAGTCCAGTTGTCTAGGCTCGATAGTGCTGCTCTCCTGTGTTGATTATTTTACAAATTATACAGCTGTTCATTTAATTAGATATGTGTTGAGCTCCTGGTGCCTCCTACTCTCTTAATACAAAATAAAGATTTTAGACTAAAAATTTATATTGGAAATGTTATTTTCATCTGGAGGTGGTAGTTTGATTTTACCTATGTGACAGCAGTTATTTTTTTATTTAGACATATCACCTTGAATACAATATATTAATTATTATATTACATATAATATTATATTGTGATATAGATAGATAGAAAAATAGAAAAGGAAGCATAATATAACATACAATAAAAATATTAGAAATGTAAGACTCAAATTATTGTTGAGCTTATATGAAGCTGGACAAGTTGAATATATGCTATGGTTATGAATTGGCAATAAAAATAATATAAATTTTCAATAAGGTCAGATCTATAATATTGTGAATTGTGGTGTTGTTCAGTTTATTTTATGTTGATTAAAAATATTATTGTCTGAACTACAGAATCGGGGCCAAAAGGTTAAAGTAGTATGACCACTTAATGCGGATGGATGAGAACCGCTAGCCAAAGGAAATTTATAACTATATGCCACCTGGAAGAAGGAAGCATGGAAGGCCAAAGAAAAAAATAGATAGAGGAAGTGGAGGAATGCATGGCAGCCAGAGATCTCCGTGAAGGAGATTGGATAGACAGGGAGCAATGGCTTTTGGGTATTGGGGATATGACTCCTTATGCTGTGGAAAAACCCGAAGAAAAAAAACTACAAAATACATGTAGATTAAAATCATACAATTTGAGCGACGATTACAATTAAATGAACAGTTGTGTAATTTGTAAAAGGGGGATCGGTCCGCTGTCAGGCAGACAGGGGATACCCTCCTAGTCTTTAGAAAATAAAAATGTATTATTAAAAAAGTCCTGTCTTTGGTATAGACTGTTCTTTACACAAGACACAACTTTGTTAGGGGGTACTTATTTTTTATTTTATAGTCCTTACAGGCATAGTTTACGAGACTCATATCTTAAAATTCACCACAATTTTATATTCCACAGTCATGTTTAGATAACATCAATCAAATTTCACTGTTCAATGAGAAGCATTGAGTTGAATATATATATATTTCATTAGTGTTAAGAGTCGTTATATCTCAAAATCAACATTTATTTTCTTTCATAACATATTTTAAAATAAAGTATAATATTGAATGATATTAAATATTACTAATTTATATATCTTTTATTGTTTTGTTTTTTTATAGAGGAACTTCACAGCAGGCCAGTTAGATACTTTTTTAAGAGATCTGAGTGGCCTTAATCTATCCAAATATTTGAGTGAGGTGGCTACAGCCCTTGTGGAAGTAAAATTGAAAATAACAGATGTCCCAGCTGCCGTACAGCTATGTTGTCACATTCATTGGACTTACGCTGATTTCGCATCGATATTTTTGGAACATTGGATAAAAACATTACATCTGAAAAAAAATGAACCGGTAAGTTTAATAATTTAGTGATGAATTTTTGTTTAACTATTTTGAATAATAAATAATCAGGATTTTAAGTTATAAATAAAATAAATATAAATAAAAGCGAAAATTTTAACACGAAACAACAATTTTATTACTCTGTGATACAGACCCCTTTTTATTAAATTATTAACATCCGCCTTAAACTTCGTGCATAGCTTCATCTTATCATAATACAACTTTCTTATCAAGAAATCTAGCCTTTAAACTTTAATTTAATTATTTTAATGGGATTATAAAAACTCATGAATACCCATTTGCTTTCCACTTGAATCGTAAGACAATTTGATCACAAAATCAAGAAAAATTGCTGTGCTATGGAATATATCATATTCTTTTTTATTTACTAATTTTCACTTTATTAATGTATTCTAATTGTTTTTAAAATTGACCTCATTTATTCTTATCACTACAACATTGTTCGAAATATAAGATAAACAATAAATTTTATTCTAATATTGTATATGTGTGTGGACTGTTGACTGCGCTCTCCTGACTAACTTCTTCATAAATATTTTTCATTTAATTTTATCGTGTCGAAACGTCGCCAACGATAGTATAATAAACATATTTTTGGTTTATTGGAAAATTTCATTAAATAAATTATTTAAATTATTTAAAAATGAAATTATTTAAAAATTTCATATAATACAGTCTGTATGATAATGGCGCAATAAATAAGGTCAAAATTCACAAAAGTGAACTTAAAAGTTAAGATATGTCAAAAATGTACTTAGTGATTTTTTAAAATAAACCAATAATATTGTCCCTGAAAATCTTAATTATTTATCATTTTTAAAAAATTGTTTCTTGTTAAAAAACATTTTTAATGGTGATATTTTTACTTTAGCTTATCTATATATAAAATATATAGTAAAGAAAAGTAGTGCGATATGAAAATTTTCGAATTTGAGTTTTTAACGGAAATACACATTTTGAATGAAAAGTTGTACAAAACTGAAATTACGTATTTAAGGTTTGTATACTGCTGGCATATTACAGGAACTTTTCCATAAAAATCGGCATACCCGAAATTGCATTTTACAACTTCGATTCAACACATTTTTACGATTTTCTTGAAAACGGCTCTAACAATTTGGATTAAACTGGGCATATGAGTGTATTATTTAGTGGTCTTTAATATCAGCTAGGTCTTTTCCACATTGATGACACCTAACATGGCTTAAATGACCAATATTCTATATTTCTTCCTTTAAAATACCCTTAATTTGGTTTATTTAAAAAATTTAACTGTCTCTCATTGTCAGGAGTTACAAAAAAATAAAACTTTTGAAAGAATTTGATGATTGAATAATGGATGTAAAAGAAAAAAAATTATTTAGGTCGAAAATAAATCTGTGGGAATAATAGTCAGAAAGTAATAGAGAATAATAAATAATGATTCGTGAAAACTAATATTATTTAATGAAAATCACTTGTTTCCAACAAAATTAAATGAAATTTACTTACTAAATGTAAATTTTTAAAATTATTTTTAGATTTGAAAAAAAGATGTAAAATCCACCAAATCTAGGCAATGACATTGTTTAAAAAAATATTTCATTGTAGTTGTGTGAAAGAAGAATTAAATTATAAAAACCTGGTGCGCACAACACACAACTTTCACTTACTTCTCTACTTTGAATAGAAGTTATTTTCTGGCAATGCTGGGCTATTATAAAATTTTTGAAGTGCATTTTAAACGGAGCTAAAGCTTAAAGCTTTCAGATAACTAGTCATTAAGACCATTATAATTAAAAAATACGGTAGACAATAAAAATCTAGTCACCCCATGTTGGGATTTCACAAAGGGAAAATTCATCAAATTATTCACTAATTTAATTTTCAAAAAGGTTACTTGATGATTTTTTGGAATAAACGGCCAATAGATACCTAATTATTTAAATATAATATCTTATATAGGGGTAATACTCTATAGTAAATATATTTGAGGTTATAAACTTATCCATGAAATATTTTTATATTTCACTTCTTCTTTCACACAAGTACAATGAAATAGTATTTTAAACAATGGCATTGGCTTGATTCAGTGGATTTTAAATTCTTTTTTTTCAATCTTAGAAAAACATTTAAAAGTTTACTTATAGTAAGGCATATACCTATCTTAAATACGTAATATCAGTTTCGAACAACTTTTCGTTTTTGAGCTAGACTGCTAACAAACACAAACACAGATACACAGACCATTTTTCGGGACCATTTCGACTCAGGGGACCTCAAAACGTGTATTTCCGTTGAAAACTCAGATTCAAAAATTTTCACGATCGCAATACTTACCATTACTATATATTAAATATACACGTAAGTGAAAGTAAAGATATTTCATGGATGTTTAAAACATATGTTTAATCTTAAATACATTTACTGTAGTTTAATAACTCTAGATCTGTTATTATATTTAAATAATTTGGCATCTATCGTCCGTTTATTCCAAAATATCATCATGTAACCTTTTAGAAAATTAAATTAGTGAGTAATTTGATGAATTTTCACTATGTTAAATCTCAACATTATCCACTTACAATCAGTGTGACAACTTTTGACCTATCTATGGCAGGCAATGAAAATCTCATAATTTCATTTTAGTAAACTTTACAATGGAAAGTAACAGTTTAATAACTAATAGTCTACAATCCATATTCATTTATAGGTTAAATATACAGATGTACTTTCAAATCTCTCCAGGCATATATGTGGCTTTCAGTTGACAGAATGACTAACTCCAATTTTAACATTTTTTATTGTTAATTTTAGTGATATTTCTAGTGGGGAAAATTTATATCTTCATTCACAGTTCTATATTTCAACACTGAAATCACCTATTCTGGAATGAACTTACTCACGGCTTGTGCAGATCTTATAAATTTTTCAACTAAAAATATCACTAAATTAATATTACTCAAAAATGTTGAAATTGGAGTCAGTCATTCCGTCAACTGAAAGGCACATATAGCTCAGAGGCTGGAGTTATGTGGTTTATAAAAACAGATGGAGTAGCGAGATTTTTGTTGTATACATCATTATAATAAATGGTATTTTTGTTATTTTAATGGTCTTAATGATTTTTTAGCTGTAAGCTTTAAGCTTTAGCTCCATTTAAAATACACTTCAAAAATTTTATAATAGCCCAACATTACCAAAAAATAATTTCTATTCAAATTAGAGCAGTAAGTGAAAGTTGTGTGTTTTTTAATACACCAGAATTTTTTGTTTTGAAATGTAATAATATTTTTTTTAAATTATTTTAATTGTTCCTCCTTTTTCTAGATTGAAAATGTCAGCAAATTAAGAGTTGATCTTCGATTTTATGGGGATCTGGTTTCGTCGGGAATGCTTTCTAACAAGGAAGCACTTCCATTACTCGGAACAGTGTTGACAATTCTCACAAATAGGGACAAAGAAAATCATCACAATGTTAATATTATCATTAGCTTTTGTAAACATTGCGGAGAAGACTTTGCAGGTAAATATAACAGTTGAAATTAAGTTATTTTCTATCTGTGTAATCAATGATAGTTACGTGAAATAATTTCTAATTCAAATAACTTTTTTTTTAAATTAATAAACAATAATTAAATTTTTATTTATTATTTATAGATAATCTTAATTATCTTTTATTGATTATTTAAAACTATTATCTCATTAAATTACAAGGAATAAAACCCGTGTTTAAGACAACACAGCATAAAGAAAATTGTATTCTCTTCTAAACTCAATAAATTGTCAGAAATTTGTTTTAATTTTCCTCTTATATCTCCTGAATAGGAAAATAGGATTTTCATTCAGTTTTCATTTTATATAATTTTTAATGATGCAGAGATGGTTGACCGATATATAATACGAGAAGGAGTTGGTCAGGAGTTGCGGTCAAATAAGTACTAAATTTTTACTTTTAATTTTAGTATTTTAATGGTTACATTGCTACTATTGAGCTACTACTCCAACAAAATATTTACCCCCCTGACCAAATACTTCTCCTATATATTTTTTGTTTTTTCACAGATCAAATTATTTTCTGACTTTATTAATCAGATAATTGAAAAAGGAAAACTGTTGTGAACATTTTTGTTTTCAAAAATTCAAAAAAAAAAAAATCACAAAAACAGCTGAATTAATGATTATATTATCTCCACATATATTATTACAGTAAGGCTCAAAATCGGTTTTGTATCAAATATAAGCTCCTGTCATGCTCAAATACCATGAATGGAGTACCGTTGGATTCAGAATTTCACAGGGGGTTAGCGAATCGTATTCTCCACTTTTGTTTTCTTTCTAAAATAAATAAAGTCGATACAAACATTTTGCTAGGCTTCAATACTGGAACGGTGGTAGGTCTGTAGATCGATACTGGATAAATTGGATCTTGAAGATTTTGATGCATACAGCAAGACCCTGTGTTTTTAAGCCTAAGAACGTACTATTTTCGAGATAACGCAAGGCATAGAGTTCGCATCCACACAACCTTACATTAATTGTAGTACTATCATTGAATACATGTCTCATTTCATCGACTTGAGATCTCTATGATCGAGAGAGGAGGAGTTTATATTATTTATCAATGGTGTTTTGATCGGCAAGCCATATCGTTAATTCTTCACCAAATCTAAAGATTGAGCCACCAATTTTGAAGGCTTCCTTCTCCTTCAGGCGGGCAAAATAGTCCAATCATCCCGAAAATTCAGGCAAACAAGTTATGAAAGAAAACAAACTTTATTTGCGAGTAACTAAAAAATTACACACTTTTTCCTTGGTTATGCCCATGATTATATAAAACATTACTAAATTCTCTACAAAATGAAAAAAAAAAAATCATCGAAATCGGACAATATTTAGCAAAGATACAGCTTACTGAACTTTGTATACACATTGGTTCCAAACAGAAATGAAGATTTAAATTAATTTTTTTTTCTTTGTTGCTTATATTTATTGATAAAGGAACATTTGATTTCTTTATCTTTTGATACGTTGCGTAATTTTATTTTCTTATTCATTTGGAATTTGATAACAATATGCTGTGCTAATTTTTTGCACGGGTCTACTAGTCAATGGTAAAGTATTGAACAGATAAGGTAACTTGTAATTTAATTTCAGGTCTTGTGCCCAAACATGTTAGGAAATTATGTGAAAAAATTGGAGTTGAATTACCCAGGAGTACTCTTCTCTCAAGTGAAAAGCAGAGTAATGTCCGTTCTTTGTTTAAAGAGTATTACGGATCATTATGCCAACATCTTTTAAAGGTATGTATTATGTATATCTCTCTATTATATAAAAAAAAGTTTTTAGTGTCTTTCATATTTTATTTTATTTTAGTATTAGGAAAATAGGAGATGACAGGTGCTCTCCTATAAATTACATTATATTTTTATTATTTATGTTATTATTATATTCTTTTTGTTTTATTGAGTATTAATACAGTCTACCACACTGAAGGGCATTGGTACTAGAGCTATAGTATTCATTCACACAATATGTACATAAGAAAGGAAAACAAAAAAAAAAAAAAAAAAAATATATATATATATATATATATATATATATATATATATATATATATATATATATATAAAGATAAAGTAATATACAAGGTAAGTAAAATAACAGATTAGCCAAATAATAACAAAATAAATAAAACACATTCACACCTATGTACAATATTTACATTGGCCCAGGGGACTCTGAATCAAGCTTTGTCCCCCAACTGTGGAAGCCAAAGCAGGACTCAAGGAGATCCCAGTGCTTCTCTCCCAGCCGCGTCACTGGTATAGTAAGCCAGTGGAGACTGATGGAGGGCACTAAAGCAACAGACGCTTAGGACATGAGTGAAGAATCTGGCCAGTGCCAGTACTCCAATATATACATTTTTACAAAAAGTCGCGGGATTATTATATTAAGCCATAAATATTTGAAATAAAATGTAAATTTAATTAAATAGTTATTACAAATGATCTATTTGTTTTGTTTTTTTTATAGGACCATGCTAAAGTACAAGCATTTGAAAGGCAAAACGAGCAGATGCTGCGACTTAAGGGAGAGGTGCGGCAGGAAAGAATAAGTCAGTTGGAACTGATGCAAACCGAGTTGCAGACACTGTTGACTAGCGCTGAAACATTAGCTGAGCTTCTCGATCAACCGCTCCCGCCCCTGCCGAATTTAAGTGAGTATAACATCTTATAATTATATCAGTGATACAAAATGGGTTTCTTAATTTTACCTTCCTGAACTACATAATTTAGAAAAGTATGGTTTTAGACAAATTGTATTTTATTCAGTTATTACCCTATTACAGCTAAGCCAAAATGAGTATAACGTGTTTAGATTTCTTGCTTGTAGGTATATAACGATTTTTTGAGTGAACGGCAGAACCGATCTTCAATAGTCCACGATATAAATCCATTTTTATAAAATTATTAACACCCCTCCAAAACTTTGTGATTGGCTTCATCTTATCGTAACCTGCAAATTTTTTATCTACGAAAATCTCAGAAATGTGTTGTTTTCTCATTAAATTAATTAATTTAATGAGATACTGAACGCTCATGAATACCCATTTCCTTTCCACTTGAATCTTAAGATAATTTGATCACAAAACAGAGAATAAAAGCCTACAAAAATATTAGGCCATTTGACCTAAATGACTTCGTTATTTTGACATGTTGGGGATCGAATTCATGCCAAACGGCCCAATAAGTAAACCATCTTTTTTCCTGATTATGAGATCAAATTATCTTATAATTCAAATGGAAAGGAAACGGGTGTTCATGAGTCTTAAGTGCCTCATTAATAGACACAGTTTATCAATTTTCAAATTGAAAACATCCCATTTCTGAGAATTTTTGTAAATAATAGTTCTAGGTTACGTTAATAGATAATAAATCTCTTTAGATATTCTGTCCCACAATTCTCCTATATTATTATCTAATTTTAATTTACATGAACATTTCGCCATTTGTCTGTATACAGTCGGCATATCTGCTTCCTAATTATCACAATTATTTTTTATGAAAAACATTTTAAAATTGGTTTTGTCTATTTCATCTTGCCGAATAGACAATGGTCATTTATTAAAAAAATTAAAACAAAATAAAATAAATTTATTTCATATTAAAACCAAAATTATATAAATTATCAACAATTTGAAGACATAATTGTTTATTGAGTATTTAATAGTTAATAGTTGCTTTATAAAGGAAGGAAATGGTCTGGGGTGGCGGTCATAAATAGGCTGAATAGTGAAACTCCTAGCTGAACACAACTCCCTGAAGAAGACCTGCAAAGTCGGGTCGAAACGTTGGCTTTTAATAAAAATAGTTTTACCACTATTTAGTCTATTTATGACCTCCACCCCTGACCATCTCTTTCCTACATAATTGTTTAATTTATTAAATCAATCCCTTCCACGTCTGTCAGAGATATTGACCTAATAATCATGCTGTCGGGCACTGATTCTCATTTGACTGCTGTGGACTGTATATAAGGGTATTTCATTATAATTAAACTATGGGGTTGAACAGATTGCTATATTTTATTTGTATTATAATGTGAATTCTTAGAGCCGGATCTATTACAATAAAGGGTTAGTGTATTAATAAATTTGTTCTACATATTACAAACTATTTTAACTGACGTGGATTAGGTTGGGTGCTGTCTGAAAATTAATTAATTAGGTACTTGTTGCTTCTGCTCCGTTTTCTCTCATCTCCCTCTTTTTTCTGTAATTCTTGCCGCTTGAGTTTCTACTCCATTTCTCTTCTTAAAAGGCTGTACAGATGAAATGATGGTTGGCCAGCTATTTCTACGATCTCAAGTGAACATGATTCTTTCAGAAACTCTTCATGTCTGTTTCATCCTTCTTTGCTTCTGTTACCTACCAAGAAATGGCAACAGTGCTGCTTGATTCTTCACCAAATTCAAATTTAAATAAAGTGGAAACATGGTTGTGTTCCCTTAACATAATAATAATTTAATGGATCCAAAAACTTAATTTACTTTAAATGACTATAACCAATGTAGGTTACGATAATATGAAGCCATACATGAAGTTTTAGATTAATGTTAATAATTTGATAAAAAGTAGTCTATACCCCCGTAAGATTATCATTTTAAAATATTCTCATTTTAGGTTTATCAAATGACAGAAGTCCTGTAGACACTGAAGAAGGCTTGATGTTAGACGAAGGCATTTGGGAAGACGAAGATGCCAGGTGTTTTTATCAAGTTTTCCCGAATCTCCAAGAGTACCTTCCGACGTTAAAGTCTACCACAGAGCAACCACCAACTGAACCACCTGTAATTTATTTTATTTATTTATTATAAAAAGGAACTTTGAGCCTAATGAAAAAAAAAAAATATTATATACAGGGTGTTTCAGGGTCAAGTTGCCAAACTGCAAAATTGAACTAAGGACCTCAAAACAAGAAAAAAATTTCCTCTGAAAGTATATCCGCAAATGCTTTATTTAGGAGATATTCACACCTAAAGATTTTCATTATTATGAATTATTTACGTTATATGAAATAAATAAAACTTATTTATTTGCTCTAAATACTTTATTAATTAGTCCAAGTCATTGACCTTAATTCCTTATGAAGAAGGATAATTGAATCTTGTGAAACAATAACACATATCCAGTGCCGTTCTGCCACTGCTGCTATTGAAGAAAGATGTTGAGCCTGTCTTAATGCTCAAGGAAATCACTTTGAACAACATTTAATATGAATTTAATGTTTACCTTTAATTAATAAAGTAGTTGGAACTAATAAATAAGTTTAATTTACTTAATATAACATAAATATTTCATAACAATGAAAATCTTTAGGTGTGAATATCTCCTAAACAAAACGTTTGCGGACATATCTTCAGAGGAAATTTGTTTCTTGTTTTGAGGCCCTTAGTTCATATTTTCAGTTTGGCCACTTAATCCTGAAACATCCTGTATATAAGTGATTTTTTTCAAAATGTATATAAACTGAAACAAAAAAATGAAGTAGATAAAACTAATAGGTAATATGATAAGAAAAATAAAATATAACATATAGTATTAAAAGTCGATCAAATCTAATGTAATATCATAGCAATCTAAGGGTAATAAATTAATAGTATATTAATTTACTCTATAGTACCTAATATACTAAAAGGTTTATCTACTATAATATTACAATCCTGGCCAAAAGTATTAGAAACCATGAAAAATTGTCTATTTTATATAATAAACCAATTATATATATATATTGCAGATTTTAAAACTTGTTTTATTGATAAACAATGGATTATTTGAAGTGAAAACTTCTTAAGGTGCATTTTGCACTTATATGCGGAGACTGAATTAGATTGAACCGTCAGATTTCCGATGTGTAATGCTCTAGTAAAGTCGGCTGGAGTTGACAAATTGAAGTGTTTTTGCATATGCATTAAAATATCTTAGAAACTTCAAAAATGATAACGAGTTTTATTGAAGATATGGATTAAAATATCTCAGAAACTAAAAATCGGACCTGCATAGTGTAAGCGAGGGAAATGTTCAGCATTTCATCCTCTCTGTAATGGGCTATTACTATTATTCAAAATTGTATCTTAACGCGACGCTGTGTTAGAGAGGCGAAAAGGGAAAAAATAGTAGTAGCCCTGCATACTGTAAACGAGGAAAATGTTCAGCATTTCATCCTCTTTATAATAAGCTATTATTAATGATTTATAAATCATATTATTAATCTCCCCTTTTTGATGTTTTCACTTTTATTGGGTGGTCTAAAACACATAAATTTTTTTTTTAAACATTTATTTTTTCTTTTACTTATCTATGTATGAAATAAGTAGTAAAGGAAAGCATTTTGATAAAAAAATTAAAGTAAAAATTTCGAATCCGAATTTTCTATGGCAATACTTGTTTTTAGGTTCCATGAATCCAAATAACCAAGTCTTGCTTAAAAATAGTGTGTTTGTACACTTGTGCATGTGTTACATTCAGTCGGTGTACAGGAAATTTTAAACATAATATTTTTAGAACATTTGTTTGTTATCAATTGGAGGAATGATCTTATGTGGAGGACAGGGTGGCTAACGTGTGTGTAAAACATGCATTGTCTTCCAATCTGATAAACTGAAGATAACTAGTTTGAATCCCAATGCTGGGGAAATTTTTAACTCAGGCAATAATCCTGCTGCCTCTCCCCTGGCTCTGGAGCAATAATCCCACTGCCTCTCCCCTGGCTCTGGAGCAATAATTCCGCTGCCTCTCCCCTGGCTCTGGATCAATAATCCCACTGCCTCTCCCCTGGCTCTGGAGCAATAATCCCACTGCCTCTCCCCTGGCTCTGGAGCAATAATTCCGCTGCCTCTCCCCTGGCTCTGGAGCAATAATCCCACTGCCTCTCCCCTGGCTCTGGAGCAATAATCCCACTGCCTCTCCCCTGGCTCTGGAGCAATAATCCCACTGCCTCTCCCCTGGCTCTGGAACAATAATCCCACTGCCTCTCCCCTGACTCTGGAACAATAATCCCACTGCCTCTCCCCTGGCTCTGGAGCAATAATCCCACTGGCTCTGGAGCAATAATCCCACTGCCTCTCCCCTGACTCTGGAAAACCTCAGATAGCAGAAAAGGTGAGAAAGGGGAAGAAAAAAATAAATGATGCTAATATGATATTATACCAATAAATACATGTTTTTTTCTTATTTTATTTATCTGTTTTACTTCAGTTAGCCTTCATATTTCAAAATTAAAGGATTAGAAGTATAGTAACATAATGTGTGTACAGCCCTTAAACGGGTTCAAAACTGCTCAATAGAAAATTATTCCCAACTATTTTAGAATTAATTTAATCAAATTATTGTTATTCCTTTCTAATGGAAATTTAAATCTGTTAGATGAGTGAAGATAAATTAGATGAAGAAATAAAAGATGAAGATTTTGAAGTCGAAGAAGTCCCGAAAGAAGAAGAAACAGCTTTAGCAGATGGTGAATTTATTTATTAATTTTCCATTATTTAAGAATATTTTATTATTTTATAAGAATATTATAAGTTATTTTTTAAAATAATAATTGTTTTAGAACCCGAGGAAGGGGGGAGTGCCAATTCTAAAGTTGCTTTGGAAACATATTTAAATAATTTACCAAGTTGCGTTAATAGAGAAATGATTGATAACGCAGCGGTTGAGTTTGTCGTCTGCTTAAACACTAAGACAGCTCGACGGAAACTTGTCAAGTATGTATATTATATATTATATAATTGTGGGTTTAAATGTATTTAATTTATCATTCTCAGCACCTATTTAATTATTTTATTTTTTCTAGGACATTGTTCGGTGTACCTAGAACGAGGCTAGATCTTTTACCTTTTTATGGAAGATTAGTCGCCATATTGAATCCTGTCATTCCAGAAATTGCAGCCAATCTTACCAGTCTTTTAAAACAGGACTTTAAATACCACATAAAGAAAAAAGTAATATTTTCAATTTTTTATAATCAATATTATTTACTTAGAATAAATAATTTTTCTTGCTTCGTATTATTTTATAAATTTTATAAATTTTTATAGCCGAAGCTTATATTTGAACATTTAATTACAACATTGCTTCTACTGCGAAAAGCTTTAACCATTTCAATGATATCTTAGAATGTTTATTCAATGGGACAAGTATGGAATATAGAAAAAAAAACATTTATATTAAATTACACTACAATTTCAGTAATCCGAACTCTTAAAAAAAAAAATCCCAATGGGAGATGACAAATTTCTCACCTCAAGCACATGCTTACATATGACTCTTCCCTTGGTTATTTTCTGAAAACCCTCACCTTCATTAATAAAAACAAAATTATTGGTTAGAAAATATAGTGTCTTGTTTCATTCACTGTATTTATTGGAAGGTAAACAGAGAACAATATGCTATGGCAACAAATTGTTCTCCTGCAACGTATACCAGAAGCTGTGAGAAAAGACCTCCAAAAGTCATTTTATTTATTTACTAAGTTTTCGTCTTTTATAGTAATTAGTTTTTCTGAACAGTTCCCTTTGTTTCCCTGCAGAAATTAGTTCAGATTACATTTGCCATTTTAAATATTAAAAGTGAAAAGTCCAATAATGTGATAAAAAATTTCAATATCAAATGAATTTGCTGAAAGACACCGATAAGGAATTTTTTTTGTCTCTTGACCCTAAATCTGATTTTCAAAATTTGCGGATACTCTCATATATTCAGCATCGAGATATAAATGTTTTTGATAATTTCTTCACAGAACACATGTTTGTTTTAAAATTATTTTCTCTACTTTTTTCTTCTATTGTAAGAAGTTCACATGATACCGTTCTAAACATTCTATAATGAAAGTACAAAAATAACTCATTTTCACATGTAATTTATCATTATAACATGATGTAATGTGTATATAAAAAATTAAGCATTATTATTAAAAAAAAAAAACACATTTTCAAATTAAAAGATAATGAATTGAGAAGAGGAATTTCTATGAAAACTGTCAAGAGGCTAATCCTATTCAAAAGTGTGAGAACAAATTGTAAACACTTCAAAGCAGAGCAAATTGTTAGCTCTTCCTGGAAAATTACATAATCCAATTCAAAAGCTGTCCATTTTATTCTTTAGAAAAAAATATGGCTCTTTTCTACTTTAACCACATCAGTGATACTATCTTTTTCCCTATTCGCCTCTCTAACATGGCGTCGCGTTAATATACAATTCTGAATAATAGCTCATTGCAAAGAGGATGAAATGCTGAACATTTCCCTTGCCTACAGTATGGCGGTCCTATTTTTAGTTTCTGAGATATTTTAGTCCATATCTTCAATAAAACTCGTTATCAGTTGGTTTTCAGTACTATTTTTCCCCTTTTGCCTCACTAACGCAGCATCGCGTTAAGATACAGTTTTTAATAAGAGCTCATTACAAAAAGGATGAAATGCTGAACATTTAGCTTGCATACAGTATGCAGGTCCGATTTCTATTTTCTGGATTTTTTAATCCATGTGATCAACCAATCTCATTCCCTTTTTTCCTGTCTTACATGGCATCATGTTAAGATGTAATTTTGAGCAATAGCTCATTAAAAAAAAAAAATTCTGAACATTCTCCTCAGCTACGATATGCAGGTCTAATTTTTAGTTTCTGAGATATTTTAATCCAAATGCAAAAACACTTCAGAAATTCACTAGTGTGCTTAAAGCAGAAAAGAGCCAAAAATATTTTTTAAACTAGATATAATATATTGAAAAATGTAGATTTATATTATAAGTAATGAAAAAATGATAACTTCAGAATGTGTATTAAATGTACCTACATATTTATGCCATGTGTATTGATTTTCTTAATTTCAACATTTTATGAGCGTCTGTTCTTCAGAGGGGTAAATTTATTTCTCTGTGGAAAAAATTTGACTGTCTGTGATCCTCAAAAGAATGCCCATAGCAAAGGCTTCGAAATTCCTATATTTTCCTGCTGAAAGATTTTTTTTTTTTAACTTTTATTATGATATTTACAACTGTATTAGTATGAATACATCAAGTAAATGTGTACATAGAAATATTATCACATGAAACACGCTTATTGAGAAACTACCCATTGGTAGCATTCTAATAATTTGTCTACATGAGGAGATCACGAGACCATCTCCTTTTCAGACGCCTCGGAGGGTTATAAGGAATCGAAGAGGAAGCAAGGTTAGAAACAAGAGGATTCGGATGGTTATGAAGTTTATTATGGAAGGATAGGTATCTGGATTTGGCCAAATCGGAAACATATGGAACATTGAGGTCTTTATGGATTATTTTATTTGTGACAAAGTAAGGAGCATTGAGGATTTTACTAAGGATTTTGGATTGTAAAGATTGGATACGAGAGGAATTTGATGGTTTAGTGGAGCCCCACAGCTCAACTCCATAAGTCCAAATAGGTCTTATTATAGTCATGTATATGAGTCGTTTGTAATTCATTGAAAGTTTAGAGCGTTTGTCCAGTAAGTATTGGAGTAAGCGGAAACGTCGAGCAGTTTTTTGTCATTTCAGTCTGGTATGAGGATTCCAAGTGAGACGTTTGTCCAGGTGGAGTCCTAGGTATCGGATTTGTTCTACAGGGATAAGTGGGGTGTTATTAAAGGATACTATAGGACAGGAAATCATTGGTTTACGATGAAGGGTAAAGATGATTTGATGGGATTTATTAGAATTTATTTTAATCCTCCAGTTTTGACACCATTCTTCAAGGTTTGTGATGTGTGATTGAAGGGTTTGGGATGCAATTGTTGGATCATTATTAACTGACAAGATACATGTGTCATTAGCATACGTAGTGATGACAGTATTAGGATGGGTTGGGATATCACCTGTATAAACTGTGTAAAGGATAGGACCAAGGATACTACCTTGAGGAAGAAAGATTTAAAAATTGTAAAAAGGATTATCTGAAATAATAGAAAGTCTTAAATACAAAACATCCGCAAAGGCTCACTATACGTGTGGGTTTACCTTCATCCTTAGAATATTATCTGCTACTCCCATTCAATATCAAGTAATTAATTTTAAACCAGTGACTCAGCAAGAAAGTTCAACTTTAAAGCTACCTATAGAGGCAATTATTATTGTCTGGTATATGACATGTTAAATTTGCTAATGCATTCATTTTTTTTTAAAAGTTAGATGCATAATTTTCTTAAATATTGTAATATTTTTAAAATTTAAATTTATAATGTTATTTAAATACTGTAAAACATGTTAATTTTTGTTTTAGGACCAGATAAACTTAGAATCGAAAATAAAAGTCTCTAGGTTTATCGGGGAGCTAGTAAAATTTGATTTATATCCGAAAATCGAAGCATTGTATTGTTTAAAACTTCTGCTTTTTGATTTTTCTCATCATCACATAGAAATGGCATGTAATATTCTTGAAACATGTGGACGTTATTTGTACAGAAATAGTGAATCTCATCACAGGACTAAAATATATATGGTATGTATACTAATAGACTAATTTTATCTCTATGGTTAAATTGTGTTCTTAGAATTAAAATAATATTAATAATTGTGGATTGATGGTTAACTGAAGTGAATAATTGAAGAGAAGAATAGTTGGGATGATCAGTAAAAAAAATAATTGTATTTATTTTTGCCGATATTTCGGCCCCAAGTTCAGGCCTTCTCATCATATCATGGCTAAGAAAAAAAAACATATAACAATAGGTATGATGAACTATGAACATTGAATAATAAAGAATTAAAATTAAAAAAGTGAAAGGTATAGTCTAAAAAATGTAGATAGAATAAACTTAAAGTAAAATAAAAAAGATGGAGTGAACATTAAAGTAAAATAAAGTAGGTAGAATAATAACAATAACAGAGAACTAAGAGATAAATAATAATGCTAACAAAGTAGGGACTAATAAAATATACTTAATGAACTAATGAATTTTTTTACTGTATGATTATTTTAAAATTTAGTTGTTTATCTGAAACTGATAACTGTCCCTAATGTGGACTGTTGATTCGACTCATATTTTAACTTATTCTTTTTCAAAACATTTCATTTTAATAAATTAGATTTAATTAAATTTTTAGGATGATATGATGAGGCTGAAGTCAGTTACTGCTCTCGATATCAGGTATACCAACATGATAGAGAACGCTTATTATTACGTTAACCCACCAGAATCGACGACAGTCATAAGGAAAAAGAGGCCACCTCTCCATGAATTCATTAGGAAACTGATATTTCAGGTATTTATTATTACAGCTGTTCATTTCTTTGTATAGAATTTGCATTGCTATGGGTACTGTGTTAATTAATTAATATCATCTATTAATAGATTCTATCAATAAACTAAATGTCTTTTGGGTTTATAGACACAAACTAAAAAATAGACTACATTAGAAAACTAGGTTATATTATGACCGACAAATATTTGTACATTAATATATTGTTGAAGGAAGTTAGTTGAATGTTATACATATCCTAGATGATAAATAGTTAGGATCCAGTCATTTTAAGATTTTTATTTTGCCAACATTTCAACTCAAGCATGTTAGTCATCATCAGGGCATTTTATCAGTACTCAAGGTGTTCAAGTATTCAGTACATTGAGTACTTAAACACCTTGAGTACTGGTAATATTCCCTAATGATGACTAATATGCTTAAGTTGAAACGTTGGCAAAAACAATAAAAACTTTAAAGTAACTTTGTCCTGACTAATTATCACCTATGGTATATTAATATATACTAGTAGGCCTGTGCGAAAAATTCACACAACATATTGTTAAGTGATCAAATGCCAAATTAATAAGAAAATAAAATAATGCAACGTATCAAAAGATAAAGAAATCAATTGTTAAAGGAAACAAAAATTAATTTAAAACTTCATTAATGTTTGGATCCAACATGCTTACAAATTTCAGTAAGCTATATTTTTGCTAAAAATTGTCCGATTTTGATGATTTATTTTTCCTTTTGTAGGGAATTCAGTTATCTTTTAAATAATCATGGCCATAACCCAGGAATAATTGTGTAATTTTTTAGTTATTCGCAAATGAAGTTTCTTTTCTTTCATAACTTGTTTGCTAAATTTTTGGGGTGATTGGACTATTTTGCCCTCCTGAAGAAGAAGGAAGCCTTCGAAATCGGTGGCTCAATCTTGGGATTTGGTGAATAATTAACGATGATATGTCTTGCCGATCATAAACATCATCAATAGAGGCCTAAAGTCGACGAAATGAGATACGTATTCAATGACAGTACTACAATTAACGTAAGGTTGTGTGGATGCGAACCCTATGCCTTGCGTTATCTCGAAAACAATACTTTTTAGGGTTTAAAAATGGAGGATCCAGTAATTCCAAAGGACTTGTACGCATCGAAATCTTCGAAGCCCAATTTGTCCTGTATCGATCTACAGACTTACCACCGCTCCAGTATTGAAGCCTAACAAAATGTTTGTATTGACTTTATTTATTTTATAAAGAAAAACAAAAGTGGAGAATTTTGATTCGCTAACCCCCCTCCTCCCGTGAAATTCTGAATTCAACGGTACCCCATTCATGGTATTTGAGCATGACAGGAGCTTATATTTGGTACAAAACCTATTTAGAGCCTTTCTGTAATAATATATGTGCGGATAAAGTACAGTTATACCTTTATTGTTGCTATGTATTTTTTAGTTTGTATTACAAGAATATATTATTAATAGCTCTATTAGGGATCGGTATTGTTGAAATTTAAATTATTTTTTATTATTCCCAGGATTTGATGTATAATGAATACGAAAGACGTGTGTTAAAGCAATTAAGATGTCTCGATTGGGACAATGAATCAGTTGCTGATTACGCTATTAAATGCCTTTCTAGTGCCTGGAAAATTAAATTCCATCGTATTGCAGCTTTGGCGAATTTAGTTGCAGGCCTTGTTGAATTTCAAGTAAGTATAATTTTATTAATAGTTTTATGTTTTAAGTATAAAGTCATAATTAATAATAAAACAATCTATCTGTTAAAGAAATTAATCGCAAATTTGTACTAGCATTAAGAATTATTCTTTTTTTCTAAAATCTATGATTATTTTAGTGTTCCAAAATTTCTATCAAAAAACAATACTACCATTTGTCAATTTAGTGTATAATTTGAAAAAAAAAAAAAGAGTATATCTTCTAGTTAAATGGTAATGTCTTCAAGAAAGAACTCTATTAATGTTAGTATGATTTTAACTCCCTTTTATGATTTATTCATAATATGTGAATGATGGATGAATAAATCATAAAAGCGAATTACAGTTTCACTAATAGTTCAAAAAGTTCCATTGATAGCAAAACATTTTTCCCTTCTCGCTGGAAATTTATTTTATGCTAGAAAAGCTGTTGCTTGTTTGTGGCGAACCAGTCATAGATTCAATAGTGCAGTTTAGTAGTGACTATATTAACCAATAGAGTCATCTGTGGACAAATTCTGGTTTCGTATTTACATATCTGTTATATGTTTTATGCATATTTTCTTTTAGACCCTGCAAATAATTTTTTTTTATCTATCTATTTCAATGTTACAGGAATTCGTTGGGACCAAAGTTGTTGATTCAGTATTAGAGGATATACGAATTGGTATGGAAATAAATCTACCTAAAATGAATCAGAGGCGGGTGGCAATGATCAAGTATTTTGGTGAACTTTATAATTATAGGCTCATCGAAAGTACAGACATATTTAAGGTGAAATATCATTTCTATAAATTACTAGATTATATTTGTTCATATGTTTAATATATTTTTTATAATAAACAAATTATAGTTATCTTTTACAATTTACAAGTATCTTACTTGTAAATTACAAACTTTTACAAATTACAAGTATCTTTACTAAAAATGGTTCGATTTTGATCATTTTATTTTGATTTTGTAGGGATATTAGAAACCTTGCTATTGTACACCATAAATTGTATATAATCACCTATATAGTTTATTTTTCTTCTCAACTGTTTTTTCCCTAACTTTTCTGGGAAACTTGCTTATTTTTTTAGAATTAATAAAGACATGGGGAACCTTTAACCCTTACAGAAACCTTTTGTGAGATCAGCCCTGAACTTTGGGCCAGAAACATTGGAAAAAATAATAATAAATATCATTTATTTATTTGAACTTTGTATTTTAGACTGAACACCTCGACCAACTTCTCTTCAATTATTCGCTAAAGTCAACTATCAGTCCACTATTAACAAAGATATGGCATACTGAATAAAAAGTACTTTTTGGAAATAATATATGAAAATAATGTGAAAAACCAGTTCGCTTTTTTCTAATTATCAAAAACTATAAACTATGGGGAGCGGGGTAGCTCAGTGGGCGAGCACTGATTTCCAGAGCTGAAGGTCCTAGGTTCGAATCCAGCTAATGACTAGTGACTTTTCATTAGCCGTGGATTGACCCTTGGATCGGGAGACCACCCTGGGGCACACCCAGCCTCTATAAAGCGGGTACTCTTAATTATGAAAAATAATTAAGGGGGAGAACCTGGCAGTTGAGCTTGATATTGGCCTGATCCCCTCTCTGCACAACCGTTGGCCTTGTAACAGTACTTTCTCAAATAGTACTGTACCCAAGACCCTTCATTTTTTTTTTTTTTTTTTTTTTTTTATAAATCTCCTATAATGTTGTATTTTTTAATTATAAGGATACTTAAATGTTTAACAAAGCTCTCCTAAGGAATATAAATCGAAAACGCAAAAAAAATTTGGCTAATTACATTAAAAAAAACCTGTACCACTACAACCCATGAAGGGTCTTGGGTTCAGTACTATTTAGGGAAAGAACTGTTTCTAGATCAACGGTTGTGTAAGGAGATGATTTGACTGAGATCATGCTCAACTGCCAGGTTTTCCCCCTTAATCAATTATTTAATTAAGGGTACTCACTTTATAGAGGCTGGGTGTGCTCCAGGAGGGTCAGGACGACCCAGGGTCGTCCCACGGCCAATGAAACAGATAAATAAATTTTTTGCCATGAGCCGGGGTTCGAACCTGGGACTTTTAGCATTGGAAGCTCAGTGCCCTACCACTGAGCTACCCCACTCCTTACATTACACTACATCACCGTGTTCTAATTCTTATTGATATTTATTCCGCTGTTAAAAAAAAAAATCAGGCAAATAAAATATGTAATTACATTAAAATCCAGGCCTTGGTTATGAACTTAAAATAAATAAATTAGATTAATTACATATATCTTAACTACCCTACTTCAAAGTATTATTACTTATATTTTCACTTAGGATTTTTTTTCTAATTGAGGATATTGTTTTATTTATTATTAAAATTGAATAATTTTCTTCCAGGTATTATATTCACTGATTACGTTTGGGATAAGCGTGCAGAGAGGTGTACCATCACCATTGGATCCACCGGAAAATCTAATTAGAATACGATTAGTTTGCACACTTTTAGACACATGTGGAAAATTCTTCACTCATTCTGATGTCAGAACGAAACTTCCATATTTCTTAACTTATTTTCAGGTATTTTTTCTTTAATAATAATAATGCTTTATTTATTGTGGGACGAGTCCCTTTAGAATAATACAGAAAGACAGAAATGCGGGCTAAAGAGCCTTAGAGATTCATAAACAAAAATACAGAGTAATTAAATAGTCATAATAAAAGAATTTAAAAAAATATAAGTTACTTTCTAATTTTCTTTAGTCTAAGAACGATCTAATAATTCATATACATATTTACAGTATATATATTTACAATTTTATGGGAACTGGATGGATAAGAAATAATTGAACAGGCGGGATTTAAAGGTAGCAAGGATATCGGATTGACAGATGTGAGAAGGGATGGAGTTCCGTAGAGATGAGGATCTGATAATGAACGATCTGTCGAAAGCTGTGGTTTGGTGGGCCCTTATAAATATATATATTTATAAGGGCCTTATATATATTTATATATAAATCAGAAGACTGGGAATGAGTATTGTGGGAGCAAACAGAGTATTTGAATTCGAGAAGCTCGGAGATGTATGAAGGACGGTGGGATTGGATGACTTGAAAGAGGAAGGATTCCAGAAAATACTTACGACGATAGGAGGGATAAAGCCACTTCAACTCTGCATAAAAACAGAAAACAGAGGCGACCCTTGGGATCCCGAAGATGAATCGTACAAAGCAATTTATCAAACATTTTAGTCTCGCCTCGAGATCCCCAGAGACGCCCCCATATACCGTACAGCAATAATCAAAATGGGGAAAAATTAAGAAAGTGACTAGGAGTCTAAGGAGGTGACGGGAATAATTTAGACGTTTTAAGGTGGAAATGGTACGGCAGGAGATATTGGATACATGGTTTTTCCAGGAAAGTGTTTGATCAAAGGTTATTCCAAGATTTTTGATGGAGTGATTAAAATTTTATGACATTATCATGTAGGAACAGAGTTGGAATATTAGGAACAGTTTTAAGGAGGTGATTGAAGCCTATTAAGATTGCCTTAGTCTTTTCCATATTCAACTTCAACTTGTTAGCTCTCGTCCAGTCACAAATCCTTTCCAACTGTTTACTGTTTACATAATATGTATAGCAAGAGGCACTTAGTTGAGCTATTGACTGGTCGAGAGATATTTCTAAGACTGATTAATATATTAATTAATTAATATTAATAATTGGTTTAAAGGTATTTTTGTTTTAAAAATATTCGTAAACATCTTAATTAATTTTATTTTAAAACCTTTAAGTTATGTATTAATACATATAATTTGTAACATGATGATTTTATTCATTTATTAAATGAATGTCATTATTCTAGCTACCCAATTGTCAATGTTTATGACAAAGAAAGTTTTGGAATTTACATATTAATTTTAAAATAATTTAAGCTGTGAACTGGTTTGAATTGAAGGAATCCTTTTAAAAAATTAATGTTCAAGAGACAGCCCAATCACTTGACTATGCTGGTGACTTGGACATGTTGCCATGTCAGAACATGCTTTAAATGAGTTATTCCTGAGTCTAGAGGATGCTGAAAAACGCCTCAGTCTTAATAAACTCAAAAAAATATCATCTCCCAGGAGATTAGTAAAATCAAAACAGGTAATTGATGTTGCTTTGGCCTTGTAAGGCATTTCGGGAGTAAATTCCTATTTAATAGAAACAAGGTAAATCTGTATAGCAATCTGAAAAGGTGGTCTCGTGATCTTCTGGTGTAAATTTATTATTTGAGTGCTACCACTGGGTGGTTTCTCAACAAGCGATTTCATGTTATTATATTCCGGAGTGCACATTTACTAGACATGTTTTTTTTTTTGTTTTTTTTATAATACATTTGTAAAAAAAAAGAAATGTTTTATATTTTTATTGCAGTGTTACTATTGGTGTAAAAGGAGCGCACCTTGCTGGAATCCCGAGAATAGGTTTCCTGTTTATGCTCAATACCAACTTGAAGACTGCATCGAAAAAAATTGTCCAAATGTTAAAGTTTACACTAGTCTCCAAGAAGCCTTAACTGCCGTTAAAAATCTTCAAGATCAAATTATGAGTGACTATAACCTCAATAAGGTATGTAAGATCTTATTAATGTTATTATAACTTTTATTAACTTATTACAACAATGAAATTAACTGTCTTGGAAATCTATGATACAAACAAACATAATATAGAGCTATTCCTCTCCCTATTGTGTTATAATATATATAAATGCTGCCAAAACTCAGGCCATTCTCATTGGTTCCAAGCTCCTTCCTAGATCCCACACCAACTTTCCCTCACTCTATCTAAACAACTACCCCATCACCTTTAACCCTTTGTTAAAAATTTAGGCTTTTTCATAGATCAAACCCTTTCCTGGATTCAGCATATCTCTCATATATCCCGCCGTGCAATTTCTACCCTCAAATTATTCCATCACTTCCGCCATCTTCTACCCCAAAATACCCGTACACTCCTAGTTTCCTCTCTCATCTTTCCCCAATTTGACTACAGTTGTGTGGTGTACGATGGCCTCTCGCCGTGATCGACTCAAAAGACTTATGAATAGCTTCGTAAGATTTGTAATTGGGACCCCGAGACGCTCCCGTGTCTCCCATCACTACACTGAGTTAGGGTGGCTCTTTCCCTCCTTAAGAAGACAATATTTCCTAGGCACTTTCCTTTATCAAATCATTACCGATCATTGTCCTTCTTATGCCTACAACCTTCTCCAATTTAAGTCCTCAATCCATTCCCTCACTACAAGATCTCGACCCTCTGACCTATACATCCCTTCTCATAGATCTGCCTCATTCCAAAACTCCTTTATAGCCCGCTCTGTCAACTTTTGGAATTCCTTCCCGATCAAAATTCGACATGCCCCCTCCCTATACACATTCAAAAACCTCCTATTCCAATTCCTGTTCCAAAAACAGTCTGATAGCTAACTATTAATACTATATATGTATTGTGTAGCAATCATATAATCATAATACTTGGTAAGAGATAGTACATGCATTTCCTACTATCGACGTACGAATTACAATACATACATTTTTATTTTTAATCAATTATAATTAACTGTTTATTTTTATATATATATTCAAGTAAAGTTTTTTTTATGAAACGGAATGAACTCATTCCATCTCTTTTTCGTTCTTCATTTCTCAAAGTGTATGTTTATGTTGTTCAACCCGTATATATAGTTTTGTTCATAGTTCAAGTGATTCGTTCATAGTTTTAATTGTTTTGTTCATAGTTTTAAATGCTCTGTACATAGTTTTATCTGTATTGTATATAGTTTGTGCACCTAAGGTTTTCTTTACTTTTTATTTTATTTTATCAATTTTATTTTTTGTTTCAAACTTTTAGGCCAGTAATCTTCTATTCTTTTGTACAATATTGTTATTCTAAAGGGACTTAGTCCCAGAATAAAGTTTTTTTTCCTATCTATCTATCTATCTAATATGTGTTAAATTATTTTGACATTTTACTGAATAAAGCATATTTATGTTGTCATTCCAATGGAAAAGTGTGCATAATTTTGTTCTATGAGCACTATATATTTTCTGTTCAATCTTTTTTTGCAAGCCTAAGTCAAAGATGTAATGCTCTATGCAACTTTTTTGATCTTATTTCTGCCTAATAATCTACTAGACCCATTACTTCTAACTTAACTTTTTTGAAAAGCAGGTATTGATTAGGTAAAAGCAATCCAATTTATTGTTAGTCCTGGAGCTCGTGGCAAAAAAGGTGTCATATTTCATACTAAGGTTTGTCCTAATAAATTGATCATATCCACAGTCCTGATGAGAAAAATCCATGTTTGCCAGCATCTAGCCGCTGTCTAGATTCTGTCAGGAGGAGAATGAAACAGCCTTTCACATCGTGTGTAGACGTGATAGATCCACAAGGCTGAGACTGGCAGTATTCCGGGAGGAATGAATGGATCTCCCCAGTAGATATGAGACAGTCAATCCAACCAGCCTACTAAGATATGTGGAAGTAACTAAAATAACGTTTTGATTAAAACGATTAACAGAAATTGGCGCACAATGGACCCATTAGGGGTCGAAGTGCTCTGGGCCAACATTTAAAAAAAAAAAAAAAATCTAGCCGCTGTAATACGAAATGGTGTCCATGTGAAGATAGAGATCCTACATAGGTTGTGAGCGTATATATATATATATATATAGGATTTATAGATATATAAAGCTACCAACCATTTCAATTTATAGTATTTTCAGTCTTAAGACATGAAATAATAGTCAGTTACACCATACCCATGGATTTCAAGTCGAAAAATTGAATTTACGAGTGTAATAAATTTTTCTATGTTTGAGTTTGTGAATTTCTGTTAGTTATAACAGCACAAGTGAGGAGGCAAACTGAATTTTACAAGATACCATAAATTCAAATAAGAAACATGCTACCTTACATTGACAATATTTTAAACCCATTTTTTTTTTAGTTCTATAGATTTTCAGTTAAATCAATTTATCAATATGTTGACTTAATGTTCTATTAAATAACATCCTTTTTCACGTTTTGTAATAATTTGTAAATATTTTAGGATGAAAGTGGTGGTAACTTAGGAATATATGGTAACTTTCTTGATGACTCCATTTTATATGAAGAAGATGAAGAAGGTATGTAAAAATATTAAAAAATTGATTTCAAAATATTTTTTTTCAGAACTAATTGATTGTTGGAAGGTTCTTCTAGCTTCCCCATTTAGTTGATTTCCAAACATCCCTCCTGTTAGATTATAAAAAATTAGAATGGCACTGGATAGTTATTAAGGATAATTATCCAAAAATATATATGCTATTAAAAATTAATAAAGGATATATAAATTTGTGGCACTGCTTAGTTCAACTATAATCAACATTTAAAAGTTACTTTTTTTTTTTCATTTTGATCCACTTCCTGTGTTCTTGTACCAATAAATAAGGCCATAATTAAAAAAAAAATGTACTAGTACGACTCATGACAGGTCTTAGGTTCAGTAATTTGTCCTTACAAAGTACTGAAGCGTAATCTTGCCCTATTTTCTTAAGTAGGCCAGAATGTTTTAAGAAATTATGTTATGAATGATTTATGAAACAATTCACTTTTTATTGTTTGGATAGATTTGCTCTTATATAGAAAATTAATTTGCAGGTTTTTCTGAGGAGGAATCTGACAAAGAAAATAATGAATCAAAGGTAACTTAAGAATTTTATATTTTATCTTCATTATTTGTATCATTGTTGTTAATCGAATTAATTGATTTCTCTTTTTTTTTTTTTTAGAACCAAGTTAGCAATGATGATGATATCTGGAGCGAACTGGATAAAATGGTTTCAGATAATGTTCAAGAAAGACTGAAAGAAGCAATACGCCCATCGCAGGACATTGTTATCCCATTGCTTGGAAAAACTCATAAGTCAACTGGTAATTTTATTATACTGTTATTTGTAGTATATAACTATAATGTTGCTTTCTAATTATTTAGTTACCTTAGTAGTACGCAGAACAGACCCTTTTTTATAAAATTATTAAAAATTAAACTTCGTGAATGACGTCATCTACTACTTTTTATTTATAGAAACTCTCAGAAATAGGATATTTTCAATCTGGAGGTGGGTAAATTTTTTCTATTTAGTGAGTCACCAAAAGCTCATGAACACTCATTTGCTTATCATTTGAATATGATCACAACATTGAGAAAAAAGATAGCCTAAACAAATTGAATAGGAAATTGAACTTTATTCGGGGAGTAAGTCCTCTAAGAATAACAATGATGAATTAATACAAAAGAAAATACAAATCTGGCCAAAAACTATCTTATAAAAATTCTAACATTAAATAAAAATAAATGAACATAAAATCTTCTCAAGATTACTTATTATTGTGATGGAAGAAAAAACAAAAAAAAAAGAAATTACATATTTATTTATACATATCTACACAATTTATAAACACTAAGATATATACGGGTTTTTAGTACCTAATTAAATAGACAAAGTTTGCCGACCTCCAGATTGAAAATACCCCAATTCCAAGAATTTTCGTAATTAAAATATTTGTAGATTACGCTTGTGAGATGAAGCTATTCATAAAGTTTCAGGCTGATGTTAATAATTTGATAAAAAGGGATCTGTACTAATTATCATAAATTCAAGTTTTAATTTCATTGATGAGTGGCGCCTAAACATGTTAGGATTTGTATTGTGTCCGAGTAAGGGTTAATACTTTAATTACCATTACACTGATAAGTGGATAGAGCTTAGCAAGCATACCATCTAAAGATAACACTCGCTTCAAAGCATTATTAAACATTTATGGATGTGTAATTTATTTTATGGTATCCTGTTTATTCAGTATATGTTATCTGTTATCTATAGTATATGTATAAGTTATCTGTGTGAAATTCTCTAAGCTTTTTTTTCCATGCATAAATTTGAAATTATAAGACCAACCAACCATATGATTCTTATCATTATGAAATGTTTAAATTTATTACTTTTTTTCACAGATAATTCCTCTTTTGTTCTTTTGATGAGGAAAGGAAATAAAACGCAGTGCAAGAGTTTGAATGTACCTTTGGATTCAGACCTTGTGAAAAATCTAAAATACCAAGAAGAGGTAAGAAGAACAATTAATTAAAATATAACAATTTTAAAAAATAATGGTTTTGCTCAGTTGTACTGTTTTTTTTTTTACTGCAATATTTATTATAATTTCTTATAATTTTGGTTCGATAATCCCAATTAGCTATGGCAAAGATGCCGTGTATAATAGTTTTACAGGGTGGCGACCGACCTGGAAAAAATCTTTAAGATAGGGAATTTTTTTAGTACGTTAATATTTTTTTTTTTTTAAATTGAAATAAATATGCTGTGCATATCGTTTATAATGACCTTGCAGGGCTAAAATTTGTTGTTATAAAAGAACATATTCATAAGAAAAATATTCATCTTAGACTGTCAATAACAGCACTGTTCGTTATGTTGAAATCAAAGAAGGGTAATGAATAAAATTTAAGCAAAATGCACTTAAAACAGTGTTTTTTAAAAAGAAAAACATACCAATATTATTTACTATTTGTAATATATACATCTGGGTCAAGATCTAGCTGGCAAATACTCATTCATTCGACCCGTGGTGATCCTTAAAAGAGCATTTATAAACCAAAAATGTCACATTTAGTGCCATATTGATAATTATTATGGTGTTTATAGTAAAAAAAATAAACTAAATTACATAAAAAATGAAATTACTAAAATGTTAGTTCTCAAAATAAAAAATCCTAATGAAGCTTAAAAAAAGACTGATTTTTTTTTATTCAAATCGTTTTTTTGTAGTCAATTTTCTTTCTTGTATAATAAATAAATTTAGTTATAAATTATAAATGTTTAATATTTGTTTCCCTAGACATATTCGTCAGGGAAAACTATCATTAAATTGGGAAATGTCAGGGAATTTCACTTTAATTGTCTGGGAGACACGCTGTTTTAACAATCTGTATTCAGCAAAAACTGTTGGAGTGAGAGAAATACGATTTGAACAATATACTATCTCTTAAAAAATCAAAGTATATAGATAATACTATAAGACGTATAGGAATTTTTGGTATTTGAGGAATATAAGCTACCGGTATACTGACTTTGTTGTATTAAGGCGGAATTCCACAGAGGCAACACTGAACGACATGTTGCTTGATTCTTGTTTCCTAGTGTTGTCTATTTTGTCATCCGACTATGTGCACAAAATTCAGTTAATGTCGCATGCAGAATTTGTTGCCCCACATCGCATGCACCTTGTCGTACTCTTATGTAGCGTGTGACTAAAGCGATTCCATTCAGGCAACTTTAGTTTGGTATATCATGTCATGATGATATTGGAGAAGAGAGCTATAAATCGATAGAAATTCAGTATAATTTAGTAGTTTACGCTTAAAGAGTAGTGGAAAATTCATTTTAGCCCAAGAGTCTGTGAGAAAAAATCGACATTATTTGATTAAAACTTTAAAAGAATTTTCTAAAAGTATTTATAATATTTATATTAGAAAATTGAGTCAGCCAGTCAGGTCGTGCTACGGGTAAAAATTATTACTTTCTGATGTAAAGAATATTAGACCAGTAACTAGAGGATCGAAACGGAAAATTCATTGCATAAAATGCGGGAAAAGTTTTTATTTATTAACTTGTATATAAGGATTCAGAGATATAAAAAATTTCATGAAGAAATATCGAGTGCATGTATTCAGTGGACATGGAATTTGATGCTCTATAGCTTTTATTCTATGTGTTTTTCTTTTAGAAAACTTATTCCCAAGCTGCAGCGCCACTTATAGTAATTTGTCTGTTCTTCACGAATTTTGTAAAAATCAGTATTTGTTGACCGTGATTAACGAACATACCACTTAACCAAATTATTAAGTTTAGGTACTTGTTCGACACACAATTTAACTTTATTTAATTTATGAAAGAAAAGATTTGTCGCACCGTTTTGGAACTATAGGTAAAAAAACAAAAAAAAAGATCGAAATAATCTGGCTTTTTGGCTATAAAAAGTTTTTTCTTGGTGCTCGCGTCAGCAATTTTCTTTTTACATGTCTCAACCGATATATACAAGTTAAAAAAATAACTTTTCTCACATTTTTCACAGTAAATTTCTTGTTTCGATCCTCAAATTAATGGCCCAAACTTCATTAAATCAGTCGCCATTTGTACAGGAAGAAAGTTCCGACTGGCAAACTCTCCTTTTTTAAATAAAGATGTTATAAATATTCAAAAAATGCTTTTAAAATTTTCATCAAATATTGTAGATTTTTTCTCATGGGCTCTGGGACTGTTTGGGCTATTAAATTACTATTCTACTATACTTTCTTTCCTGGCTGATATATTAACTCTATTATTTCTTAAAGGCATTTGTTTGTCCTTACATTTTTTATTTTTTTTTTTATAATTTAGAAAATCCCATGATTGAGGCTTTTGTCTTAATTGTCTTTCCTGTCAGCGTTTAAAAATAGGCCCTAGCAAAGCAATTTGTAAAAATATTTTGGTCTATTATGTTAAATGGAATATTATAATTGACCAAGAAAATAATATCAAATCCTTCCTTACATAATATGTAGCATCTACTTATTTCCATATTGTTTTACTATTTCTTCATTCTATAATAATTAATTGCCTATTTTGTTGTTATTATTTATTTTATTGTTTTTTTTTAAATATTTATATGATACATTAATTATTGTTTAATATTATTACATTTATTTTAATCAGGTGGAAAGGCAAGAAAAAGAAAGAGTAAAAAAATTGACGTTAGACATTCAAAGGATGCAGTTGGAAGATTCTCTCGAACAGCAACAGGTAAAATAAATACATTTTATTTAAAATTTCATCACATCAGCTTTTAGTTTTATCTGCTGAAATAAAAGTAATCAATCATAAAAATAATGAAGACTTTGATTACAATCCCTGTTTATTAAGTTTAACAAAATCTCTATCAAGGGATTTTTAGCCAATATCATTAGAATTCTATCTTGAAAACAAAAATGTTTACACTTTACTTTTTTGTGGAGTTTTAATCTTGAAAATTGTAGAAAATGGGAGAATGATCCAATTGTTTTTTTTTCTTCAAAAATTGGCAAGATTGAATTTTTGAACTACAGCAACATTTTGGCGATTGATCTAAGATTCTAGAAATGTACGAGATCTTCCACTTCTCTTATGCACCATATACAGTCGACTCCCAATAAGTTGAACCTCAATAATTAGAATTTTTCGACAATTTGAACTCTTCTGCAGATAACTTCGGTAAATCGAAAAAATGCTGTATTTTGACAGCTCGAAATCGGAGAGAGAACGTTCTATAATTCGAACCTAGACCACTTCCCCATTTTATTATTCAAAATTTTCCTATTAATATTTTTTACATAGGGCTATTTATAAAGGGTGTTTTAAGGTTAAGTGGCCAACCATCAAAAATGAACTAAGGACCTTAAAACAAGAAAAAAATTTCCTCTGAAGTTATGTCCGCAAACGCTTTGTTTAGGAGATATTCGCACCTAAAGATTTTTGTTATGAGTTATTTACGATATATGAAATAAATAAAACCTATTTATTTGTTCTAACTACTTTTTTAATTAAGCGTAAACATTAGATTCATATTAAATGTTGTCCAAAGTGATTGCCTTGAGCATTAAGACAGGCTCGGCACCTTTCTTCAACAGCAGCAGTGGCAGAACGGCACTGGATATGTGTTATTGTTTCACAACATTCAATTATCCTTCTCCCTAAGGAATTAAGGTCATTGACCGGACTTGCATAGACTTTTTGTTTAATTTTTTTTTTGGATGACATTAAACAAAAAGTCTATGCAAGTCCGGTCAATGACCTTAATTCCTTTCGAAGAAGGATAATTGAATCTTGTGAAGCAATAACACATATCCAGCGCCGTTCTGTAGTTAGAACAAATAAATAGGTTTTATTTATTACATAAATATTAGTTCATTTTTTGCAGTTTGGCCACTTAAACCTGAAACACCGTGTATATAAAATTTATGTAAGCTATATAAAATATAATATAAATTCTTAATAATTCAATTTTTTTTTCTTTCCTTTTGATAATTCAAATTTTTTTTCTAGACAATTGGATTTTGAATTATCGAGAGTCGACTCTCTTTAAAAATCAGTGTCCCACTTTTATGTCAATTCAGAAAACTAATATTTTAATACCTGTTTCTAATTTATATATATATATATATATATATATATATATATATATATATATATATATATATATATATATATATATATATATATATATAATTACTTTACTTCTTTCTGCAATTGTATCATAACCAATATCTATTGCATTAAGACATCACCTTAAATATTTTATTTAATATTTATGTTATCTTCTTTTTTTAGGAAAATTCATCTTTAACCTCCAATGTAAACCATCAAAGAAGAGCGAGGTACTCAAGTACTCAGAAAGGTATGTTTTTTTCAATGTGAAGATTATGGTAAAGTTTAAATTAGAGAAACTTTTGTTTTATTGATCTGTTCTTTAATATTTATTCCTTTTTTTTTTTTTTTTAGTCATTATTTTCATCTAATCAGTTGTTAATGTTTCTGTACTTTTCTTTTCTGTTTTAGTTGATCGATTTCTAGACCTGTACTATTCTAATAAGTAGTTTTAATATAAAGATCATGATTCAGATCATCATGATTTTACTATTAAAATACTATCTACGAACCGTTTAAAGGATCTTACGAGTATAAATTATTTAATTTATACTTTATATATATATATATATTTTAAGATATGTAAATAAAATTTAGGTTTTTTAAAAAAAAATGTATATCATTTAACTTCCTGTTATCATCACACATGTCCTGTTGCAACTTATTACCTTTTTTTTTTCTTGAGTTTTCATTTGATAACAAACAAAATTTTCATTTGTTACATCAGTGGTCGATTTTGTTGTCGCTATAGGTAAGATTGTTGAAATTATTAGTCACATAAGAATCATTAATTTGAACTGACCAAATCAATACGTGGGTCTTTCACTACATCCAGAGGGAAAAAGATATTGTAATCCCACAGTTGAATATTGATTTGTGGCAGATATTGCAATGGCTAGAGAAGATTCAGTTCTCTGTTATTACACTACAAAATGATTTTGATAGTGTATTTGGGCAAAATCACCAGTTTTCGACACCCTTAACGAAAACTTAAAATGTGTTTGTCCCATTTTAAAATGCAAGAGTACTTGGTTCAACAATTGAGAGTCCTGTTAGGTCAGTAAAGATCTCCAATTTCAAAATATATATCGCTACTGTCAGTGCAAAAGATAGTATGTAAAAATTGTTCTTTTTTTTTAGAGAAGAGCATAAAAACTTATTATTTCTTTATGATTTACTAGCTTTACCGGGCCACCCGCTGCTGTGGCTTAGCCTGGCAAAATGAAAAAGAAAGAAAATATAAAGCACTTATGAGTAGATTAGTAGCAAAGGACATTTGTCATTTTTAAAAAGTTGGGAAACAAATTTGTCTGTAAAATGGCTTCAATTTAAACTAATTCTAATGTTTTTTTTTTCTCATGATTCAAATTGAACATTCATAATGATCTGAGTGAATAGGCCATCATTCATAACCATCAGAAACAGTCTGAGTTGAACTTATAAAACTAAATTAAAAAATTAATTTAATAAAATGTATAATAGTATTGACCTACATAAGGAGAATCATATAACTTCTTCAAATGATAATTACAATTACTGTAGTAATTATGTAATTTTCGATTAATCAAAAAAAAAAAAAAAAGCTTGCCTACCTTCAGTAGTGAGCTGTTTTTTTTTTTTTTTTTTATTTTGTCGGCAAATCAGAAATCTTTCAAATAAATGTGGGTATTATCAAAAATTGTGTACTTTTTTAGTTATCGGCAAATAGTATATTGAATTCATCGTAACATTTTTCAGCTTGTTTTCGGGAAAATATGTTATACACATAAATTAAAAGGGTTTTAAGGGGAAGACTTTAGCCAAGTTTCGTTAAAATCGAGAAAGCCGTTTTGGCGCTACAGTTTATCGCGACACATTTTTTTGCGGCTTTGAACAGAAAAACATTTACATTTTTATTTTTTTTACATATATAAAATTATCGTAAGACAGAAGTACTATGCCAGAAACCTTCCCAGGAGTGTACGGAACAACTTCCCAAAGGAATAAAATGTGCAATGACATGGAAACCTGGTCTCTAGTGATGATCATTAAATAAAAAATATAAACAAAAATATTTATTTGAAGTTTGTCAATTTATTATATAACTATAATAGTAGCTAGGAATAAATAGGAATCTGTAAACGATTGAAATTACAAAAACATCAATTTATTTTACAACACAATGTATTGTTAATTTATAATCTATTGCATAAAATGTATACATATTTTAAAATTCATTATTTAAAAATAAATGAAAGTAATAATATAAACTTTCTTCAATATATTTATATTGATCCAAAATAAATAGAAAAAAAAATGACTCAATAAAAAATTCTACATAATTTTTTTTTAAAAATTATGTTAAGAATTACAACTAAATGCAATTGGCAATATTTCTGAAACATTTGAGAACTCTTTTAAAAAGAGTTAAAAAAATCATTTCAATTTTTAAAGTTAAAAAAATAATTAAAGTCAAAATTAAATAAATAATTAAGTATACTGTTTTATGTACATGTTTATTAGATGATAAGTTATATCTCTTCTATTTCCTCACAAGTCCTTTTGTGCCTTCCTTTTACAGAGGATGGTTGGACGTCCGTAAGCTCGCGCTGAGCCCGATATATTGCTTCGAACTCCCGTAACTGGGCCATGAATCCTTCGTTAGGATTTATACAGAATCTCCTCTGTTGAACGATTTCATGTGCTCTTCTGTTAAATGAAAATGAGATTGGAAAGATGAAACATATAAAGATTATTTATTCAGCTAAGAAATGAGAAAAAGAAAGAATAAATGAAAGTACAAGCCATTACTTTTATTTGAAACTAACAAAAGTTAGGATTAATTCAGTTATTTTGTAAGATAAAGTTTACTGTCTTATTTAATTTATATTTTTTTGATATGTTGTAAATATAAATAAAAATTTAAAAGTTAATTCTTAAAATTTATTTATACTTAAATTAAAAATTTGTTACGTAGGGAAGACTTTACATGGTCAAATTTCTTGACCAAAACTTTTTTCTAGAAATAGAATTTAAGTACTTTAGGTTTTCAACCATGAGGAAATATCTCTACAGACTTTATACTGTTTTACAACAGTTCTTTTTTTTTAAGGAAGAGAAGAATGGTTGGGGTGATCAGTTAGAAATAAGAAGGCAAAAATAAATAATAATATTTATTTTTGCCTTCTTATTTCTAGAAACTCAAAGTAGAGTTTGAGAAAATTGCAAAAATGTGTGATATTGATGATATGAAGAGCCAGTTCCGATAAAGCTGATTGTAGTGAAAATGTTGGCTATAACATCCCAGGCATATACTTATTTTAAACATATAATTTCAATTTTGCATGACTTTCCATTTTTGATCTAGAATGTTCACAAACAGACACACCATTTTGTGAAAAAAAAATATTAAAAAATGTGAAACTTGGTTATTTGGGCTCAGGAGAGCTAAAAACGTTTATTTCCATTGAAAACTTGGACTTTAAATCTTCACGATTATAATAGATTCTCTTACTAGGTCTACCTATAGACCTACAGATATATTCAATTTATTTATCATAAGTAAATTATCAGACTTGGAACTAACTATCAATTTTATGGGCATGACAAATTCTTGCTGCAAAAATTGAGGTTTTATTATGAACTTGTAAATCAATAAATTTTATGGTATTACGAAGGCGTTATGAACTACAACTTATTGTCAAAAGATGCTTTTAATAATAAATGATTTATATTTGCTGAGAATACTAGGCAATTGTAATTATTGACAACGAATAGAAATGTTAGTGTGTAATTTATCACAGAGATACCTTACTTTGGTAAAATTTAACACAGAAATGTATGGGTTTTAAAAAATTCACCATTTTGATCCCTGATGACTTCAAAGAATTGATTCAGTTTTTAAGTAGAAATATACAGAAAAAATATGATCACACAACTTTAACTTACCGCTCTATTTCAAACAGAAATTATCGTCTGACAAAATTGGGCTATTACAAAAATTTTTTGAAGTAAATTTTTAATGAAACTAAACGTTAGAGAACACGTTTGAATTTCGATTATATCCATCACTGCAAAAAGTCTTAAAGACAATCATAATAACACAAATATTTATTATATTTATGGTAGGCAATAAAAATCTCATAACTGCTTTTCTCTAATTGAAACAAACAACTCCAGTCTCTGAGCTCTATATATAGAAAGCACATATATTTAATCGTCAAATAATTTTTTACATATAATTTAAACTCTTATTTTTTCCCTTATAAAAGTTACTAAAATACAGTTATGGCTTTATAACAATATCGATGGGTCAAAAGTTGTCACACTAATTGTAAGAGCATAATGTAATTTCAAAGAAGGAAAATTCATCAAATTATACACTCATTTTCATTTCTAAAATACTACTAAATGGTATTCGAAAAAACTCTACGAGTTATTATCTTCCAGGACTTTATATGTTAGATATTTTTTTTTTCCTAAAATTTTCAGCTCTCCGTTATATTATACGTACTTCCAGAAATTCATTTTCTTCCTTAATAAACATTTTTTCTTTTTTCTCGTTTAACCATTTATCAATAGTTCATATTGAGCATTTTTTCATTACTACTATTAATGAAAGACAATTAATTATTTAAAATAAACAAAATTAAAGGTACTTTAGAGGAAGAAATTTTGAAATTTGTGCTTTTAAGCCCAGTTATGACATCAATGTGGATAAGATCTAGCTGATAGTAAAGAACATTTAATTGTACATTGATATGCCGAGTTTAATAAAAATCGTTAGATGCGTTTTCGAGAAAATTATAAAAGTATGTAAAATCAAAGATATAAAGTGGCACTCTCGGTAAGCTGATTTTAAGGGAAAAGTTGCTGTAACGTCTTAGGCATATAGTTGACTTAAATATGTAAGTTCAGTTTCATGCAGCTTTTAGTTTTTGAGCTAGACAGTTCAGAAAAATAGATCATTATGCGAGACTTTGTTATTTAGATTCAGGGAATCTCAAAACGTTTGTTTTCTTTGAAAACTCAGATTTGAAAATTTTCACAGCCACAATACTTTCCCTTACTATATATTACATTTATAAGTAAGTGAAGGTAAAGACTATGAAGATGTAGATTAACCATTTTAGACTGGCAGTGACACTGCATTTTTTGGCAAATGGAGGACTCACAAGCCTTTTGTACAAATAGAATCTTCAAGTATATCGTATAGTGCTCAAGTTTATGAAGCTAATAGAATAATCAAATTTCAAAAAGGATTTGTGAAGGTATGTATAAATAACTAGCTTTACCCGGCCACGCGCTGCTGTGGCTTAGCCTGGCAAAATGAAAAAGAAAGAAAATAGAAAGCACATATGAGTAGATTAGTAGCAAAGGACATCTGTCATTTTTAAAAAGTTGGGAAACAAATTTGTATGTAAAATGGCTTCAATTTAAACTAATTCTAATGATTTTTTTTCTCATGATTCAAATTGAACATCCATAATCATCTGAGTGAATACGCCGTCATTCATAATCATCAGAAAGAGTCTGAGTTGAACTTATAAAACTAAATTAAAAAATTAATTTAAAAAACGTATAATAGTATTGACCTACATAAGGAGAATCATATAACTTCTTCAAATGATAATTTCAATTACTGTAGTAATTATGTAATTTTTGATTAATCAAAAAAAAAAAATGCTTGCTGGCCTTCAGTAGTGAGGAAGCAAAAGGAAATGGCCTTTTCTGAAGAGAAAGCAGTAAATGTTTAAAACTCTACAACTCTGCAAAGAACCGTCCGATTTCGATGATTTTTATTTTATTTTATACATAAATTAAAAGGGTTTCAAGGGGAAGACTTTAGCTAAGTTTCGTTAAAATCGGTAAAGCCGTTTTGGCACAACAGTTTATAGCGACACATTGTTTTGCGACTTTGAACAGAAAAACATTTACATTTTTATTTTTTTTACATACATACAATTATCGTAAGACAGAAGCAGTATGCCAGAAACCTTTCCGGGAGTGGACGGAATAACTTCCTAAAGTTTCATGGTGATCGGATGAATGGTTTAGTAATGCACAAAGGACAAACAGACAGACATACATTCATTTTTATATATATATAGATTAAAAACTCATTACATATAAAGGTGTAAAGGACGAGTCAGGTTAAAATTTTATAGGCTAATTACAAATAAACAAAGAATAGATAGAAAATAAACTTTATTCTGGGACAAGGTCCCTTAAGAATAACAATTATGAACAAAAAAACATATCTGGCCAAAAGCTACATTAATACAAATTATAAATATCTTCATTCATAATATATAAACTACAGGAAGTAAAAGTATTTGAAAAAAACAAAACAAAACATATGGTGAATGCACCAGTTATGGACAGCTTGGACTTTAAATATAAATAATAAGCTTCCTTGTTGATTTAAAGGTTCCAGTTTTTTTCTATATTGAAGAACACAACCCTTTATTGACAACTGTATGAACTAAGTTCCAAAAAGAAAATTTTAAAATGCCAATCATTTTTGTTTCTGTAGTGTTCTTGAGATCAGTGTATTTCATACCTTCCTACTAACAGTTTTGCTAAGAGTAAGTTGAACATTGATCTTATCTTATCTTTATGGTTAAATAAAGATATTAGAATTTTTCTGAGGTATGTCCATTAATGGTACTAATCCCCTGTCCATTACTAGAACAATTGAATTTTGGGATGTCCAATACTAGTGCAAAAAGGTGTTTTTTTTTTTTTAAATGGAGATTATAACTGCATAACTTAATATGTTTTCGATTTTAAAGTGTTAAATACAAAAAGACGACCCTATAGATATTAAATGTCCAACAGAGAAGTTTACAACTATAATAATGAAGGCATCATAAGACAAAAATTTCCTTAGCTATATTCATCACTGGTGCTCTTACTCTAATCAATATTAAAAGAAAAACAGAAATGCAAATAGGTGAAGTGAGAAAATTGGTATAGATGTCACCGGAGATGGATTATTCTGGGATAGAACGGAACAAAATTGAATATGAGTGAATACTTAATAGTTGACCGTATGTATTATTAAGGAAGGAGATGGTCCGGGGTGGTTACGGACTTTTTGTATCTTGTCCGTTCCAGCCCTGAAGAAGACCTGCAAAATCGGATCGAAATGCTGGATTTTAATAAAATAGTTTTGTCACTATTTAGTCTATTTATAACTGCCACACCGGATCATCTCCTTCTTTGAATACGATCGATTCGAAGGATGGGTTAAATGGAACGAGAGGACGATATACCATTGTAAAGGAGAATTTATTTATTTAATGAAACTTCTGCTCCTAGGCTTCATGGAGTAACTGAACATAACTTAGTGGATTAAATTAAAATGAAAAGAAACATAAATTTTAATAACTTCAATTTTGTATCTAAGGAAATCAATTTTTTTAATTCAAAGACAATTCCATAGTTACCAATATTACTCAAATATGTACCCATTTACAGTTGGAAATGAAGATAAGTAAATCATTAAAACTTTTTTTTTTTTTAAATAACATCACACTATAAGCTTTTTCTCCGTAAATATTATGACAAATTTTATGGACGCTGAGGACTTAACTGGTTTGTGGACTGTGAATTGCTAACGATCAAATAAACGACATCGATACATAAAATATTCTATTTAATAAATTAATATAAATATAAATGAAATAAAAAAATTTAAATTGATACTATCTATTAGTATAAAATACTGCTTATTGTTAATGTCTTTATGGTAGCTCTGAACTTATACTGCTCCCCCCAAGAAATGACAAACATAATAAATAACAAACATTTTTAATAATAGTTAACATTAAAACAAAATAATATATTAATCTAGTCATACAATAATTAAAATATCAGATTTATACAATATATTTACCTTTGAGATAACAAAGATAAATTAATTTTAACACTCGCATTTAATACAATAAATAATAAGACAATATATAAAATTTATTCTTTTCCTTTTTTCTGTATTTGAAATTAGGAAGTATTCTTAATTTTTTCTATCATACAAATTTTTTAAAATTTTCTTTTCATTAATTTAAGACTGCTATATGCGAATTTACTTACTTTTAATTGTATTTTAAACTGCAATGTTTCTCTCATTAATTTTGTTTTTAAAGTAAACTTTTATTTGTTAATCAATTTGACTGGATCGGTTTTCTTAAGTTTTTCAACTCTTCAGATTTTGTTATTTCTTTGTTTTTAGTATCATTTTCTATATTCCTTTCATACTCCTCTTCTATATGTTCATTATCTTGTTTTGAATCGGAAACAATGGAAGTGTTGAGGTATTGTAAAGAGGATACATTAACCAGAAGGCCTCAACAGAGCGTGTTCATTAAGAAGTGATAATATGACTCATTGGATGATGGAAGATGAGTAGAAGGATGACCTTTGTGTCAGGCGGATCAGCACCCTGATCACTCTTGGTCTACGGTGTAAGGGATCAACCTTAACACTCCGCAAGGATGGTAACCACAAATGGAAGGATCAATCTCCTGACTTAGTATATAGGAATATAAGTGGAGGGATCAGCATCCAGACTTGTATGGAGAGAGAAAGAGAGAGAATAGGATAAAAGATTTAAGGACATAGTGAAATAAAAGGCAGTTGGTCGGAGAAAAAAAAGTGTATATGAAACACATACTGATACACCCCGATGGGATGAGACCCAAGAACCTAACAAGTTCGTCTGTGGTAATAATTCCACCATGACTAAATTGGCTATCAAGAGCCGTTAGAATTACAGCCATTTTTAAACTTAAACTTTATTAAACAAAAACAATTTATAAGGTATATATATGCTTCAATTTACAATTTGAGTATTTTACTATACAATAATAAGAAAAAAATACAATTTTATTGGTACATTGCACGGGCGAGCTTGTTTGGCGCTGCCAAGTTGCAGGCAGGTGAACTAGTTGTCCCTTGTAGCAAGTGGAGGGAATCTGCAGCCGCCACCAGAAGCATTGTTAGCATCTAATCTGCGAAGTTCATTGTTATGACCTATGACTGTACTTCCGCTCGCCATTTTTTAATTCTTAAAGCTTGCAGCAAACTCTTCTACATTTATTATCTCACTTTATTTCAACATTTTCATTCACTGCATTAATAATGGAAGCATTGATTGTTTCTACCTTTAGTTTGTTGTTCTTATCCATTTTATTAATTAATATTTCCACATTTCCCTAAATATTGAAATTAACTATTTTATGGACACACTTGTCCTTTACTTAATCCTTTTTCAGTGTCCCTATTTTCGAGTGCCAAATATGTTTTTATTATAAATTAATTAACTAAAAAAGATATTGAATTATAATTTTCATATTTTATATTTGGTTCATGGACTGTGGATTGCTAAGGATCAAATAAATTACATTGATGCATCAAATATTTTATTTAATAAATGAACATATTTATAAATGAAATAAAAAAATCTGGTGCGCGCAACACTCAACTTTCACTTACCGCTCTACTTTGAATGGAAATTATTTTCTTGCAATGCTGGGCTATTATAAAATTTTTGAAGTGCATTTTAAATGGAGCTAAAGTTAAAGCTTACAGATAACAAGTCATTAAGATCATTATAATTACAAAAAGTCAATTTATTATATCGACGATAGGCAATAAAAATCAAGACACTCCATCTGCTATTATAAACCACACAACTTCAGTCTCTGAGCCTTTCAGTTCACAGAATCGCTAACTGCAATTTCGACATTTTTGAGTAATGTCATTTTAGTGATATTTTTAGTTGAAAAAGTTATCTATGAAGACAGTGAGTAAGTTGATTCCAGAGTAGATGATTGCAGTGTTGAAATATAGAACTGTGAACAAACGCATAAATTTTGCAACTAGAAACATCACTAAAATTAATATTAAAGAATGTTTAAATTGGAGTTAGTCATTCTGAGAACCGAAAGGCTCATACATGCCTACAGAGATTTGAAAGTATATCTGAATATTTAACCTGTAAATCATTATGGATCGTAGGACTATTAGTAGTGTTGCCCAAAATCGGTCTTGGTTTTGCACTCTGCAAGACCAAGACCAACACCGCCTATCTGTTCCAAGACCAAGACTGGTAAAAAAAATTAACTTTATGAATAAAAATTGAGACAAAATAGTTGCTAATACTTGCCAATTTTACTATATGTAAAGAATTGGTGTAACCAACATACTTTAGCATTTAACTCTTTTAATGTTTCGTTCAGACTTAGTTAGGTTTCTCATATCTAAAAAACAACATCTCTCTAGTAATAAGATAATAGGTAACTACAAAACTGTTACGAGAGTCTTGCGCAAGACCAAGACTGAGTTTGCAAGACCAAGACTCAAAGTACAATGAAATAGTATTTTAAACAATGGTATTGGCTTGATTCGATGGATTTTAAATATTTTAAATCAATATTAGAAAAACATTTAAAAGTTAACACATAGTAAGAAAATTTCATTTAATTTCCTTGAAAACATGTGATTTACATTAAATAATATTAGTTTAAAAAAATTATTATTTATAATTTTTTCACAGCTCTCCATTACCTTTTACAACTTTGTATATTAATTTTTTTTTTTTTTAAATTCTCCGCTTTCCAACGATATATTATACATATAACTTCTGACTAGTATTTCCGGAGATTCATTTTCGACTTGGATAAGCATTTTTATTTTTTTCTCCTTTATTCAATTACAAATTCTTTCAAAAGTTACATTTAACATTTTTTCGTTACTTCTAATAATGAGAGATGATTAATTATTTAAATTAAACCATATTAAAGGTACTTTAGAGGAAGACGTATATGATAACAGGCATTTAAGCCCTGTAAAGTGACATCAATGGGGATAAGACCTGATTGGTATTATTTAAGCCCTGTAAAGTGACATCAATGGGGATAAGACCTGATTGGTATTAAAGACAACTTAATTATACAATGATACACTGAGTTTGATCAAAATCGTTAAGAGCCGTTTTTGAGAAAATTGTAAAAATGTGATTCAGCGTTGATATAAAGTGGCACTTCCGGTTATCGGATTTTAAGGAAAAAGTTGCTGTCACATCTAAGGCATATACCTATCTTAAATAGGTAATATCAGTTTCTTACGTCTTTTTGTTTTTGAGCTAGACAGCTAACATACACACACACAGACCATTTTTAGGGACTTGGTTATTTGGACTCAGGTACCTAAAAACGTGTATTTCCGTTGAAAACTCAGATACAAAAATTTTCACGATCGCAATACTTACCCTTACTATATATTTCATACATACATAAGTGAAAGTAAAAATAAAATTTAAATTAATATTATCTATTAGTAAAAAATACTGTATAATATACTGCTTATTAAGAATGTCTTTATGGTAGCTCTGAACTTATACGGCTTCTCAATTGAAGATGGTCTTCATCCGGTCTACGCTTCTTTAACCACTATGCACATGTTATCACTATAGCTTTCCGGAACCGACGGACAACGATGCATCCATTCTGACCAACGGCCAGGAGACAACTTTTTTTTTTAACTATTAAACACTTTATTCAGAAATATTACAATTTGTCACAGTTAAGGACACTTATAATAGAGTTCAGAGAGTACATTCATACCGTATATACAAAAATATAAATAAATAAAGTAATAACAAAAGAATAAGAAAAAAGAACAAAAGAGAAAAAGAAAAGAAAAAAATATATATATACACATAAGTAAATAAAAATAGAAATAAAAGTAAAACAAACATCTTATATAAAACATACCTATATACATTATTTACAATTTGCCAGATGATCTCCGAACCAATCCTGTTTTTCCTCCACATGTGGAGGGAAAAGGGAGGCTTAGGAGATCCCTACACTTCTCCCTCAGCCACTTCACTGGTATTTAAAACTAGCGGAGGATGAGTAAGAGTGCTACAGCCACAGACACTCATGACTTGAGTGGAGAATCTGGCAATTGCTAGAACTCCAAAATATCCATAAAGGAGACAACTGGAGTGAAAAGAGTAGGGTTTGCGTCCTCCCCTCCACATCACCTCCAACTCTAATCTATATTTTTGATTATGACTAGACTAATTGATTAATAAAAATCATTACAACATATATAACCAAATTTTGGAACAAAAAATAATCCAGATTTCAAATTAAAAAAAAAACCATGCATAGAAAATTTAAATAACCATAAGCTGTATTAATAACTACATAATAAAAATAACAAATTAAATCATACTTGCAAGTTATTCCATATCTTTGCATAATATATGCTAGGACTAATGCAGCACTACGAGATATGCCGGCATTTCCATGCACTAATACTTTTCCACCCGAAGCTAAACATTCATCTATGAATTTTTTAATAATAGGAAAGAGATGAATTATGTTTTCAGTCACTGAATCGGCAATTTCCAACACCAAATATCTAGAAGAAAATTTTATAAATTAAAAAAACAATCTGAAAAATGTACATGTGTAAAAGATTACATCTAAATATAGCAGCTAAGCTAATAGAGTTGTTGCTTTTCTCTCATTAATTTCTACAGTCAAACACTCGTCTGTTTTTCGACAAACTCCGCCTAACATCCATTGTTCAGGGAGCACTCTCCCTACATGAAATTTTTCTTTTAGAAGAAAAACTTTTGTCTATTCCAATCACTTTTCCAGACCCAACAATTTTTTTTAGTAGTTGCCTTTCGGCCAAAATGTTCTTATATCCATTTTAAATAGAAAATAACAATTTTAACAAAGAATAAAACAAAACTGAAAACAGTTGAGTAAAGAGAAAAACACACAAGTAATCAAGCAGAGATGAGTGATAAGAAGAAGAGGTTACAGGAGATAATGAGGTAGGTTATGTGGCACCGACTAATTACCAAAACAACTTTAAGAAATCAAAATATTTTTAGTCACAATAGTTACCCTTATTTTCTACACATTTTCCCTGTGTTATCAACTTTTCAATCTCAGAACTGGAAAACTTCAGGATTTTGTGAAGATATGAAGTGTTTTTAACCTGAGAATCATTTTCAAAAATTTTACCTTTCAGTAGGAAGATGTTTAAACTTCTGAACAGATGGAAATCTGTTGGAGATAAGTCTGACGAAGGTGGGTGTGGAAGGACTTCGTAACACAGCTTATTTAGTTTCTTTACAGTATATAATGAAATATGAGGTCTACCATTGTTGTGTAAGAGTATAGGTCCCTTCCTAATAACAAATACAGGTTTGTTTTTGATGAGTTATGTCAATATCGTCAACAAACAAAAAAGAATTGAACTAAATTTATTTTCCTGAAAATTGATCAAACAAAAGATTTGAGTACGATTTATTTGATAAACTAAAGCAATGAAACCGACTTAAGGTAGATCAGTGTAAAAATTTCGATACTCACTAATATTGCTGATCAAAAACTTTTTGCCATAGCTTAGTATTGTCAAACAATAATTTCTGTTAAAAGTAGAGGAAATAGTGAAGCTTGTTTGATGCGGGCAACAGATTTTCTTAATATCACTTAGTCATCTTTATTATCTCATTCACCTCTTTCTGACATCAGGAAATGAACTCGTAATCTTTCATTGGAAATTGAATAGCTGTAACTTCGTTATTAGTTGTCCAAAATGAACGATTTTTATGTGGCTTTGAAGGGAATTTCATTACCTTTCAAACGATAGGCATAAAGGCGTTTTTTTCGGGGGGCTGTGAAACGTATAGATCCGTCGAAAACCGCATGTCGGAAATTTGACCCGGTTGCAATACTTTCCTTAACGTATAATATATACTTAGGGAGTTAGGCCCCATGGCATTTTTCTTTTCTTTATAACTTTTTTTTTCTGAATTTTTTCGGGAATTTAGTCTATATACAAAAATTGAAAGGACAATGATTAGAACATCATAGAAAAGTTTCATTAAAATCGTTAGAGTCGTTTTTTGCGCTACAGTCTATAGAAAAACATGTTTTTCATTTATTGCCCATGGAGCAACGAATTTCTGTCACAGGCATCAGTAGTCAAAATCCTACAAAATAAAAAAAGAAGCAACAAAATCGGTTGAGTAGTTCCTGAGAAAATCTTGACACAGACAGGCAGACAGACCAATGGCTAAAAATGTGTTTTTTCTGACTCAGGGGGCTGTGAAACGTATAGATCTGTCGAAAACCGCACGTTGGAAATTTGACCTGATTGCAATACTTTCCTTACCTGGTATAGGTAGGAAAGTAAAAATCAAGTAGAAGAAAATAAGTGGAGAAAACAAAGAAGATGGTGGATGTTGAAAATTCATGAGAATCGTACAAGGTAAGCATAAAATTGATCCTAGTTTTCCTTATTAATATCAGTTGTTTATTTCTTTGCCAAGACATTTTTATGTATATATATATATATATATATATATATATATATATATATATATATATATATATATATATATATATATATATATATATATATATTCATTTTACCGTGTGTTTTATAATATATTTCTGTAAAGCTGATTAACACGATTTTATAGAATTTTTCTCCCATAGTTGCTAGGATTGTCAAATTCCCTCCATTAAACATATTTAATAATTGATTCTCTAACCAGTGGAAATTCTTGATATATCCTCCGTTTACAGCAAAAAGTCACTAAGTGCATTTCCGATATAGGTTAACTTTCAAAAATGTTTTTTATGAATTTTGACTTTATTTACCTATACAAAAACACTGTATTGGCACGGAAAGGAAACAAACCCTTTTATAAATCAATTATACTTATGAGAAGCACACAATTTTCTTATTTTATAAAGGAAAAAATATTTTAAGTTCTTGATTAGTTAGAATGAAAGAAATAATGAAATTTCACTTAATGACTTTCTGCAATGAGCTGGCTATATTTTTTCAATTGTTTGATTCAATGAATGCATTTAAATATTCTTTTCTTCATTTATGATGTTCTTTGATTTATTGTATAGAAATTTTTTTACAATTTAGTGTTGGCAATTAAAAAAATAAGCGAATGAATGGTTTATTCTTCTTTTACTAAATTTGGAAGAGTTACTTTATTTTATTATTTTTCAATTCAAACAATCAATTACGTCTGTAGTAAGTTAATTTATTTTTATATAACATCTAACACAAGTACATCATCGGAAAGGAAACAATGGAGAAAGGGTATTAATTATTTAGCATTTAACTGGTTATTGATATTTAGTTAACTGGAAGTTCATTGTTAGTTTCTGATATCCCTACTACTCTGTGATTTATTTTTGTATACTTTTTCACATAGCAAAACAATGTACATATGGTGATGGCTATAAATATAAAATACAGGTCAACTAAAAAAATTGGAGAACCTGGCAAAGTCGTTGAAGTAGACGAGTCTTTTTATCAAAAATAAAAGTGTTTTGTATGTACATATGTTGTTTATATAAAGTATGAACATATATGCATTGTATGCATTAAGTGTTTATCTTGTATTTTGTATAAAATGTAAAATAAAATTGTTTTATATATATGTTGTAAAAGTGTTTTATTATTATTACATTTGGTTTTGTCTATTTCAACTTCCATGAATATGACCTTTGTTTATGTCTATTTCAATTTCTATAAATATGAATACGAAGATAGAGTTTATAAGTGCCTTATCAGAATTATTAGTGTTCAGGTAATAAACATTGTTAGATAACAGTCCATCCCGATTGGATTGCTCACAAGTACCTTGTAAACAAGGTAGTTGTGAACATAAATGTAGTAAACAACAAAAGGACACTAATCTCGCTGAATTTCTGAAATGTTAAAACAGGCACTTTTTATGAAATGGCCTAATGGTACACAAACATATTAATGTTATTATATATTCTCACTTGAATTGGTCTTCAAAATTAGGTTTTATAAAGTTGGCTTCTAAAATATGCCTGACACAAATTATGTGAGTGATTCCTTGACTTTTCAATTCATTTAATTTAGACTTGATTGCTGCTGAATAAGGTCCAAGAAATAGACTCGGAACTATTTCTTGCATACATCTCCGCATACTATATTTCCACTCATCTGTGCCACTTGGAAATTCCTGAAGTGAATGAAAAACTGACATATTCTTTTCATCTGTTCCCTGAAATAAAAAAAATATATATAATAATATCAAATGATATATAAATTAAAAACTTCAAAATAAAATGATGTAGCATTATAATAAGCCATAATATAATTTAATAAAAAGTTTTCATAAAAAAACAACAGTAACCCTTCCATTTTCATCGGATAGGACAAAATAAAGATACTGATTACAAATCGCTACGCAAGATGGGGGATGGATTCAAAATCACATTGAGGACATTATACAAAATCCTTCTGAACTTTATACCTTTTTTCACTTATCTGCTTCTTTTTAAAACCTCTTCGTTGCTTGCTCCACTGCTTTCTGGAATTCCCTTCCTTTAAAAGTTCGGTATGATCCCTCTTTATCCACCTATAAAACTCTCCTATTCCAATTTCTATTTACAAAGCAGTCAGAAAATAATGGCTAACCAAGCACTAAGCATCAGCGCATTGTTTAAAAAGTCAATAATTTTTTATTCATTTATTTATTTATCAAGGGTGTCTCATTTCTTAAAGGCTAAACTCTGGAGAGTGATTCTAGACAAAATTTCCAACAAAAAAGTTCATTTGATACATTGGCCGATTCCGTATGGAAAAGGAGTTGAGACCAAAATTTGTGTGGTCAAGTTTTTTATTGAATAAGAAGGAACTGCTCAAAAACTGTTCAAGATAATTAAATTATAAGTACACCATCGTAAAGTAAACAAAATTGTTTTGATAAGTTTAATGATAAAAGGAACTTTCAGGTCTAATACTGCCACTGTACAGAGATAGGCTGCTCGTGTATGAGTATTATAACTGCAGGAGTACAGTGGCAGTTTTAGATCTCCCATAAGTCCCTTTTATCGTTCATCTTAGTAAATTTAAACAGTTTTCTAAAAAAAATGTGTCTAATTAATTATGGTGTACTTAGAATTTAATTATTTTGAACAGTTTTTGGGCAATTCCTTCTTTGCAATGAAAACGTGACCACACAAAATTGTTCGTAACTCTTTTTCTGTTCGGCTCATGTATCAAATGAATTTTTTTTTTAAATTTTGTCTAGAATCATAATTTGAATCTAATTGCTGGCACTGTTCTTCTTCTTCTCTTATGCCATTAGTTAACGTTGAGGAGCCTCAATCCAGCGTAACCACTCTTCCCGATCCCTGCTAATCCGCTTTATCTCTTTGAGGGTTTTGCCTCTTTTACATCCCATTCTTTGAATATACTGTTCGTATGTGATTTTGAGACGTCTCATGTGGTCTCCTTCCTGTGGATCAAGCATCTAATATCCTTATAGGATGCAAGTTCTCATTCATGCAGCAGACATATCCAAACCACTGGAGTTGCCGTCTTTCTAGAGTGGTTTTAAGTTCGGTAACTCCTAGCTGCTCTCTAATGCTTTCGTTCCTAATGCGATCCCTTCTAGTTCTCCCAACAGATCTGCGAAGGAACCTCATTTCTGCTGCCGTTATGCGACAAGAGTGTCTGTCTAGCATTGTCCAGCTTTCTCTGCCGTAGGTGAATGTAGGTAGGTAAACAGACTTATATACGTGCATTTTGGTCTTCTTGTCTACTTCGTGGTGGCTGATAATGCTATTAGTAGTCTGGTAATACACCTGATTCGCCTTACATATTCTGCTTGATATTTCGGCATCTATCTTACCTGAGCTACTAATTACGGTCCCTAAGTAGGTATATTCTGTCACTATATCAAGTGCCTCGCCATTGCAGATCAGCTGGACATCTTCCCGTTCTTCCCTCGCCATAATCAGCACTTTACTCTTGGAGGTGTTAATTTGCATCCCTTTCCTGAGCAACTCTTCTTCTCATTCTACCAGAGCTTGTTGTAGTTTGGTCTTGGTGTCGGCTATTAGGACCTATAGGCTAATTTCCCAATTGTTGTCCATGCAGTTCGGCGTTTACAGATTTTTTGGATTTCATCCATTACATTTATAAATAGAAGGGGACTTAAACTATCTCCATGTCTAACTCCTCTCGCAATTGGAAAAGGTTCCAATTCCATACCATTGTCATGGCTCCTTGATAGGCTGACTGTATGGCCGCCAGCAAGTCTCCAGGTACACCCTTGGCTATTAGGGCATTCCAAATTTCTTTTCTTGGGACCACATCAAATGCTGACTTCAGATCAAGGAACGCAAGATACAGATTTTTATCTCTGTCCCAAGCTTTTTCAGCAATATTTCTGAGAACAAAGATGTGATCCTGCGTCTGTCGGCCTGGACGAAAACCAGCCTGTTCCGCTTCTAACTGCCCTTCTACAATCCGTCGGAGTCTCCTTTTTAGAATAGAAGTACAAAGTTTATAAACCACTGATAGCAAACTAATTGGTCTATAATTTTTGCAGTCTGTCGTGCATCCTTTTCTATAAATCGGGAGGATTATACAACATTCCCAGTCCATGGGAATTTTCTTTCTGTCATATACTTCTTGGAACAGCGATTGAAGTGCTTTTAGAAGTTCTAGACCACCAAATTTTAAATATTCTGGTGCAATTCCATCCCTTTCTGATGCCTTACCTCTTTTTAGCTTATGGATTGCATTTCCTATCTCTTCTTCCTCTATAAACTCCAGGCTTTCTTGAATATTGGGCTCTTGTTCTTGGCAATGGTCTGTTTCTGGGTTTTCGGAGAATTGTTCCTGGAAATATTGCTACCATCTGCCGAGGATCTTTTCCTTGTCTGTAAGTACGATTCCATCGCTACCTTTTACATTTCTTGTAGGCTAGCATTGTTTTCCTCTAAACATCTTAACTTTTCGCCAAAATGTTCTTATATATCCGCGCTCAGCCTTTTACCTGGTATTGTAATCATTGTTATTATGTTTAATTATAAGCGATTATGAGAAACAAAAAATTATTTTATTTTAATAGCTTCTTATATTACTTAAGATCAATGCTATGCTACATTCGGAATTCGATCAACAGTATGATCGATGTGTGTGGAGTAATAGCCACAAGAATAGGATAACTGGTTAGAATAGATTTAGTTGTAACTATAAAACAACCCCCCTCCTCTCCTCTTCCTAGAAAACGGGAGGTAAAAGGATAATAATAATTTTAAAAAAAGCTTATTTAAATTTCATACCTTACCATTAAATATAATACGCATATAGTTTAATTTTTATATATTATTTATTTCTAGACTTTTGAATTTCATGAATTTTGAATTCTATTACTAATTAACTTATTATGTCTTACAACAATCATTTATATCTCAGTTGATATGTCGAGTTGAAGTGATTCTATTCAGTTTCCCGGTAGCAATATTTCATAGGTGTATTGTATTCCTTTTCCAAAACCTTTACAACAAAAAAATCCATCTTACCTTCTTGATTTGTTTACATCTTGTTCTATGGTACATTTGTTTAACATGAGATTCCAGCGCATAAATCTGTTTATTCCATCTCACAGAACTGTTTCCTTTAAAAAATCAATTGTCATGCATGCTACCTTCTTTTGGAATTTCTCACCAACCTCCATACACAAATTCTCTCCTTTAACGTCATTTAAGCAACATTTATTTTTTCACCTCCTCAGCATTCAATTTTCCAAATATATCTAAGAATAAAATCTTCGTATTTAAGAGCTGTCACCTTCATTTGACTGTTACATATACATTTTTTTTTTTCTGTTTGCATTACAGACCATGTAGATCTTTTGCTGTCTTAACAAGCCTGCTCCATCTCTGTCTGTCTTGGGCTCTTTCTTTCATTTTTCTGCACACAGCTCTATTGCGTCTTTGTTGATTCTATCTATTCATCTTCTTTTTGGCCTTTCACCTGGTCTTATGCATTGAGGCATTCATTGTTACGTAGAGACAGGCTTCCAGATGAATCGCAACGAGCTAAAGGCCCCGCCCATCTTAACCTCCGTGCCTTTATATCATGTGATATTGATTGACCAGTTTCTGTAAGCAGTTCTTTCTTCTCCATGTGTTAATAGTCTGATCCCAGATTGCTCCAGTATCGTGTGGACAATTTTTCTCAAATCTTTCAATACTTTTTTCTAGAGTGTTGGTTAGTATCCAGGTCTCACAGCCATACATTAGAACTGGCTTTATCACAGCACTGTACACCATTAGTTCTCATTGTGAATTTCATTCAAATAAAAAACAATTACGATTTTTATAATTTACGTGTACACTATCACTTTGACATTAAAATTTACAAAGGATATAATCAAGGACATAATTAATGCCACAAAGAATTGAAAACACTGATAGAAGTTTAATTATTCTGTTGATTTTTTAAACAAAAGAATGGGTGTGTCAATTCTATCTAACTTCAGACCCATTAGGGTAGTAGTTAAGGTGTTTCATTTGCAGCTGTGTGATACGATCTTAAAAATCACACAGAACCTTTAAGTAGATATATGGCACTAGTATCAAAATACATAAATGTAATTAATTAACCAACCTTTGAAAGTTTAAATAAAAATAAAAGACTGTGAGACAAATGCATTAGAATGTAAGTAAGTCTCAGAAATAATAAAAGTCCTTGAAACCAAAACAAGCACTGAGAAGCAATGTTTACTTCTCCTAGTAAACACTCTCATCTGGTTGCTGTAAATATGTCATCAGTCAATGCCTAATGTTATGGATTAACTTCATTTTAGAGATTAATATAAAATATAAAACCTAGTTTTAGCTACATTATAAGCCATAGTCATTAGTGAGTTCATAGATTGTAAGACTATTGTGATAATAAAGTAAGAGCAACCAATCTACATCCTTCAGTTGAATTGATGGCATAAATACTTGAAGTTTTCTTTAAATGTTTTTCACTCAGAAGAGATTACTCCTGAATGATCTAATTTTTTTCAATTATTCAAATTCGAATGTTTTAGGCTTGAAGTATCTATCCATTATATTTAAAATAAATTGAAAGTAACTAAACTCCAAAACAAAATAAAATATTAAAAAAACAATCATTTTTTCCATAAGCTGGAGGAGATCTAGTTCCCTTAAAAAAATCAAAATTGGTTAAAATGTACTCCTGACTGTTGATCTACTTATTATTGTGAATGATTTTTTTCAATTGAATGAATGACTCAAGAAACAGACAAACTAAATCTTTACACATATATTTAACTGGTATTGGTTAAAATAAAATACATATTATTTGAAATTAATAAAATTACCAATCCATTATGGAATGTGTTGTTTTCTCCTTCATAAACCATCTTTAACGAGATAAAATGATTGAATTAAGTTCCCTGCAGTCAAAACTATAACAACGCGGTTTACGAACTAGCATTTCGAGAATAAATTTCCAAAAACTGTTAAGAAAACAGGGAACATCGATCAGCTGTTCAACTGCTTTTTTATTAATTAATTATTTGTTGTTTACCTTATCTAATAACCTCCTTGGAAGGCACAACGGCTTTACGTCAGGTTATGTTTCTATCGTTGTTTTATGGTTACCTCTTTTGAATTATTTTCATTTTTAAACTAACTTTTATTTAATTTACTTTTCAGGCAGATAAAAATATTATATCTGTGAAAAATGGAGAAACCTCAGAAAATGCCTAAAGTGGCCAAGGTTAGTCATACAATCAATTCTTAGTTTTATGTTTTCTTTTCATACTTAAAGTTAATGTTCCTACCAATTTTATTCGTCCTTGGATTGCTCCAGTTACTAAAATGTTTTAATGGATTAAGATATGAGGGATTTCAGCCCTGTTCCTCCCTACTCCAAAAAATTATAAATATAAATATGTATATTTGAAATCTGTGTAATTTAACCCATCGCCTATCCTTCATACTCATTAATTAAACTATTTTTTACTTAGTTACATTGCTTTCTTAGAAAACAGAATCTATCATGTGAAAGACAAAAAACCACAGAACATATAGTACAAGCGATGTACAGAACATGTTACTCTCCATAATTTTTTTTCATACATTTTTTCTCTCCCTTATTTTTGATTATTTTTTAAAAATTTATTTGATTTGATATATTTTTGAATTAATTTTTCGGTTATTCGTTGTGAATTAAGTTAATATCATAATTTGATTAAAATATTTCTGTGAACTGCGAAAGCAACTAAAAGTACCAACAACCAACCTATCACTGTTAATCAATTTTTTGTTAATTCAATTCCTTGCTTAATTGCTCATAAGAGTTATTGTGAATATTATTTTTAATTTTTGCAATTCCTGAAAACTTATTGCTCAACGTGAAAATGTCCATGCACAAAAGGCTGTCATTTATTTAATATATTGAAAAATACTGATTTTGAAGTTTTTTTTATTTTTATTAAAGTTTAGTGTGATGGACAGCTCGTAATAAATAAAGCTTCCTATGTGCTAGTGCTCGGTACTTTGCAAAGAATGGTTAGACATCTTAGAGGTATTTCGCACAACACCTACAAAGGTGCTAGGAGTCTTATAATCATTAATACCTCTAGATTTATGGATAAAGATAAAGCTATTATTGTATATTTAAGAATTAATCAGAATGGAGAGTGACAATACTTAAGGAAACCGAGTTGCCACTTAACAATAGCTAATATGTTGGAAAAGGAATTACAAATATTACAGTACTAGGCACTAGCGGATCCAGAGTTTAATTTTTGGGGGGTTTCTGCCCGAAAGATTTTTTTTCATATATATATATATATAACGATAATTAATTCGAAAAAAAAGAAGAAGAAAGAAATGAACTACCTATACGTAATGGTGTTTAGGTGATTCTTGAAGTCCTATTAAATGTAATTACATGAACAATAATACTATAAGAGATATATTTTTATATTTTTTTTCTATAAAACATGGTTATATTTTATCGTTTTGGGGGAGCTTCAGCACGATAGTACCCCCCTCCTCCCCTCCCCGGTAAATCCGCCTATGGTACTAGGGCATTTGAGTTAAGACACCTGCAAAAATTTTATATCAAGTATTCAAAATCCGTTCATGGGATTTAATAACGAAAAATCTGGGCAACATGTGTTTTGTACGATTTTTTATCCGCTCAGTCACTCTGTCCTCAGACTACCAAAGATGATCTATATTTTGGTTAACCTACTGAAGTTAATGCTGATATATTCAAATCTTCCTCCCTCCCTCTCTCTAACTCCTTTAAAATGGAAAAAAAATGTAATTAAAATCTAATTTCATGTTATTTCTTTATTTATATTTTTTTGTTGATAACTGATTTATTAATCAAATTTATTTTTTCAGGTTAAAAACAAAGCGCCTGCTGAGATCCAGATCACAGCAGAGCAGCTTTTACGAGAAGCAAAGGAAAGAGATTTGGAAATAGTTCCCCCAGTAAGTATTAATTGCTCAATTTTCATACTCAACTTATAAAATATATTTGACAATTTTATTTTATTTATAGATTCCATTTTATTATTCTGTACATTATTGAAGAATTGCTATGTAAAAGTTTTTCCTATGTAGTTATGTTCATAACTAAGAATCATTATATAATATTAATTAAATATTATTCTTAAAGAATTTTATGATATCCCTCTGCATATTTTTTTCTTATTATTAGATATTTATATTTTAATATTATATGGTTTATTTCATCTTCTTTTTCTTTCAGCCTCCAAAGCAGAAAATCTCTGATCCTGAAGAATTAGCAGATTATCAACATCGTAAAAGAAAGGCTTTTGAGGATAACATCAGAAAAAGTAGAATGGTCATTAGTAACTGGATCAAGTATGCACAGTGGGAAGAAAGTCAAAGACAGGTCGATAGGGCTCGATCGATCTATGAAAGAGCTCTTGATGTCGATCATCGAAACATCACCCTGTGGTTGAAATATACCGAAATGGAAATGAGGAATCGTCAAATTAATCATTCAAGGAATCTTTGGGACCGGGCAGTTACAATACTTCCTAGAGCAAATCAATTTTGGTATAAATACACATATATGGAAGAAATGCTTGGAAATATTGCTGGTGAGCGTTATATTATTCTATATAACTCCAATTCATGTCCTCTATCCATTCTCTTACCATAACAAGATCTTAACCGTCTGACTTTTATACCCCTTTTCACAGAAATGTCTCTTTTAAACACTCCTTTGTTGTCCGCTCCATCATATTTTGGAATTACCTTTCACTAAAAATTTTATATGTCTCTTCCTTATCCCCATTTGAATTCATCTTATCCCAACTCCTTTTCACAAAATAGTCAGACACTGAATAACCATGTATTATGTAATACAATTTTGTTTTTATTAGTCAGGCTTAATTTTTTAATACCAACATAAATTTCCTACAGTTTATTTTTTTCTGAAATTGAATCTTCTATATTTAAATATTTTATTCAAGAAGGAGACGGCCTGGGGTGGGGTTCATAAAAAAAAAAAAAAATTAAAATAGTAAAAAATTTTCAATCAAATGTACTCGATTAAATATTTTATGTACCTTTTAGAGCATATATGTACATTTTGATGTAGAGATGGTTGACGTGATATGATAAGAGAAGGAGTTGATTGGGGGGTGCGGTCAAATAAATACTAAATACTATTTTTATAATTTAGTATTTATTTTACCGCACCCCTCTCCCCTCCCCCTGATCAACTTCTTCTCATATGTACATTTTCTTTATTTCTAACCAAAATTAGTTTTTTTTTGTTTGTTTCTGTATTTTAATGTATGATCTGGGAAAATAGTGCCGGCCTTAGACATTTAACATCCCTGGGGAATGACGTCATCTCTCATTCCAAAAAATTAACTTAAGCTGTTTTATTTTAATTAATATGTGAATTTCTATTTCTAGTCCATGGTACAGACCTCTTTTTATTAAAAATTTAACTTCCGGTTGAAACTTCTTAAATAGCTTCATCTCATCGTAACCTACAACTTTTTTATTTATTAAAATTCTCGGAATTGGGGCGTTTTCAATCTGGAGGTTGAGAAACTTTGTATATTTAATTAGGTATGTACTAAAAACTCGTAAATACCCATTTCCTTTCCACCTGAATCATAAGATAATTTGATCACAAAATCGAGAAAAAAAGGTGGCTTTCAAAAATATTGAGCCGTTTGTCGTGACCTACACCCCCAAATTGCCAAAATAACGAGGTTATATAGGTCAAACGGCCCAATATTTTTGTAGATCTTTTTTATCGCTTTTGTGCTCAAATTATCTTATGATCCAAGTAGAAAGCAAATGGGTATTTATGCGTTTTTAGTACCTAATTGAATAGACAGAGTTTGCCCCTAAATTGAAAGCCTCCTGCCTACAGATTGAAAGCGCCCCAATTCCAAGAGTTTTCATAAACAAAATAGTTGTAGGTTACGATGAGATGAAACTATTTACAAAGTTTTAGGCGGATATTAATAATTTTCGATAAAAAGGGATATGTACCATGGACTATTATTTTATTAAATATTTCTAGATAGCAGAAGTCAATTTCATTTTTTATTATTGGCTATTAATAGGCTTAGCGATCCTATGAGAGAAAACTTATTGCATTGTATTTTATTTTTCTGTACCATTCTGTTTGTATTGTAAATATTTTAGATAATTTTATGTTGTTTTTTCTTTTTATTTATTCAATATCTTTTGGTCTTTTGGCCAGAAATAATTTGTATATTTTTATCTAAGAGCTGTTATTCTTAAGGGTCTTTGTCCCAAAATGCTGTAGTTATACTATGCAGAAAAACTTAATTTTTGTTGTTATACAGTTATTAATCGTTATATTAGCCAACATTTATATGTATATTTTGGCATGTATAATATACACATATATATTCCCTTATATAATGATTAATAGCTATATAATAATGAAATGTATGTTTTTCTGCATAATATAAGAGTTTAAACATAAGTTATAATTGCTCTAGTTTTTGAATGGTTCAAGATAAGATAGTAAAGTTATGTATATTCTTAAAATATATTTGTTCATAATTTTAAATTTAATTTCTAATCATAATGATGTAGAGATGGTTGACCGTTGATATGATATGAGAAGGAATTAGTCGGGGGTGCGGTCAAAAAAAAAAAAAAAAATTAAAATATATAAATAATTTTAATTTTTGCCAATATGTTTTGTTATTATAAAATGTTTTGAATCGCATAAATTGTGTTTCCGAAGTGTTTTAAAGACATGTAAAATAAATTGAGTATTGTGTTTTTCAATTTGAAGCATCTTAAATTATGTTGAATGGACTTGGGTACCTTCAAATTTTATAATGAATCTGGTTGTTAATTTTGAAAGTGGCCTAACTCCATTCTTGATAAGGAAACGCACATTAATCACTTAATAATTGTTACTATTTTAATAGGAACTATAAATTTAACACCCTTAGATACACTTAAGCAGTATGACTCATTAGTATCCTATACGTATATTTTTAAATTCATTGAAACGCAAAACCTTAAATATCTCGATTCGAAGATAAATGGAGGTAGGCCACTTTCAAAATAAACGGCTCATTTAATGACCATTGTAATAAATTTTTTTTTTATTGTCATAATTGCATATTCTTTTTTTGCTTTAAGACTTGTAAAAGCAAGTCCCATTTTGTCCTATTAAATAGTTTAATGCAATCTTTTCACTATTTTATAGGTTGTAGACAAGTTTTTGACAGATGGATGGAGTGGGAACCAGAAGAACAGGCATGGCTCACATATATCAAATTTGAATTACGTTATAAAGAAATAGAAAGAGCTAGGGAAATATACACTAGATTTGTTATGGTACATCCTGACGTTCAAAATTGGAAAAGATTCGCAGGGTATGTATAAATCTATGAGTATTTTGATTAGCTTTTATTAGTTAATTTACTTCTATGATCATATTAGTAATTTTAATGATGTTTTGAAAATGATTTAATTTAATGTGTTTACGTTGTGCACATAATAATCTGTATAATTGGTAAATGGTTGACTGTCGTGGATAATGAAGAGAAGAATAGTTGGGGTGGTCAGTCAAAAAAGAAGGCAAAAATAAATGATAATATTTATTTTTACATATGCCGACGTTTCGACCTGAAGTTCAGGCCTTCCTCAGGGCTAAGAAAATAACCAGATTTACGAGAGTCGAAACGTCGGCATATATAAAAATAAATATTATCATTTATTTTTGCCTTATTTTTGACTGACCACCCCAACTATTCTTCTCTTCATAATAATCTGTATTAAAATATTATAGACTAAAAGCAATTTACTAGTTTGCTTGTGTTTGATCTTTACAGTAGATCGTCCGAATTAATATTGAGTAGGGTGGTGGAGATAATCAAAATTTACTTTAAATAAAAATAGAGGAATATCTAAAATAACCTCAAAATATGTATAAAATCCATCTCTATTTATTTACTAGCAGGACTTATGATATACACGTATAAAATATAACATTGGTTTTGAAGGGAAATATGGCCAGCGCACAATAGGCCAACTGAGGCCGCGGTGTAATTTTGCTGGGAAAAAAAAAAATATATATAACATATAACAATGCTCTTTTTAAGAACTAAGCGGTGTATTCTCCTTAAAGGAGAGTTGGTTTAAAAGTCATTGAAAAATTGTACAAAATCAGAACAACCTAATTTTTTTTATAAAACACTAAATTACTAAACACATTCTTCTTCTTTTCCTCCCTCTTAATGCCTCTTAGCGTGGAAGTATGTCGAGCTATCCCAACCAGGCATTTCAGTCTCTTTGGAATTCATCTCTCCTATCGACTTCTCTCTTGATCGTCCTAGCCTGGATATGCGATCTTTGTAAAATAGTCATGGTCTACCATTAGATCTTTTATCTGTCAGTCGGGCTTCATAGAAGCTTATGGGTTCTATATACTCCCAATCTGCAGATATGACCATACCACTAGTTGTCTTTCCTCGAATTGTATTTGTCCCAGTGGCTCGACGTTGTATCCCTTCTCTAATTCTGTTGTTTCATATGCAATCTCGTCTTGTTTTTCCCATCACTATTTTGAGATAACTAATGCCAGCTGTGGTTATTCTATTTTTATGTCTGTCCAATGTTACCCAGCTTCCACTGCTGAAGAACAAAGTTTTTTTGGATCCTCCCCTTCCTCACTTTTAAGGTTATACGGGATTTTCCCAAGCTGTGGGGTGAGGGCGGGGATTTAAAAGACTTCCCCAGCACCAGGGCGCGAACTCGTGACTATTTTTATCCAGTTATCTTATGTATCTGGTTGCCGGACAATGGCTGTGCTGTGCGCACACGTTAGCCCATTCTGCTCTCAGAGCAAAGTTAATGTTCCTTCCAACTTTCCTCTTATACACAGTGGAATTGGAGATACTAATATTATTAGTAATATACAAACTAAATATTATTAGCTTTCCTCTTCCTGATTTTCTCATTTCTGCTCATAACACCCAGAATATTCATCAGTTTGGCCATTACATATATTATTGATTGCCTGAGACTCCCTTTCCAGATGTTGTACTTTTCTGTTATTTTTATTGACAGACAGGTCTTTATATACTACTTTATATACCTTCATGTTGATAATCAACTAAACACTCAATTTTAGTGAATTTATTTATATATTTTTGGTTAATTTATTGTAAAAATTAAACCCCCTTTAAAATATAAAATTATAATAACAAAATCAATCCCTTGCCAAGTAAACACAGAATTTTAGCAAAAGAAACTTCTTTTGTAGGGAATAAACGAGGCTGAGCCGTCTTGCTAGGATATGTATTTTGAGTGTCTTCGATTTGGATTAAAATATCTCAGAAACTAAAAATTGAACATGCATACTGTAAGTTAGGGAAATGTTCAGTATTTCATCCTCTTTGTAAGGAGCTATTATTCAAAATTGTGTTAAATTTTGACGCGACGCTGTGTTAGAGAGGCGAAAAGGGAAAATAGTATCAAAAACCAAATGATAATGAGTTTTGTTGAACATATGGGTTAAAATATCTCAGAAACTAAAAATCGGACTTGCACACTGTTAGCAAGGGAAATGTTCAGAATTTCATCCATTTTGTAAGGAGATTTTCTTCAAACTAGTATCTAAACTTGATACCGTGTTACAGAAGCAACAAGGAAAAATTGAAGGAAGTTAGTCGACTGTTCTAGATATCGTTGGTGATAAATAGTCAGGACGCAGTAATTTTAAGATTTTTATTGTTGCTGACGTTTTTATTACAGCAGTACTTGAACACCTTTAGTGCTGGTAACATGCCCTGATGATGACCCGCATGCTTGGGTTGAAACGTCGGCAATAATAAAAATCTTTAAATAACTCCCTCAGTCCCTCCAGAAATGACATAGGCGAAACCCGTATAGAGCATGACAATTATTTAATGTTTACTGAACAAATTTATTTGTGACATTAATGATGAATATATAACGGAGGACTCATCAAGACTTGAAAATGGCCCTTAGTATGGTCGAAACGTCGAATTAAATAGTGTATCAATAAAATGTTGGTGATAATTGGCCTAATTTATGTAAAATATAAAACCTCAAGACACCAAAATTAGGATAAATGAACAGAAGAAATATGAAATTATGTTTTCCTATTCAATTTTCTATTTCACTCGATCAAGTTTCGACAAATTACTGACCCTCATTACAGAAGTCATATTAAAAAAATAACGCCGTTTTTGTTAAATATTTAGCAAATAGATTTCAATTAAAAGTATTAATCATATATTTTAGTTATCATAAACATGTTGTTTAATTTTTAGAGTATGATACAAATGACAATCAGTCAGAGCAAAGTTTACTACAGTAATTTATACACAAATATGATTATATATATATTATAAATGTTATTATTTTGTGAATATAGAACAAAAAATAGCTTATATACAACTATAATTGTATATATTATGGTCTAAAGCACACACCGTAGTTTTTTCTTCTCTTTTTATTATTTTTTTTCTTACTGTTACTGGAACTCCTAACTTTCCAACACATTATCTATAGTAAACTATTTTCTCCACTATTATGAAAAGTAGATTAATTCAGAATAACACAATTTAAATTTTTTTTTGGCCATGCAGTCAGTTTTAATAATTATATTAATCGATACATTACTATATTTTTTTAAAAATATTTTATCTTATGGTTAATTTCTCAACATGAAATAATTTTCAAATAAACTGAAAGCATGTAAATCTATGTTTTCACTTTTAATATCGAATAAGATGTTTAAAATTTTAAAATTTGTATTTAATGCTTTCTTATAGTTTCGAAGAAAGACATGGATTCATTTCTGGTGCTAGGAAAGTTTATGAAAGAGCAGTTGAGTTTTTCGGAGAGGATATTATGGACGAACGTCTATACATTGCTTTTGCCAAATTTGAAGAAGGTCAAAGAGAGGTAAATCAAAATTTTTACTTAAAATATTAGGGAGACCAGGAAGTAATGTATTTTCTGTGTATGTCACTATTTGATTGTCATTTGTCAGCTCATTGTGTACATTGAAGATGTGGCAAAGACATTGTAAGGCTGTAGTGACTTGTTTAGTTGGAAATAATAAAATTTAAAATTTTGTTTATAAATTAAAAATTTTACCAGAAGAGTTATATGTCCAGCATTGTATGTTTTCAGTTTTGTAAGGGTGGTAACACAACAGTTGCTACCAAAAACATTTACGATGTTTATCCAAATGCATCAGACATTTGTAAATGTCAAATGTGGTTTTCCAAGTTCATATCTGGTAATTCTAATCTTTCCGACTTGTATCAATCAGGAAGATCAACAACGTTAGACAATGTTGAAGGCGGAAGCAAATCCATGTCAGCCAATCGAGGAGTTGTCAAACAGTTTCAACCAACCTTGATCGTCTATCCAAGAACATTTGCAGCAGAATAGGAAACTACTACATGCAAGTTATTGCTTCACTGGCTCAAAACAGAAGCGTTTTTTGATCGCTTGATTACTGGAGATGAAAAATAAATCCTCTATGATATTCCAAGACGTAAAATGCTGTGGTTCTATCCAAATGAATCGTCATGAAGTACTACTAAGCCATGTTTACACTCCAAAAAAGCCCTTTTGTGTGTTTGGTAGAGTAATCGAGGCATTGTTCATTTTGAAGTGCTGAAACCTGGACAAACTGTGAATGCAGGCCTTTACTGTGAAAAATTGTATTGAGTAAATCAATCTTTAATTGAATACAGGCTAACGATTGTCAACAGAAAAGACATTATTCTGCTACACGATAATGCAAGACTGCGCTGCACATAACGAACCCTGGAACAAATTAATGAATTGGAGTGGGAAGTACTGTCTCATCCACCATACTCGCCCAATGTTGCAGCTTCGGATTTCCATTTATTCCAGTCGCTTCAACAATTCCTAAGTGGCAAAAGATTTGCAAATTTGGACGATATCAAAATGTCATCTATATTTTGCTCAAAAGCAAATTGATTTTAATAGAGCCAGCATTGAAAATTTGCACACAAGATGGCAAATCATGCAACATGCAACATCCCTTATATTTTCTTGTGATCGCTTCATGTTACGCTGACTTCGTGATGAGAATTCAGCTTATCCAAGCTCCATTAAAAGTATCCCTGTGGTTACCTTAACAGGTTCTCCTATTGCGCTCGAGTTAACACATTCTTTCCCATTAGGCTTTATTTAAAATGCATTTTGAGCCCTTATAACACGTTCTCCTGTTATGACCTCACCACTGTGTTCACCATATCCAAATCTTATTAAGAACCATTTCTACTTGAATATTAAAAAAAAAAAAAAAGTGAGCTATCACGTTTTTCCCTCAAATGTGACAATATTGCAAATTACCTCAGATGTTTGTAATATTTGTGCAGGCAACCAGGAGATTTTACCACTCTCTCATTCACTTCCAATTGGTCATTAACATATCTCCTTATATTGAAATAGATATGTTTAAATAACTGACTTGTGTAATCTAAATTAGGGCGTTCCCTATGAAAGAGAAATCCAGGGCAACCACTTCGGTTGACCCACCCATATTATGGTACTGATCATAAATCTTATGAAGATAACAATTCTCTTAAAATTTGTTTCCTATAAGCTAATAATTTAGATTTTTAGTATTTATTTACTGTCATAAAAAGCATTTTTTATTAAAAATTTTATGTTATCTTAATATATACTGGTCAATTTAATTGTTTCTAATTTATAATGTTTTTTTTTCATATATATTTATATAGCATGATAGAGCAAGGGTCATTTATAAATATGCTCTAGACCATCTTCCTAAAGAACGCACTGCTGAAATATATAAGGCCTATACTATTCATGAGAAAAAGTATGGAGACAGGACTGGAATTGAGGATGTAATCGTGAGCAAAAGGAAATACCAATATTTAGAGGTAAACATTGCAAACAGTAGTTTCTTATATTAATATATTTCAGAATTTACATAATATCTTCTTTATAAAATTGTATGCTTGCATTGCATAAAATTGCATTATTTAAAATAAAATACATTTTTTCTATTTTGCATTTTAAAAAATAAAATCTAATAGCCCATGGTACAGACTCCTTTTTATCGAATTATTAATATCCGCCTAAAACTTTGTAAATAGTTTCATCTCATCGTAACTTACAACTATTTTGTTTATGAAAACTCTTGGAATTGGGGCACTTTCAGTCTGGAGGGGGAAAACTCTGTCTATTTAATTAAGTACTAAAAACTCGTAAATACCCATTTGCTTTCTACATGGATCGTAAGATAAGTTAATCACAAAGTTGAAAAAAAAGGTAGCCTTCAACAATATTGAGCCGTTTGGCATGACCTATGCCCTCAAAATTTCAAAATAACGAGGTCATATTGGACAAACGGCCCAATATTTTTGTAGGCCACATTTTTTATAGATTTTGTGATCAATTTACCTTACCATCCAAGTAGAAAGCAAATTGATATGAGTTTTTAGTACCTAATTAAATAGACAAATTTTGCCTCCCTCCAGATTGAAAACGCCAAAATTCCAAGAGTTTTCGTAAATATAATAGTTGTAGGTACCCATGAGATGAAACTATTTACAAAGTTTCAGGCGGATGTTAATAATTCAATAAAAAGGGGTCTGTACCACAGACTATTAGATTATGTAGCTAAACCGATGTGTTTTTGTTTGATTGCTTCTTCTTTTTTTTTTTTTTTTTTCTTTTTTATTCAATAATTAAAGGAGAAGGCTTGGAACAAGAAAATTAATATTTTGTATAACTTAACTTATAACTCCTGTATATATTTTTTATCTAAATATTTATTTGACAATTTTTGAATTTCTTATGAAGTAAATTTTAAGTTTTCTTTGTCAAAAAATCGTTTACACCATTCTTACTATTGTTAAAACAGTTATTTATTGAGCAGATTGTTTCCTCTTCCTCCTGTAATATTCTTGGCAGCGATATCTGAATATCAAAGAACTTTTTACAAATTTATTAATGTTCATTCATACAGGCTATTATAAGAACAATTTACATTTGAAATTATCAATAGTAAATGATTTTAGGAAGTAAGAACAAACCCGATCAATTATGATGCTTGGTTTGACTTGCTGAGGCTTGTCGAAGAAGAGGGTAACGTAGATACTATTAGGGAAATGTACGAGAGAGCTATTGCAAACATACCACCATCAAGGGTAATTTTATATATTTTTACTAAGAATAATATATTTCTTAAACTTAATTATTATTTTTAAACAAAATTTTAGCTATTTATTTAATATTTCAATGAATATTATAGGAAAAAGATATGTGGAGGCGTTATATCTATTTGTGGATTAATTATGCCCTATATGAAGAATTAGAAGCAGAAGATGAAGACAGAACAAGGCAAATTTATAGGACATGCCTCGACATCATTCCTCATAAGACGTTCACGTTCAGTAAAATATGGCTGTTATATGCCCAGTTCGAAATAAGACATAAAAACCTTTCAACAGCAAGAAAAACTCTGGTTTGTAAATTGAATTATTGTTTTGAATTAATTTTATTAGCTATAAAAAATATTGTTGTATAATATTGAATAACTTTGCTTACAGGGAATGGCTTTAGGAGTCTGTCCTAGGGATAAGCTCTACCGTGGTTACATAGATCTTGAAATACAATTAAGAGAATTTGATAGATGTAGAACATTATATCAAAAATTTTTGGAGCATGGTCCTGAAAACTGTATTACATGGATGAGGGTATGTATATAAATTATATATTTCAGAATGTGATGACTAAGCATGTTATAGCATTGTCTACTTTAACATTCTCGAGGCTAGCAGCACCGGTATCAATCCTGCTGTAGGCAGTATAATTTATACCATGGTAGACCCACAAAATGAATCTCAACCTTCCCACTTTGGATAGAATGGGTTTGCTTGTATCTCAAGAACAACTACTACCCCTGTCTCCCATATGCCAGAAATGGTGAGATGGGGTTAACCGAAAATAGAAGAATATATTATACAATATTTGCAATACAGATAGATTTGATATGGCCAGTTAAAAATGGTTAGCTTTAGTTTTTAGGGGCAATAAAAGCTGTTACTTTAAACATAAAATCTAATTGTTAAATTTCATTTAAGATTTCAATTATGGTCTTCAAAGTAGGGTTTTTTATTTAATTTTTTTACAAAAAATTCTATTTTAGCTACTAAAAAATAGTCCATTGTACAAGTCCCTTTTCATCAAACTATTAACATACGTCTGAAATTTTGTAAATAGCTTTATCTCTACAAATATTTTATTTACAAAAATTCTCAACATTGGGGCGTTTTCAATCTGGAGGGAGGCAAACTTTGTCTATTTAATTAGGTACTAAAAACTCTTAAATACCTATTTGCTTTCCAGTTTAATCATAAGATAACTTGAGCACAAAGTCGAGGAAAGAGGTGGCTTTCAATAATATTGAGCCGTTTGCGTGACTTACACCCCAAAATTGTCAAAATAACGAGGTTATATAGGCCAAACGACTTAATATTTTTGAAGGCCACCTTTTTTCTCGAAGAGGTCATCACCCTTCCTCATTGATGGTTTGATGGATAGTTTGCTTTGATGACAACACAAAGCTCCATTTTTGTGAAAAAGGAGCTAAAACAGCCGCTAAAAACTATCAGGACGATATTTTAGAAGCTGTTGTCAAGCCTCTAAATGACACTGCTGAAAATCATTGGGTTTTCCAGCAGGGTTCCGCTCCAGCTCACAAGGCCAGGTCAACTCAGCAGTGGCTGCAAAAGAACATTCCAGAGTTGATCTCTCCCTTGGATTGGTCTCAGGAAGCCCTGATCTCAACACACTAGATTATTGATCTTGGTCCGAACTGAAGGGTATGGGATGCCACAGAGCACACTCTAACTTGGAAAGCCTCAAATAATCTTTGGTCCGAGCAGTTGAGCGCTTTCCTCAAGAAGTGCTGCATGCTGCTATTGATGAGTGGCCACGGAGATTAAATGCCAGTGCAAAAGGGGGACATTTTGAGTAATTTCGTTTTTGTTTTACTCTCTATTGATATACATTTTATTTTCTAATAAAGTTTTTGAAAATATTAATTTTTCTGTTGAAATCTGTATATATTTCCTTGTAACAATATTTATGACCGGACGAAGTAAATGCACAACCATATTTTTCTAAACACAAAGTTGGAGGAAAGTTGAGTACTATTGCAAAAATGATTTAGAATCAATTTTATCAAATTCTATTCTCTAATTTCTTGTAAGCAAGAACAAACATATTAGGGACGCGCAACGTCATCATCATCATATTCTTTTTCCTCTTTAAAGCTTGGTCAAGGTGGACCTCTCCTAAACCAGTTCTCATCTCCTGTTCCGTTCCAGCCCTCGCTTCTGGAACACATCTCGCACACTTTCTTCTTCTCAGGAGATTCGGAGTCCTCTATGGAAAAAGTTATAATAAAATGCTTACAAATTTACCCGATAATAACAATAACCTGTTGGTTTTGCACCACTTTTAAATTTTAAATAGGAAACATTAATTAAAGAGAGAATCTAAAGATGATTTTAGTTTACAATTGTCATTATTATTTTATATTAAGGTAGAGATAGTAATTTGTAAAAACCAACTGGATTATTAAAATACAGCGATGAAATATTGGAAAAGCTAAAAAACCATAACCTATCTAAGGACGTCCATTTATCCATAAATTCCAACAACAATCCCATATATATAACTATTTCCAGCCCAGAGTCCTGTTTGATGTATAGAGCTAACATGAAAAAGCTAAGATCAATAAGTCAGTTAAGGGTTTCAAATCCTGAATTAATTAAGCTCTATACGAAAAACAAAAGTTTCTACTTCAAATCCCAGGAAACCTGCACTTTCTGTAAACAAATCATTACTAACAGCCTGTTCCATATCCTTCTGTACTGTGAAAAGCTAACAGACGACAGACACAAACATTTATGAGCATTTCTCTCTGCGCCAAGTGATGTAAACAAGATACAAGACATACTTCGAATCGATAGCATAGAGAAACTTAACAAGGTTTACTGGTTCATAATGTCAGCGTGCAATTCACTGGATTCCTTAAGCTCTGATGTTCCACACATCAACCAAGTGCTATGACTAAGGATAATTGTTGGTCAGTTCAATTAATTGTTTGTTTCTTTTTGGTTTTATTGATAATGTATATAGAAATTAATTGGAATGTAATGAAGTATTATTGTTTAGTTATTGTTTTTATAGTAAGTCAATGTACAGTTATGATAAACTAGACTCGTATAGGTGAAATAAAGTTATTCATATTTGTATGATTTGTACACGATTGTAAAATAATCTTTAACAAATAAATTCTATTCTATTCTAGTAATTTGTAAAATAATGAAAGTATAATTATTTTTTTAGTTTGCTGAGCTAGAAACACTATTAGGTGACACAGATAGAGCAAGGGCTATCTACGAACTTGCCGTTAATCAACCAAGGCTCGATATGCCTGAAATTCTCTGGAAAGCTTACATAGATTTTGAAATAAACATTGGTGAATCGAGGAATGCAAGGCAACTGTATGAAAGGCTTTTAGAAAGAACTCACCATGTCAAGGTAACAAAAATAATTTATATATTTAATCATTAAAGTAAAAATGAAGGAATATAAGAACTAAAATTAGTTTATTAATGTCATCTTTACATTATTTCAATAAACAAAAAAAAATAAATAAAAAAAACTGATTACTTTTTAGGTTTGGATGAGTTACGTTAAATTTGAGATGTCTCATAGCGAAGAAGAGGGAATCGAACCTATTTCATTGGCAAGAAGAATTTATGAGAGAGGTAACATTGCTTTGAGAGAATCGGGAGAAAAAGAAGAAAGAATTTTGTTGTTGGAAGCGTGGAGAGAAATGGAAAAGGTTCATGGTGACGAGGAAAGTCATAAGAAGGTCGAAGCCAAACTTCCAAGGCGAGTCCGAAGAAGACAAGCTGTCATTGCTGCAGATGGGGTAAGTAAAGTATAAAGATAATTGTGATCTATTTATTTAATAGGCTTCTTACTACGTGTTAAAAAAATTTATAGATATTGTAGCATGTAGGAAATCAACTTATCAAATAGCCTATGTTATTTTTATTGAATACTTGATGATTTACCGTTGTAAATAATTTAGGAAGGAGATAGTCCGGGGTGGCAGTCATAAAAATACTTAAAATAGTGAAAAACTATATTATTTCAAGCTGACTAAGTCTTTTTATGACTGCCACTCTAAGCCATCTCCTTCTTCAACTATGTTCTTATCAGTTATGATAAGAATGAACAATTGCAATCTTTCCGGTTATCCATTTTTTTTTTTTTCAAGAAGCCTCCATATTTATGATATAGAGGTTCCTTAGGTGGTATAAAACTTTGTTTTGTAAATATGAGAAAGTTAGACTCGAAAGTTGTATTGAACAACAATCTGATTCTGCCGATGTAATCACTAGGAATTTTTTTGTTTCTTTTTTTGATGAATTTTTTTTTTAAAGCTTGTTAAAGTCAGAAATCTAATTTCCTCTGAAGAGAATTAAAATAAAGAAGTGAAAGTAATAAATGCTTTGAACCAGGGTATGAAATCGATAATTAAAAAAATAAAACCTGTTAAAACATTTTCTGGAATTTTTAAAAATCATTTGATGGTTTTTATTAAAAGAGATTTTTATTTTTGAACAAAATTTTTGCAATTAACAATAATAATAGTTCTTGAGTATTACTTTTTTAAATCAGAAATATAATTTTTTTTAGTATAAATATATTTTGAGCTTGAAGTAGTAGGTGGAGAATATTGCTCTAAACTATTAGCACAGAACATCTTTATTTCCTTAATTTACTAGAAACTTTGGCTTACAAAAAATATATATATATACATATGTATAGTACAGGTATCGCACACAGAATTAAAGAGATAACAAAAAGATAATATTAAAAAATGTGTACATTAATAACGTATATATACATATTAATATGTAATTTAATTAGTGTGTAAAAGGTTATTTTTGTTTTCTGATCAAAATTTTATTGATCACAATTTAATCATTTTTATTATTTATGTAAAACTGAAAATCTAAGATCTATTTGAATTTTTAATTATGAATTTGGCTCAATTTTTAAATTAAAAATTAAATATAATAACTGTTATATGATTTTGTGAAAAAAATAATTATCAATTTCAACCCTGCTTTGAACCCATTATAATGGGATTCACAAATGACATATTATTTGAAAAATAACAATATTTTTTCAGTAATTACATCCTCAGCTCTCAGCTTGACTTTTAATTTATTATATTGTCACTAATCTATTTACTGGCTTCATTCGCTATAAAAATAATGTAATCAATAAATTTTTTTTTCATATAGACTGAAGAAGGATGGGAAGAAGTATACGATTATATTTTCCCTGAAGACGAAGCCGTCAAGCCCAATCTCAAACTTTTGGAGAAAGCAAAAGCTTGGAAAAAGAAGCAAGAAGCCGATATCCAAACAAATGATGAAGACTGAATTACAAAAAAGACTATTCTGTCCGTGTAAGGTAAGTGAATTCATTCTATTAAATAATAATTTATCAAATAAATAAATTTTAGCCACAGAACTGAGTCACACCCATATTTTCATCTCATATTTATTTGGAAAACAGATGAAAGGTGATTGTTATTGTTGTTTACCTGAGGAAATGGAATAAAATTTTAAAATAATTAAATCACTAAATTTTTTCCTCATATTTTGTTTTTTAATATTTTATAATTTGGTTTTGGATTTAATTTAATGAAATAGAGGTATGTACTTCTCTAACATCCACCAATTTACATAAAAATGTTGAACCCTCTGACTCAATTAGGGCGAGCTTTAGAGGCATACGATTGCATATTATGATTATTTAAAATAAATAACGAGCTATAGATAAGCCTAAGGCCTCAAAAACTGGGGAAATAACCTGTACAACAAATGACTTAGTGGGAAAAAAAAAATGAAAATCACCAAAAGGCTTCAACTCAATTTAAATACCAAATTTCAATCCTCTATAATATAATTTATTAAAATATATTTACTTATAACTTTTAAATTTAAATGATAACAAATTAATTTTGAGTTTATAAGAAGAAAAAAAAAAATACGCTGCAAATTATTTCACAATGGTTTATTATTTCCAAACAATTATACATCTATCTAAAATAACATTACCTTCCGAGTTACAAAGAAAAATAAACAAAAGGTGATTCCAATTATTGGACTAAACTTGTTTGTTTTAATCATTAGTAATATGCTAAAAAAAAAATAGAATTACTTCAGTAACACATTCAAAATTTAAAAACCAAACCAAGGATATAACATTTGGAGTAGAACATATCTTTGCTCCTAACTGTCCGATTTTAACGATTTTTTTTTTTTTTTAGGAAATTTCGTAAACTTTTAAAAAACCGTGTACAATATCAACAAAAAAGTATAAACTTTTCGAGTTATTCGGAATTTAATTTTACCATCCCTCATAACTTTTTTCCCAGCTTTTTTTTGTTGAAGTATGTTATATAAATAAATTTAAAGGGCATCGAGAAAATGACTTTAGCGAAGTTTCATTGAAATGTTTTCATTCGTTTAGGAGCTACAGTCTATAGCAACACAGGTTTTTCGGCCACCATTTTGAAAGTAATAGGCGGATAGTAATGTTGATGATGGAAGATCATCCTCGGGTGACCTCTGATGTTATATCAAAATTTGAAAAAAAAAAAAAATCGGTCCAGTAGATTCGGAGAAAATGAGCGGACGGACAATAAATTTTTTATTCGTTTTTCGAATTCTACGCATCCTGAAACCTCAAATTTTGAGATGGGATTAAGTTTTTGAATTTTTTGGTCGATCACAATGGTTGATTATTCAAAATAATAAACCAAAAAAAAAGGTGAATATAAATAATATCGATGGAATAAATTAAAACCTTGTAGCTTTGTGTTGATAAGATGTACGAGAGAAAAAAATTGTATATTTACAAAGTTGCTTGATTTACATATGTTTGACAAAATTTCCTTTGAGAAAACAGTGATTAAGTTTACTCCTTCCGAGGCGTATGAAAAGAAGATGGCCTCGTGATCTACTTATGTAAATATATTATTTGAGTGCTACCAATGGGTAGTTTCTCAACAAGCATTTTCATGTGATTGTATTATTACTGTGTGCACATTTACTAGTTGTATTTTTTTTTTATAATACAGTTGTAAATATCAATGAATAAAAAAAAAAATTACTAAGGTCCATGATAAATGGGACTGACAGGAGGTATAACACGACTGCTGTACTACTGTGTACGAATCGGGAATACAAAGATATGCTGCTTGCGTATAGGTACTGTAACAGCAACAGTACAGCTTTTTTTAATACAGTTTTTGAGCAATTCTTTCTTATTCAATAAAATTGTGAACTACCTTAAGAAAAACCTGAGAATAAAAATTACAATTACTTATGGACAGGAGTGTTCATAACTAGTTGCGCCACTTTTTCTTCAACTAGCAATGAACACATTAATTTTAATAAAATAAAAAACATGTAAACAAAAATAATTAACTATGAACATGTGAAAAAAAAAATGTAGAATGTGTACATATCTTCATACATAGTTGGCGCAACAACCCGTTACCGGGTCTAGGCCTCCTCTAAGTCTCCGCCAGGCTCTATCTGTTGCTGCAGCTCTCCAGTTCCTAACGCCGAGGAGATTGCGTGCGTCCGCTGTGACGGAATCAGCCCACCTCACATTTGGCCTACCAACTCTTCGCTTGCCATGAAGCTCTTCAGCCAATGTCCTATGGATCTTGTCCTCCTTCATCCTTGCAATGTGGCCCGCCCATCAAAGTCTCGTACATATCTTCTAAGTTGTAAAATACTTTATCTGTCCGGAGCAATACTCTTTAGAAACCGATTTCATGAAAAGGCTGCTACTTAAAAAATTGGTGTTTTTCTAACAATTATGTGTTGACTTCTGAAACACTTGTCACTATCCTAAGCTGTGAATTAAAGAAGGGAGAGAAAAGATGGTGGGGCATAATAATCAACAAAACTCTTCTGTTTCAAGTTTAACTGGTGCTTATTGTTGGCAATACAAATTAAGGGTGTTCATAACTGGTAGTGTCCATAACTAGTCATTTACCCTATTTGTTCGAATAAATTACTAATGAGGACTAGAATGGTTCTAATTAGTGGAAAGTATTTGAAACCAAATGAAAGATAATGTTTATAATTTATAATCTATTTTCAATTTGTACAAAAATTAAAATTTATAAACGTACAATGTCAGTGATAATATCCATGTTCTTGCCTCTTTGAAATCTAATTTCATCCAGTAGTTTATAGTGTTAATTATAATAGCAGAAAAGTTTGGAGTGGATTGTCCCCACTTCTTCCTCTTCTAACAAACATATTTTTGATGCACATTTGGTTTATAGTTCATTAAAATTAAATTGCTATTTAATTAAAAAAACAACATACGTGAATTAATAAACTTTGACAGTCGTGGAATAGGAGTTCTAAAAACAGATATAAAATGCATAACCACTTCCCTGAATTCACCATCAATAAAAAGTATCAGTCATGATGGCAGATAATTGTTGACAGTTGAAATATATTGTTGAAGAGAAGATGATTGTGGTACTTTTTCTTAAATGAATATAATTTATTTTTACTTTGACTTTAATCATAAACCATTTTTTCTTCAACAAAAGTAATAGTCCGTGGTACAGGCCCCTTTTTATCGAATTATTAACATCTGTCTAAAACTTCATAAATAGTTTCATCTCATCGTAAGCTACAACTATTTTATTTATAAAAACTCTTGGAATTGGGGTGTTTTAAATCTGGAGGGAGACAAACTTTGTCTATTTAATTAGGTACTAACAACTTGTAAATATCAATTTGCTTTCTACTTTAATTGTAAGATAATTTGATTACAAAATAGAGAAAAAAGATGGCCTTCAAAAATATTGAGCCGTTGGGCGTGACCTACACCCCCAAAATTTCAAAATAACGAGGTCATATAGGACAAACGGCCCAATATTTTTGTAGGTCACCTTTTTTATCTATTATGTGATCAAATTATCTTAAAATCCAAGTAGAAAGCAAATGTGTATTTACGAGTTTTTAGTACCTAATTAAATTGACAAAGTTTACCATCTTACAGATTGAAAAAGCCCCCATTCCAAGAGTTTTCATAATTAAAATAGTTGTAGATTACGATGAGATGAAACTATTTATGAAGTTTCAGGTGGATGTTAATAATTCAATAAAATGGGCTCTTTATCACAGAGTATATTGGTCTGTGTTTTCTAAACTACTGGTTAACCCTCATGCAGATTCATGTTAATTTAATTTTTTGCTTGAGTTGGGAAGATTTCTATTCATCATCGAGATAGTGAAAAAAAATATTCTCAGAGTCAAAAATTTTCAATCACGTTTTATGTTTTAGATTTCAAGGAACAAATTTGGTACCTTGTTTGTTTGTAATGTATAATTCATGTGATAGGCATGACACTTACTATTGTTAACAATGATTTTGATTAAACTTTTAGGAATTATATGGATCGGTTGGTACCTAGGTGGTCTTACATCTTACATTATTTTACGAGGAAATATGATTGAACAATACACATTATAATTTTAAAATATTTGTATTTGACTGTAAAAACACTTAATATAAAAAACTTCTAATTTAATTTCAATTAAAACGAGATCATTCGACATCTTCTGGCCTAACAGGATGAACCAGAGGTATTACCGATTTCTTTTCTACATCACGACTTAATGCTTTCCTCATGTCTGTAAAATAAAAAATAAAATATAAACCTTGTAGTATTGATAAACCTTATCAATACTAAAATATGTAAAGGTAGAGAAATGGTTGACTGTAGACCGTTATAATATAAGTTGGTTCGAGATTGCAGTCACAGAAATACCAATACACACAACAAAAGTTTTCTTTATGTTGGAGTTTCAGTTTCAAGCCCTCATCAAGGCGAAGGAAATAACAGATAACAAATAAATGCCGAGAAAATAATTAGATAGGTAGTGGAAATACGTGTACCTTGGGCCACACTAAGGGCCAGTTGCTCCAAATCAGTAAAGCTTAGATTAAGTGTTATCTAAGATTAAACCAAGTTTAATCTTGATCGCTCAACCGTAGTCGACCGCTTAAGCTTTACTTCGAAGAAAAAACTTAGTTACCTAGCGTTACCTTTGGCAACTACGATAACCTTCCCCAGTATTTTTGCTGTAACCTTTCTGTTAATAATTTTTATTTATCTTTTCTCTTCCAAAAAGGCATATGCTAGATTTTGAGACCTCACAGATATCAAGGATTTCCTCGATTTAATTGCATTTTTACTAATGGAGAAAAAAGTATATCATCCTCGGATGGATCATTTCGTCCATTGGTCTGATGATGAATTTTGTGATAGATTTCGATGGATATTTTTTGGTAACCAACTCTAATTAACACAAATTAATTTAACTTTTACTTTTGTAATACCAAAACAAATACGAGAAGACATTGAGAAGCTCACACAACAAAGAACTGTAGAAAAACCTATTAGTAACCACCTACTTCCTTTCTTTATCTTGGTTTAGATTTAACTTTTTACCAACAACCGAAAATGGTGATTACAGAGCTGGGCTGTTACTGGTAGATTAAGCTCAGATAACTAAATTTTGGTTAAAACCGTGAATTGTGCAACTGGCAATAACAATAAGAAATTGCATTGGGGGAAGTTCAGGATTTGTGGCAAAATTGAGTAGCCTGCATTGCCATAACACTTTTTAGCTGATTTTGTTTCCTCTGACCTGCTCTGTTTTTTTATAATATTGAGTGTTTTAGATTTTAAAAAAATAATTTTTCTTAACTTGATATAATAATTTTTAATCAATAAAGTATATAAATATACTCAAAATTTTTAGTCGATTGATGTATAGTAATCTCTCTAGCTTCTTTTGAAGGCAAGTTTTAAGCAAAATACTACAAAATAGAGCTGGCCCAAGGTACATACATTAATATAATTTCAAAATATGTCTCTTGTGAGAACAAATCCTTGATTCATGGTTTTTAGTGAAGAAGTTCATAAAATACTATTTATTGACTGTAAGCATAATATATTGTGGACTTTTAACAAATGACATGAAAAAGTTAGCTTACCAATGATGCGTATTATTGAATAATGATTACAATTCCTATTACAACAAATATTGCCCAAGGTACAATTTGTAGCCCAATGTACAACTATAGTAATTGTACCTCAGGTCCTTTATTATTTTTAACAATGTTTTTTTTTCATAGTAAAAATCTAGTGATAAAATAATGTAAAAATTAATATAGTATCTTTAAAGCATGACAAATAAAATTCTATTTTGAACTTTTAAAAATCATTGTTATTTTAGAAGTTATGGAGCATTGAAAAAAAGTGACCCGATGTCCATGTATTATAACACACCCAAGGTACCTACCTACCTATATGCAAAATTAATATGCTAGAGTATATGTGAGTATTTAACTTAACATTAATAAATAAACAAAATGAAAAATATATGATATATTTAGGAACTTACAATATAATGGAAACAACTTGGAAAGTTGTTATAAAATATGTTTATTAAGCACCTCTGATAACATATTAGTGAACCCAATAATATATCGAAGAAATCCAAAAAGTATGAAAAACTTCATGCACAATCTTAAATTTTACAGTATTTTCATAAAAAGTCCCTCCTTCCCCTGGTAAAATAATAATATATCCTTGTATCGAAGAAATCTGAAATTTTTTTTAAAATGTGAACAAAAATAAAAAGATAACAGATAACTTCAAATTATTTATTATTTGAAATTCGAATAAATTATTCATTATCTATTATTTAAGATGGGAAACTGCAAAACTCATAATTCTGCCAAGAAAGGAGATAAGAGAGATTTAAATAATTATCGCCCATTAAGCCTACTCTCAGTTTTATATAAAATATTTTCTAAAATCCTACTTAGAAGAATAGAAGACAAATTGGATATAGAATTAGAAAAACATCAAGCCGGGTTTAGGAAGAATTACTCTACTGTAGACCACATATTAGTGATTAAAGAGTTAATTAAGAAAGCTAACGACTATAATCTGTCAGTGAGCCTCCTTTTTCTGGATTACAAAAAAGCATTTGACTCCCTAAAAACTTATTCTATAATAAATATGCTGAAAAAGAGAAACATTAGTTCAAGAATATGCAAGATACTGGAAGATATGTATTCGAGATCCAATGCAGAATAGAAATCAGGAAAAACAACAGTAAAAATAAAAATTAGAAAAGGTGTATGACAAGGTGATACCCTTTCTCCTAAAATATTTATATCAGTTCTCCATGATTTGATGCAAACTATGAATTGGCAGAACAAAGGAATGAAAATTTTTGGAGAGTGGCTGAACCATTTAGAGTTTGCTGATGATCAAGTCATAACAGGTAAAAATATAGAAGAAATCCTAACGATGGCAAACCAATTAATAAAGGCTGGAGATAACATAGGACTGAAAATAAATTATAAAAAATGCAATTATATGTCAGTGAACGTTGAGGGAGATATAAAAATAGGCGAACACCATATAGAGAAAGTAGATACATTTCTATATCTTGGGCACCTTATCTCAATCAAAGGACAAAATGAAGAAATAATCAGGCGATGTACCCAGGGATGGCGCGCACTCTTCAAATTTAAGGATATATATATAGATCCTCGGTGATCTCAGAGGTAAAGAGAAAACTTTGGGTGAGCACAGTACTTCCTGTCATGACATATAGTTGTGAAACATGGGCAATTGACCAGAAGACTTGCCACAAATTGAGGATAACCGTCAGAGGAATGGAGCGATATCTTCTGGGGATAACTCGAAGGTATAGAAAAACAAACAAATGGATCAGAGCTAAGACTGACCTTCCAGATATTGTGGAAAAAGTGCTCATCAGGAAGTGGACCTGGACCGGACATGTAATCAGGAGGAATGAATTAACATGGACCAGACAGTTTATGGATTGGTATCCAAGAGAGCACATGAGGAAGAGAGGACGCCCGCCGACCGACTGGGACAAAGAGATGAAGAAGACCTGCGGGGGAGCAGCCTGGAAGAGAGTAGCATTAGAGAGGAAAGAATGGAAATGGATGGGACAGGTTCATTACCTAGTAGTTACAAGAAATTTAAATATAAAAAAAAAAAAAAAGAAGAAAGAAATCGAACTCAAAACCTTAACTAAGTTGATTTTGTACATATAAGAGATTTTGTAAATTTGATCCATTGTATGCACAAATAAAGGTTATTATTATTATTATTTAAGATAAATTTTGCCCAATACTGCTTTATAATGACTGCATTTTCTAACCAACTTCTCTTATAAAATATATATTTTATATTGTTTTCTACAATGTCATATGTTATATCTAAGCTAATATTTTTGAAAGTTTGTCATGTCAAAATTTCAAAATCTTAATTATTATATTTTTCCTTTACTTTTCAAGGTATTTAACCCTTTAATGTTCAAAGCCTTGTCTATAAATTTTGCTTATAAGGTTTTGAGACCTTCCTGATAGGCGCCACATTTGAAAGCTCTGTACTTTCCATCCTAAACTTGAGTTGAGATATAGAATAGATTTTGGTTTAACTTTCTACATTTAAGTGATGAGCAATGTCTTAAGGTTTTTGAAAATAAAGTATTGCCCTGAATATTCTGAAAAAAAGATGTGTCAACCAGAGAATTTAGGCAGTTATGCTGAATTGTACGAACTATACCCGGTTAATATAATTCAGATGATTAAGTTGAGGCGAATAAAATGAGCATGTAAAATAGCTGGGCTTAGTAATGAAAGAATTTCTAAAAAGTTAATATGTGACATGCCGCCTGGCAACCGTTCGAGGGATAGGCCGCAGCGAAAGTTGGAAGATTGCGTTAAGTCTGATCTGGCAGGGTTGGGTTTAGATGGCCTCCGGTGGATGGAAGAATGTGTAGAAATCGGTGGTATCAGCATTGAACCTTTAGCTTCGTTAAGCCTTATTATTATTACTAGTAGGCCTGTGTGAAAAATTTGAATAGTATATTGTTCAGTGATAAAATGCCCAATTAATAATAAAATAAAATAATGCAACTTATCATAAGATAAAGAAATCAATTGTTACTTTCTCGATAAATATAATCGACAAAGGAAACAAAATTAATTTAAAACTTCATTAATGTTTGGAACTAACATGTTTACAAACTTCAAAAAGTAGTATTTTTGCTAAAAATTGTCGGATTTCGATGATTTTTTTTCCCCTTTTGTAGGGAATTTAGTAACCTTTTATATGTCCTTTTATATATTCTTAAGAAGGGAAAAGTGTGTAATTTTTTGAGTTATTCGCAAATAACTACAATTAACGTAAGGTTGTGTGAAAGTGAATCCTTTGCCTTGCGTTATCTCGAAAATAGTACGTTTTTGGGCTTTAGAACGCAGGGCCCGATAGTTTCGAAGTTACTGTCCGGGAGCTGCTGAACGCATCAAAATCTTCAAAACCCAATTTGTCCCATATCGATCTACAGACCTACCACCGTCCAGGTATTGAAGCCTAGCAAAATGTTTGTATCGGCTTTATTTATTTTAGAAAGAAAAACAAAAGTGGTGAGTACGAGTCGCTAATCCCCATGAAATTCTTAATCCAGCGATACCTCATTCATGGTATTTGAGCATGACAGGAGCTTATAAAACAGATTTCGAGCCTTACTGTAATAATATATGTCGGGATAGTTTAACTCAGAAGTCTCCAAACTTTTTGGCCGCGGACCACATTGAGACTTCCGCTAACTCTTTAAGAGCCATGGCTTTTGATGAAAAAAAAAAGAAAAGAATTTTTTCTATAAATTACACTTCAGTTCCGAAATTAGCTTTATAGCAGAAACAACTCATGCAATAAATGTTGTAGCAAACTTGCGTTAGAGTTAATTTACTAAATTTCATATTTTTTAAATTATTCCATGTAATCAAAGAAATATGGATAAGCCATGTTTTAAAATAGATTAAAATAAAATAGACCAAATAGGAAGTAAGGTAACATTGAAAATCATTCTACTGACTTTAAACTGATTCTGTCTAAACATACTAGAACTTGATTCAAAACTATGGCTGAACAATGTGACTTACACCATAAGGATTGGCTTAACATTAAAGGGTTGAATAATAATTTGAAATATTATAAATTATTTTCTGTCCATACAAACATAAATGATACATTTTTTTATTTTATGTTACAGATTGTAAATACGTTTTGTTTTTACCATATGCATTTTCATCAGGATCTCCAGAATAATACTCCAACACAGTTCTATATACCACATATCCCAGTTTCTTATACATCGCTATCGCATTTTTGTTACTCACACGGACAAAAAGATCAACAAAATAACATTTCTTCCTGTAAATTTGTATATAAAGAATGTAATATAATATATATGTTTTTAATTAAAATATATAATAAATAAATCAATTGTAAAAAAATTATTTCTTAAACCTAACCCAATCCTACATAACAAACAATATTTGATATCTATGTTTATATATTTGAGATGTTTGAATTATTAAAGTGGAGGAATATTTTCTAGTGGTTGAAACTTGATAATAGAGTTTCATGCATTATGGAAGTTTTTATTGGCAACAACTGAATAAATTTCAACAACGAACTAACTAAAGAAGAAAAGGAGCAAAATAGATAATAGACTTTCTTTTTAATAATATATTTTTTTAAATATATACGAATAAACATGTTTCCCTGATATTGATCACACGTCAATCGCACTAGGGAGAGGAATAGCTATCTAATATGTGAGTTTTTACTGGAGTAAACTAGTCAGAATAAAGAATATTATAAGTCTGGTTCATGATTTAGTTTTCTGTTGAAGGGGGCGGAGAGGCCAAGCAGACTAACACATGTGCACAGCACTGCATGTTGCCTAGCAACCTGATAACCAAAGTTGGAGATAATTACGAGTTCAAATCCCAGTGCCTGGTGGGACTTTTTAACTCGGCATAATTCCCTGCCCTCTCCTCTGGTCCTGGAAAGACCCCTTGCAGCCTAAAAGGCAAGGAAGGGGAGAACAAAAAAAAAAAATGTTTTCTGTTGAAGTCTTTATTTATTTGTTTAACGGCTCGACAGGCGCCTGAAGCTGCCGCTGGCCCTCTCAACTGCCCTTTCCCAATCATTTCAGTCAGCAGCATATCTGCTGGATAATCCCACCATCAAGTCCTCGGCCACGGAGTCCTTTCACCTTCCCTTCGGTCTTTCACGTGGTCTGACTCCATCCGGGGTTCCATAATATAATTTCCTCACAGCTCTTCCTTCATCCATTCTGATAATATGTCCCAGCCATTTTAAGCGTTGAATTCGCACGAAATGAGAAACTCAGAGATCGTCGAATAAGTCGTAGATCTCTTTGTTCTTCCTTAAATGCCATGTACCATTCTCTCCAACTGGGCCCATGATGCGCCTCAACACTTTTCTTTCAAAACTGTCAATTTTTTCAGCCAGACTTTTGCATAGGGTCCAGGTTGCACTGGCATAGATCAGTAGAGGTCGGATGATTGTTTTGTATATAATCATTTTGGTACCCCGACTTAATAATTTACTCTAAGGAGGAAACTTCTTAGGGCGAAATATGCTTTGTTAGCCCCCATTACCCGATTTTGAATTTTTTCTTCGTCAACCTGATCATTAACGATGGAGCCGAGGTACTTAAAACTGGATACACATTGAAACGCATAATGTCCTTCTACATAATGCTTAGGCGGATTTATAGGTGTTTTCTTCTTGAGAACAATAATTTTTGTTTCTTCTTCATTTATGGATAGCCCCATTCTTCCAGCTTCTCTTTGCAACTTTCACAGGCCTCCTTGATCGCCTTGAGGGACAGTCCAATCAGTACCACATCATCAGCATATCCAAGCACTTGAGTCATTTTACTAAAAATGGCGCCCGACTGACTAAGCTCTGCTCTATTCACCACAACTTGGAGGGCGATATTAAATAGAAGTGGGGAAAGGGGGTCACCCTGTCTAACTCCTGACTTCACTGCGAAAGGTTGGCCCAGCTTCCTATTTATTTTTACTCTGTTGAAGTCTATAAGTTAAAAAAAAAATGTTTTTTGTTGAAGTCTATAAGATAAAAAAAAAATAATATACTAATACCTTTCCGAGATTTGTTCAAGAGATTTCATAAGCGTAGCAGCAACTCCTAGCCTTCTATATTTTGGAGAAACCGTCAAAGCTGTTACATGTCCATGCCAGTTTTCTCCACGACCCTCTGCCTTTCCCATAACTAAGAGAGAATGATTAATTAACAAGTTTAACCTAACATGTTGATAATTAAAGGTTCACTGATTGATTTTCACACACACACACACATATATATAAATTATTTATTATTAAACAATAGTAATATGTACATTAATATGAAGTTAACAAGAGAAAAACTCAATAAATCAATTTTTTTGAATTTGGCGTATATTGTATCTTTAAGGCAAATGAAATGAAAAATCTGGTGTGCGCAACACACAACTTTCACTAATCATCCTACTTTGAGTAAAAATAGGTCTTTTCATCATTATGTTTTAGACCAAACTATTAAAGGACACTTAATTGTACATTAGCATAAGGAGTTTACTCAAAATCATTAGAGCCATTTTTGAGAAAATCGTAAAAAGGTGTTTAATCGATGATATACAGTACCACTTCCGGTTAGCAAATTTTGACGAAAAAATTGCTGTAACATCCCGTGCATATTAAATAAGCATAAATAATTGCTTATTTAAAACCTTAAATAAGCAATTTCAGTTTCGTATGACTTTTCATTTTTGTGCTAGGCTGATCACATACATACACACACACACACACACAATCATTTTGTGGGACTTGATCATTTGGACTCAGGGGACCTCAAAACATGTATTTCCATTGAAAACTCAGATTCAAAAATTTTCATGACCACAATACATTCCCTTACTATACATTACATATATATATAAGTGAAATAAAAACTATATACTGTTCAGTTCAGTACAGCCATGTAAATTTTTGTTATAAAAAGTAAAGTTACATTCCTTTTTAGTGTTCTTTAAAACTCATAAATATGAATGGTACTTGTGAGGGACATGGTCTCTATGGACTGCTATCTGCCAATGTTTATAACCTGAACACTGATAATTGTGATAAGGCACTGACAATTCCTATCTGCCAATGTTTATAACCTCAACACTGATAATTGTGATAAGGCACTGACAATCCCTATCTGCCAATGTTCATAACCTCAACACTGATAATTGTGATAAGGCATTGACAATCCCTATCTGCCTATGTTTATAACCTCAACACTGATAATTGTGATAAGGCACTGACAATCCCTATCTGCCAATGTTTATAACCTCAACACTGATAATTGTGATAAGGCACTGACAATCCCTATCTGCCTATGTTTATAACCTCAACACTGATAATTGTGATAAGGCACTGACTATCCCTATCTGCTTATGTTTATAACCTGAACACTGATAATTGTGATAAGGCACTGACAATCCCTATCTGCCTATGTTTATAACCTCAACACTGATAATTGTGATAAGGCACTGACAATCCCTATCTGCCAATGTTTATAACCTCAACACTGATAATTGTGATAAGGCACTGACAATCCCTATCTGCCAATGTTTATAACCTCAACACTGATAATTGTGATAAGGCACTGACAATCCCTATCTGCCAATGTTCATAACCTGAACACTGATAATTGTGATAAGGCACTGACAATCCCTATCTGCCAATGTTTATAACCTGAACACTGATAATTATGATAAGGCACTGACAATCCCTATTTGCCAATGTTTATAACCTAAACACTGATAATTTTGATAAGGCACTGATAATCCCTATCATCATTTCATGACCTTCATCACAATATTTCACCTTTGCAATTATCCCGGCGTCTTGAAAATATTTGATAGCCTCTTCTTCTGAAGACGGCAATTCCCACAATGTAATAACATCAATTTCAATAACGCAACAATGAAGAAAGTTTTCAATCAATAAACGCACATGTAACAGCTCACACTAGATAAAAAGGCAGGTTAAGTGACGTAACAACATGAGATAAGAAGGTGACGTAACATAACATAAGATGAGGAGACGTAACATAAGATAAGAAGGGAGGTTTACCAGAGACCACATTGCTCACAAGTACCATATGAATTTTCATAGGCGTAAACCATTGCAAATTTTAGTACTTAATAGTTTTTTTTTCTGAAAAGGTTGTTTTTCCGAAGCTTTAACTCTGGGATGCTACCCATATTTTTCTATATTTGAACACTACCAGTGTATGAATTTTAGGCCTATCCTTCAGAAAAATATTATAAATGCGTCAAATAAAAATGAGAATAGAAAATTCAAGCAATTGGTGGGTTTCATTTTTTAGAAATATTGAGTAATATAAGTAAGCTATTACCTTAAATTAGTACTGATGTCCTCTTGGTAACGAACGCTGCATTAGAAAATTCAAGGAAGGAACCCCTACTTCAGTAGGAGAATATTTTTTCTGAAAAATTAACAGTTATCAGGAATGGGATATCTAATTTCATAAATAGCCATAATCGGACTAATGAGGTTCCTCATGACATAAAAAAAAATGGACATCGATGCCAATTTAAGGTGATAACTTATTATCATTAATATTTCTAAAAATAAAATAAAACCACCAATTATTAAAATTATTATTATAAATCTTAAATATTATAATTATTATTAGAAATATTACAAAGAACATTTAATTGGTTGTCTAATATCATCAAGAAAAATGCGCATAAATTAGATCTGTGCAAAAAATAAGTATATTATCAATTTATTAAGTTTTAAAATTTGTCCAATGCTTTTATAAATAAAAAGTGTTTTTATATTTTGTAATTAATTTTAGAAGAAAATCTCAGCTTAATTAACATGGATTTAAAGCTTATTAAACAAGTAAGTTTTTCTAAAACTTAAAAATAAAGTGGAGAAACTATAGCCCCCATAGAAGGCTAATAATAAAAAATGAATAATTCAAGCCTTTCAAGTCTTTAAATTACAATATGAGAAAGGGCACATAAGAATATATTATATTCTCCACTTTTAGAAAACTGAAGCTAGTTTGGTTTGATCTAGTGCTACTCAATTACAATATTCAATAACTGTAACCATATTGTATTTAATGTTTTATGATATAACTAGAGACCGGATTTCCATGTTGCACTTTTTATTCGCTTGAATGTAAAAACTCTGGAACCAGCTATCTATCAGTTTCAGGACCTGTAGAATAACATATTCAAACTTTATATTGCACAAAATTGCACGCTATGGGCTTAAATTGCACGATTTTGATTTGTGTTGAATTAAATTGCACATTTTTGCACTTTTGTGCTAAAATAGACGATTTATAAATACAAATATATAAGTGAATGTGTTACCATTTATTTTACTATTTTCTTGCCATTACTTTTTATTTTACTATATGGTTCAAATTAAAGTATGAGGAAGGCAAATAATTCTGTGTGAAGCAAAAATCGTATTCATTACAAAAGGAAGAAGTAAACACAGGTGAGATCTATTCTTGGAATAGAACTTGCCTAAAGTATTGGATAATAAAAAGTTGCTTTCCTAGAGTTCAAAGAAGGTTATCTTCAAAGAAGGTTTCTTAAAAAAAAATATTGATAAAGCTGAAAGAAAAATTTAGTCTCTTGTCAAAAATTAAAATATGGATATAAAAATACCCTGATTAGAAATGTGAGGACAAAGAATTTGATGAGAAAGTTCTATACACCTTATGAAAAATCAACTAGGTGGTAGGAAATCACTGATTGACGCTCATTTTGGAACATGTAAGAAAAAAATATTCCTATCAAAGAATTAAATTTTTTTTTTTTTTGATGAGTTTTAGAAAATAAGCCTCTAAAATATTAGTTTTTAGTGATATAGGAAAACAGCTTCAACGCTAATATTTGAGCACTTGAAAATCTCAAACATTACAATCTATTACAATTTTTTTTTAAACATTCTTTAAATTTTAACAAAAGCGTTTTGGAATGTATAATATTGGAAATTTCAACCCTTTTAAAAAACAAAATTTCCATTATTATTTTTAATAAAAGTTAAATATCCAAAATCGGTCTGGTCTATATAATATATAGGTACCTATAATTCCTGTCTTCATTTATTCCTTCGAACCTTCAATGTTCTGCATTATATGATAATAATCGTTATTATAACAGTTACTTAAAATCTGAAATTCCATTTTTCATTTCAACATTTCAATTTTTTTTTCTAAAAAACTCTCGGTTAACTGAAAATCTGATAAGATTTTGATGTATTAATGTTATAAATTAAATAATATTTATGTTTTTACACGTTTTTAGTTGTTAATTACACAATTTTACGAATTTTGGATTTTTACTGCACAATTTTGAGTTTTTTACTGCACGTTTTCCGAATTTTTACTGCACGAAAATCCGGTCTCTAGTTATAACAATGAGACATCACATAGAGTCAGGTTAAGTGATCTTACTTAACAAGGAATGTAATAATTAGATCACGAACTTCATATAAATAAAATATTAAAATGATTCATCAGTGACGGCCTTTGACATTTGGCGCCCACGGACAATGATGTCATCTCCCCCCCCAAAGAATTTAATTTATTTCTTAAGCTGTTTTATATTAAATAATATTTGAATTTTATTTCATTCAATTTCTTTAATTCAGTTGCTTTATTAATAGGCTAAAATTATTTATTCTAATACGTTTTATATTTATTGTTAATTCTAAACAAGTGGCAGCCCTCTTTAGTCTATTGCCTGGCTCCAAGGCCGCCACTGTGAATCTAATTCAAAATATGAAAATGCTTACTGTATCCCATGAAGTCTCCATTTGGAGCGACTGCAACTTGAAAATATTCTGGCCAATGAGCTAGATATTGCATATAAAAAGGCATGCCATACTAAATGAGCTATAATAGGAAAACATTCTTGTAATTATAACAATGATAATAATTTCTTAAATAAAAAATAAAATGTAACAAATAAATCATCCTTTTGAGACTTCAAAGTTCGAGTGGGTCGAGGAATAAGAAGCAGAGTTGGACAGCATGAGGCCATGTTGGACGGCATGTAGAGGATGCTACGTGCCAAGATATACTATTAATAGACTATGGAGAAGGAATGCATCCATGCAGTAACAGCAGAAGATCTTGGTTTGGCGCCCTAAGTCGGACTTTGTGGTCGAATGAGGTGGCACAACCTGTGGATCATAAGAAAGCAGTATACCAGAAGTATCTTTTCTCAAAAACTAATGAGGATTGGATTACCTATGGAAACTTTACGTATAGAGGTAAAGAGCCTTGTTGAGAATGAGAAGAATGCCTCGTGGGATAGGTGCTGCCAGTGCATTGATAATATACTAGGATACAACAGGCTCAGAGAATCACAGGCTGTTTTAAAAAGAAATTGTGCCCACCGAGAAAGGGAAATGTTAACTCACCAATTAGTGACAGAGATTGGAAGGAACACTTTGAAAATCTTCTTAGGGAGAGCTGACCCCAGAATATTACAGAGGAGAGAAGGACCAGAACACGGGATGTTATGTTAACGGCCACCATGGAGGAATTGTTTCAAGCTGTGAAAAATTCAAAACACGAAAAGGCCTCTCGACCAGGCGGGATATTGGTGGAGTTGCTGAAGGCAATGACTATTCTCCTTGATGATGACTATTCTCCTTGAAATAATCAATCTGATACTGGAAGGGGATAGGGTGCCTGAGGATATCTGGACAGGCTTTATACCACCTATATTAAAAAAAGACGACAGGAAGGTGTGCCGGAACTATAGAATTGTAGTTTGTTTTCTGTATACTGTACAGAATTCAGTATTATATATATCTCTTATATATATTATTATATATCTCTTACATTATTTCCGATTCTATTAGTTACTATTTCTATTATTTTATTCTTACAGTACTCTTTTTTTTATTGAAAAATTTAGTCGTTCCATTCTTTAAGGCTTGGAAGTATTCAAGATTGTTTTGCTAAGATTATTTAGAGCTTTTATGTTATTTAGAGTGAGCACAAAAAATCAGAAGGTTTCACCCATCGTTAAAATACTTCAACAACTATCTCTTGTAGACCAATTTAGCAGCGTCATTACCACTGATATGAGTTGAAACAATCAGATTCAAAAACAGTGATAAAACCGTAAAGACACACAGGCTATCAGTTCTTACAAAGCTCGAGTTGGGAATTCGCTTAACTTTGAATACCTATTACAAATGCTTTAGACCACTTCCCCTCATGTGATTTCTTATTTAAAAAGAAAGTTAGGTAATTATTTAAAATAGGGTGGGGAAATTTCCCTTATATAGAATGTTGGTTGAGTCAGGTTACCTTACCCGACTAAACCTGCAATTCATATTACATCCATTTCTAGCTGAAAAATGAAGATAAGCAGCAGTATTAACTAACTTATACATAACTTGGTACTGGTTCATGAAAGTTTGGCATGGATGAGGCATTGTTCACTATCACTATCACTTCGGTCATACTCTTTTCTGTAAAAGGAGCACAATCTATCCATTTTAACCTCATCATAAACATTTTGGATAATTAGGCCATCTCTACCTGCCACAGTCATTTGCACCAGCTAGATTATACATTAGGCACCAATTGGAAGTGTGAAGTGTTCTTCAGTTGACCTTAAACAATAACCGAAAAGAAATCAAAAAAGGCTGTACTACAATCTCCAAAGGATAGCAAAATCTCCTAGTTGAATGAGGTGATTTTGTTGGCCAGGATCACTGTCCAACTGCCAGGTTTTTTCCATAATTAAGTGTATCAACTTAATAGAGAATAGATGTGTCAAGGAGGGTCTCGCGACCCCAAAGTCAATCCATGGCTGAAGCTACAGAATAAATAACTATTCGCAATGGCGTGATTAAAACCAAGACCTAGGAGCACCTTATCTTAATAATTGAGGTAACCCGTTTAATGTTTTCCTTTGTATGCAAACAAGAAATATTAATGAGTTATGAATATTGTTCTAATTTTACAATTAATTGATTCTAGATAAAACAAATGATAATTAACTTTAAATACAAAAGGATACAGTTTCAGTAAGGGGATCCAAATTGCTGAAAAAAAAATTGATAATTAGAAATAATGTACATGCTAGACACATTTTTTGGCCTATAGTTTAAAGATTCAGGAGTAACCTTTGATAAAAAAGTTTAATAGTTCCAAATTTACAACAAGGGAAGCATTATAACTGACTGCAAAGTAGTTTCCAAAATACTGTTATTTAATATATGTTTTTAAAGTTAAATTTCCAATATGACACATTAACAAACTGAGCCTATTAGGAAATTTTTAGTTTTGAGTAATTAATTATTCGAAATAATCTTTTAGGAAACTACCACATTATACTCAACACAAGAATATATAAAACTGTAAGTTACCAATATAGTTACTCCTTAGATAAAAACATAAAGATATTTCTCACACCCACTCAAATAAACACTCATAAAACCTACATTTCATTGATTTTAAGTAGATCGGTACATGTAAAAGATCTAAGAGTTGTCATGATTAAAACCGGCTAAAATTATTTAAATATGAACTTAACCTTCTTTGATTAAAACCTAACAATGTTGATTATTCAATGTTGATAACATAAATTAGATAACTCAAAACTGAGAAGAAAAAGAGTTTTTCAAGCTATAATTGAAAGTTTATTTATTTTTAAAAATTACTAAACCGTCTTTCGGAGATAAAGATATTTAGAAATATTTGTATCTACATTTTTTAAAAATAATGTTCTTCAATAACCCGTGCAACACTGCAGTCAAAGCAGTTAAAAGACACATGTTCTATATATCATGCCTCTTTGCTATTCTTTCGTTGAAAATGAAAATTGATAGAATGCCGTGATAAGTAGTCACTGTTGCTAGCTTTACTTCAAAATTTGAATTCGAATATGGTAAATACATTGTTATCTTCAATTTTTCTCTCCTACTTTCTTTTAAGTAGTGATTGTGCTGAGCTATTGTGTTTTTTTTTTTAGTCCTACAGCATCATTCTCAGTCGTTTGAGTAGGTTCCCACTATTCTCTTACTCAAGAGGATATAGTGTCATTACCAGCCAAAATGTGAAAAATATCCCTGTGGTTAGTATTACTCATTTGGATTATTTATGTTATGGTTCTTGCCTGAGACACTAAACATCTACCTTATCAAATTTAAGAGTTTCAGATATTATTCATCTGGTGGAAGGAGGCCTAATTTTTTCTCCCAATTTATAGAAAATGTTAGGCAAGACTTGGCAAAAAGTAAAGAGATGAAAGAAAGTTTGAAAAAGTTTAGGGAAGAAGCGCAGAAATTAGAACAATCCGAAGCTTTACAGAAAGCAAGGTGCAGATTCATATTACATCTTGAGAATAACCAGAGTTAATCAATTAATTTTTTAGATGATTGTTGTTGCAGAGCCAAGTTTCAAACTGTTGAATCAGAAGCATCGAAAGGTGGTGAAGTTTTCAAGGAGAAATTGGACCACATTAAAGATAAAGTCAGTGATGTGCTGGAGGAAGCAGCAAAATCAGAAATCGGGAAAAAAGCAGGTCAATTTTTTTTGTAAACAACTAATGAATTGTCCTACAGTACCTGATATTTCACCCTTATATAATTTCATGTATATGAAATTTCTAAGGTTTAATTGTGTCATTATTATTTCTTATGTGTTCCAAATAATTGGCTTATTTTTAACCATTGATTACTGATATATCCTGTACGCCATGAATTATTTGTATTATATACATTTAATATCATGTGTTGTTCATTGATTTACACGCATTATTGTATAAATATGTTAATTTATTTACACATTAAATATGTATGTCATATTGCATGATGCAATATCAAATTATTGTTTGTAATAAGTAATATTATGTTCTAGGCATAATTTAATTTTTGATAATGCTTATCAATATTAGCTTGTTGATCATTTTTTCCAAATCTAAAGCCAAATGTCGATTTTATCTTGTATTAATTGAAAAAAAAATTATTGAAATTAGGTATCTCAAGTTTCATGGAAAATACAATGAAGCATTTTTAAAGTTTCGGGGTTATCTCATGAAAAATAGAGTGTTTATAGCCCTGTTTTATCTTATTTATGATCAAACATGAAATGTAGATATAATGTTTAAAGGTTATATAAGCGAATTAAAAGGAAAGTGGTCTGAAGGATCCAAAGTTATGTTTTCAAGGTTTAAAAATTTATCATTGATTATATAAGGAAGACATTAATTTGATTTAACTATCAAAACAGTGATTGATTAAAATAGTTTTAAATTCAGTTGGTATAGCAAGTTTTGACAGTTTATATACATCATATATGATCTACAACCAATAAGAAATTGCTAGTATATTTTTACATTACAATAGAAAGTTCTTCAAATTATTTCAAAAACGTCAAGGAATCTCTCCTGATTATGTAAGCCCTAAAACTTGAAAATCGGTTTAGCCCTTTACTAAAAAAATCATTACATGTCCCTTTAAACAGACACATTGAATGCGTTTAATACAATTTTTGTTTTTAATTTTAGGTCAGCTGGGAGCAGAAATTGGAAAGACTGCGAGGGGAGCTGCTGAAACATTATCAGAAACAGGACAGCAGATCGGAAAAAGTGGAGCTTTTCAAACTATCAGCCAAACAGCTGCAGCTGTAAAACAAGAATTAGATCAATCCGGAATCCATGCTCATGTTTATCAGCCGCCACGAAAACTAAGAAAAAGATTGGAAATAGTACCAGATAATAAAGCTTTAAAACCTGACACAGAAACATTAGGTATTGATCTCCATAAGGACTCAAAATTTTTCCAAAGTTGGCAACAATTCAAAGACAATAATGCTTATATTAACAAAGTTCTCGATTGGAAAATGAAGTATGACGAGAGTGATAATCCCGTCATCCGAGCATCTCGAGTATTCACAGACAAAGTTTCAAGTGTTATGGGTGGCCTTTTTCAGAAAACCGAACTTTCTGAAACGCTGACGGAGATATGTCGAATAGATCCGAATTTTGACCGAGCTCACTTTTTGAAAGATTGTGAGAAAGATATCATCCCGAATATTCTTGAAGCTATGGTCCGTGGAGATTTAGACATATTGCAAGACTGGTGCCATGAAGGTCCATATAATGTTCTTGCTGCTCCAATTAAACATGCGAAAGAAGCCCATTTTAAGTTTTGTTCTAAAATTTTAGATATTGATAACGTCGATTTAGTAATGGGTAAAGTTATGGACCAAGGACCTGTGTTAGTTATTAGTTTCCAATCCCAACAATTACTGTGTATCAAAGATAAAAATGGTAATATAGTTGAAGGTGATCCGAACAAAGTATTAAGAGTTAATTACGTTTGGGTTCTTTGTAGAGACCCCTCTGAATTGGACCCAAAGGCAGCGTGGCGTCTTTTAGATATGTCAGCACAAAGCAATGAACAGTTGTTATGATGTGGCACTTGTAATAGTAGAATATTCATTTGAATCTTCTAGAAAATCTGTTAATTAAAATGAATGAAGTTAGCAATATTTGTATATAATATTTATATATAACTTACTGTACATATATTTATCATTCATTTTTTTTAAATATCTGTTTTATTTAATTTTGTAACTTAAATCGAATTTAATAAGTTACCAAATGCTGTTGACTTTTGATTAAATTTTTTTTGCAGAATTTATTTTATAAAATGAAGAAATCATTTTTTTTTGTTTTAAGAGCTTTATTTTTCTATTATTTATATAATTCATCAGCACCATAGAAACTTCTGACTGATATCTATGTCAAGCTTATTTATTTAATGTAAAATCTGTACAAATGTCTATAATTTCATTTATAGTTATTAAAGTACATTTTACAGATTTTAAATTCTTTAAGGATATCGATTTCATTACTAGTACAAGAAATTTTTAACTATTTATAATACTTCTGGTTAGGGATTGCTTTCATCACATCTCTGGGGAAGAAGTCAGATAAAACATACACATTTCGATTACCTGATTTATTAGTATGCATAACCATACTACATAAACATTGATTTTATCATGATCTCTACTTTACTTCCACGCAACTATAAATTGGTTGCTCTATTAATTCAAAGACAGATGTTCTCAAACTGGATAACGTGGCAGTAAAATCTAATTTCAATATTTAGTGTTGAAATTGTCAATTTGGTGAATAGACATTCTAAAAATTAATTATTTTGTATTTATTGATAACATAATTAAAATCAACTGTTACGATTCTATTAGCAGTAATATACCATGGTTTATTTCAGATTGCTCCTTGCACGACATGAACATTCCAACCGTAAAATGCTGTATACATCACAGATACACGATTTTTCACTAATCTTACACTTTCAATCATCCATATCTGTTCTTGTCTCTTTCTGCCTCTTTGTTACCAGGTTAGCCTGTACAAACACTAAAAATGCAGTGGCCCAGAGATCTCACAATGTTAACAATTATCATGACCAAGAACAGCAAAAGCAAAATAAGCAATTTCTCATTTGTTGATACACTGCAAATATATTGTAAAATAAACAAAAATAAAATTTTCTAAGTTAAGATCAAAATTATATTTGGTCATATGCGTTGGATAAAAAATGGTTGAATATTCTATTATAATACCAAATTAAGGATAAATGTTAAGGAAAAATTTTTTAGAAATATAAGGGTTCCAAAGCAATATAGAAAAATTGGTGGAAGGGGGAGATTTTGTTTTGCATCAGGTTTTTGGTAACTTAACACTAATGTGAGGTTTGTTAGCAAAAATGTTCTCTGGAACTTCTTTTTTTTTTCCGCTACGAAAATGTTGACACTTTATACAAAATCAATTATTATAAATTAGTAACAAACTAATGAAGAGACAAAACATCAGTATTAGGTTATAATTGAAAAAAATCCAAAACACAGCCTAGTCACTAAAAAAAACAATGTTTCGCCAATTCAGGCAAAATCAAGACAGAAAAGAACAGCCAATTGAACATCACTCATTGACATCCAATCTCATACTCATTTGTGTTTAAACATAATAATTTGCACAAGTTTCTAGAAAATCTTACAGAACTGCATATTCCTAATAATATATTAAATTTGTTGAGTTTAGTTGGGATAATGCCAACATTTTTCCTAAAAAATTAAATCAGGTTATTTTTAGCATGATTTCTGATACTGAGAGTATTATTCAGAATCTCGATACATCTGACAATCATAAAAATGGAACAAGAAATAATATTTCTTGAAAAATTAATAAGTTCATGAAAGAAAAGAATGTGATTGGATGACAATGAATGATGTTCGATCAGCTGTTCTTTTGTGTCCTGATAATGCCTGAATTAGCGAAATGTTGACTTTTTTTTTTGTCTGCATTTTAGAGACATAAAGCTGTGTAGTTTAGAAAATTTCCAATTTTAACATTCAAAATCAATATAAACAATTTTTTTTAAATTTTATGTCTAAAGTTTCAGAAATATAACTAAAGTGTTTATGACAAAAACCACCTAAATATTCATGATTAATGACTATATTTTTAGTCATTTGAAGTTACTAAAAAAAAAAACTATTATTTTCCAATTAGGGCAAACGCACCAGTTATGAACAGGTTTGACTTAAAATGTAAATAATAAGCTTCCATGTTGATTGAAAGGTTCCAATTTTTCTAGAACTTTTTTGAAGAACGATGCCCTCTATAGGAACAAAATTCCCAAAAGAAAATTTCAAAATACCTATATTCTATAGTGTTCTTGAGATCAGAGTGTTTCATACCTTCAATTTTGCTAAGAGTAAGTTGAACCTTTATGTTGTCTTTATCGCTATTTTTAAAGTTGAATGAAGATTTTAGAATTTTTTTGAGGTATGTCTATTACTGGTTCCGGCTCCCTGTCCATTACTAAGAAAATTGAATTTCGGAGTGTCAATCACTATTGCAAAAAGTTTTTTTTTTTTTTCAATTTTAAAGTGTTAAATAGAAAAAGGAGACTCTAGAGACTCTAAATGTCCAATGAAGAAGTTTATAACTATTATAATTACAGCGGCATAAGTCAAAAATTTCCTTAGCTATTTTCATCACTGGTGCGTTTACCCTACTCATTCTATGTTAAGAATAAATTGACAGACTTGAATGAATAAAAAATAATTCATTAGTTATCAATATTTGTTTGTGAATTGATATTTAGTTATCAGTCGCATAATTATTAATCAACTCCATGTATAGATGTGATTGAAGTGATCTTGGGCACATGTTATCTAGACAGAGAACTTGTGGACAACTACCAATTTCTTTTTCTCTTTACATCTTGGTTTGGAATAGAAAACCTTGACAACTATAAATCTATAACTGCTACCGATAAATTTAATTAAATAAATGAATAACTCTTAATTGATATCTCATTCCACTATTGTCTCTCTTCTTCTCTTTACCCATATCTATTTATATATTATTCGCATTGAATTTCTTTCTTTCTTTTTTGTGATTCGTTGAGAATGGTTATTAACTAAATTATATTTGTAAAGATAATAAAGTTCATGTGTATACATGATTTTACTGATATGTCGTCATTCTGGATTCTTCAACTCTAAAATTATAATTTTGTTTTATGAAAGTAAATATTGTGGTCTTGGTAGTGTTACCATTTACCGAAATAACAGATTAAACTTTACTGGGCTTCGCAGTCGTTTCACTATAATAGTGATGTTTGTTTTGAAATGCCAAATACGATTGTATTTTTGTTTACTTAATGAAGTTAGGGAATAGAGTAGGTTAGTGGTAGGGCAATGCTCAAGGTCCTGAGTTTAAAGACAGAAAAATTATTTACTCTGTTTCATTGGCCGTGGGCGACCCTAGAATCAGGAGACCCTCCTGAGACACACCCAGCCTCTATAAAGTGGGTACCCTTAATTATTGGGTTGTCAAATAAGTCCTTTCGGTTTTTCAGGGTGAAATAAAATTCAATATATTATATACATAAAATTTATTTTAACTTTTACTGCATAATGCCATATTCATAGAATGTCCGGAGTTAATTGTTAAAAACTGATTCAAGTGGTTTTTGATGTCCTCTTCCTTTTGGAATTTCTTTCCATTCATGGAGTTGTGCAGAGACCCGAATAAGTGGTAATCACTTGGATCTAGATCTGATGAATAGGGAGGATGGGGCAAAAGGTCCCATCCAAGGCTGAATAATTTATTAGGAGTGATCAAGGGGAGGTAAAGGGAGAAATTGTCTCAGGTTGACAAAATTGTTTTTGGCAGTCTTATGTGCAGGAGTGCCCACAAAGGGATTTTATAGAGCAAGTTGTGCCAGTGGGCGGGGTGGCCGAATGGGCTAACGCGTGTGCACTGCACCGTCATTGCCCGGCAATCTAATACATGAGATTTGATAAAAAAAATAGTCAGGAGTTCGCGTCCCGGTGCCCGGAGGAGTTTTTAAATCCTCGCCCACACTCCCTGGCCCCTGGAAAACCCCCGTATAGCCTTAAAGGCGAGGAAGAGGAGGACAGAAAAAAAAAAAGATCAAGTTGTGCCATCATAAGTTGAGGGGGCACATTTTGACAGGGTTATGAATTTTAGAATTAAAAAGTTTCAAACCAGGAGACAAGATAAAAGATTAGAACAGACCACAGAAAGTATAATTATATGAAATGAAAACATAATTTTACTCTGGACTAAAGTCTCCTAAGAATAATATGACATGACACAAAACATTGGTCCATTAGTTTGACAGAATGCAAAGAGGTCATATGAATGTTAATTTCAATTGTGATCGCAATCATATATGAACAACAATAGTAAACACTAGTACACTTTATATGGTTTACATCTATACAAAGAAGAAGTAAATAAATGAAACTTATAGATTAATAGTTAGTGAGCAGCCATCATTACAGAATACAATAAGTATTACATAGGTATGGAAGTTTAAAAATGAAGTAGGTGGTAGAATAAGAGTTGCTTGAAGGAGTTTAAGGATGAGAATTGCCGTATAGCGATGGGTAAAGAATTCCAGAAGGATGTAGCACGAATGACGAAGGATTTAGTTTTATGAGAAGGGATATATAAATCAATAGGTTGAGATCTGGTATTAAGAGAGTGGATAGAGGAACGTAGATTAAGGAGTTCTATTTTTTGGTTCTTAGGACATGGAAAAGGAAAACACCAAGGAGAAATTGTCGTCGGGTAGGATAGGGCCACTTCAACTCGGGTATACTAGAGGGAAACATAAGAAAGCCTGGTAAATCCAAAGATGAATCTCATAAAACCGTTTATAATTCTTCTCAATTTCACCTCCAGTATTTCAGGCAGCCCTCCATACACCAAGCAACCGAGAAGTGAGCGAAAACGAGAGAGGTTACAAGGAGCTGTCTGGTTTTTTGAGGAATAGAATCACGGAATTGTTTAAGGCCAGTTATCGATTTTCGGATTATCTGCGAAATATGGTTATTCCATGAAAGATTCTGATCAAAGATAACTCCTAGATTTTTGACTGTTGGGAAAAATGGATGGGGCGGTTATTGAGGTAGAGTAGAGGAGAGTAAGGAACTAATGAGATGCCTGGGCTGGATGAGAATAGCCTTAGTACGTTCAGCTTACTTATTTATTTCTGCCCATTTGTTGATGCAGTCAATATCCTCTTGTAGCTTTTGGGTAACCTCAGGCAAATCAGAAGGTTGGAA